AAAGAGGTGCCCCCCCCCCTTATTTCCCCTCTCAACCACAAATAAAATACTTCTTTGTCAGCGGAACTCAGGTGAAGCCTTCATGTAAGATACCAGTGGAACACGAACGCTGTTTTTGGATGGGACACTTTACTCTTCACCTTGAAGGCCGTGAATTTTATTCCATTAATTGCCGCCACCCCTGGATTGACTAACCATTTCCTACACTCTGCTGTAAATTTTTACCTCTGCGAGTTTGACGACTGTTTCTCGTAATGATAATCGCATCTGACCACCACCTGTACTTGATTCCCTGAGGGTGAGCTTTACAGATGGCTCTAAAATGCTACGGCCTGTCTCGGGAAGGTCCCTAGAGGAGATAGATGAACATGTAACTTCTCCTCAGCAATTTTAATACATTATCCAGCAAACAGGTGACGAGAATAGACAATGATCTTAGTTTGAGGATATTCTGTTGAGAAAACACCAAATTCTCTTGACTAGTTTACAAAGAAATATGTGAAGGTCAGAAGTGAGAATTTCTAGTCAGATCTAGGACACTTTATTGATTAAAATTAGGTACATAATCTGAGGTCCAATTACCTGACTTCTACAACTTTTGCTCTGATTTTCTTAACATCTCCCTGGTTGCAAAAGTGGAAAAAAAAAGCATCCTGTCACAAATTATTCCCTTTGAATTCCACCCATCCAGGAGCACAGTAAAAAGCGCTACGTTAGACCCTGAAATGGGAAGACGGTAACAAGTATACTATTCCGTCCCAAAGGTGAAGAGGAGTAAGATCTTCACCTTCACTTGTTTCAGTGCTCTCGCAGCATTTTTTAACTGAAGGTTACTACTATTGTGTTGTTCCTCGTTAGTCTTCGTCGTAAAATCGTGAGTGGTCGTGATTTCTTCGGGACATTTGGTAAAAACTTAACTTTGTGGCTTTAGGTACTCGTGAAATTTAGTCGTGTTGTGCGACTTTTCTTACCTTTTCGAACAGTGTTGTTTCAATTCTGATATCACCTTGAATGTCTGAGTAGTTGTGCATATCGGCTAAAGACACGGGAAACCATTTGTCCAGTCCCTTGGAACTTTGCGCCAATGTCTCTCGGTCAAATGTCACTCGACCAATAAGATCATCGACCCTAGCGAAAAAAAGAAAAGCACTTTCGAAGTTACCAACTAAAACTGGGTATCTCTCGGCGGAATTGCGGTATATAACATTTGCGATGATTCAAAATTGTGTGTGGCAGCAGATGAACCTTAGTTAATCTAACTGCCAATATAAAAAAAAAGAAAAATATCACATGGGGCCAATGAGAACTCAAGAATACATTTTGACAGTTTGAAGCGCGGGAAAACGCAAGTGTCAAGACGCAGAGGGTAACTGTTTGCTTTTGATTGGTTCATAGGGCGGCACGAGCTTTCTAGACCAATCACAAAAAAAGAAACACCAATGCAATTTTATATTTCTATCGACAGTCAAATGAAAATTGCCGTTTGCGCGGAACGGTCTTTTGAAACATGGTTCATTACATAATGTCAGTTTTGTCGGTCGAAAAGCATTCGAACGAGAAAAGTGCAGCTATTATTACCCAATGGTGTCCTCATCATAAACAAAAACAGACAAATTCGTAAAACCAACAGGAAGAAACATAGTATACTCTTCTCCCCAAAATGGCTCCAAATCTCTCCAAACTGTGGCAGTTCTACAAAAGAGGAAAAAGTGTCACAACTTAGGTGATAAGTTATTTCACGAGAAAAAAAATTAATGCACAAGCCAAATGTTGTTAATATCAATGTTCCTTAGGTTCCGAAGAAATGTCTCGGTGTGCTTGAAAATGTTAAAAGGGAAATTGAATTTTAACCTGGCCTAAAGGGTATCGAGAGCGTTGACAAAAATCCTTTATTGAGACAAGGTGAACAGAGCGAGCAAATCAAAACAAGCGATTTTCAACCCCTCTAGTTTGATTTTAATAGTGGTCTAGGAGTTCAGAAGAAAAAAAGAAACAACAGTGTGTCGTGCTTACTTTATGATCTTCGCGACAAAACTGTTTTTATTACAACATTAAGTTATTGCCTAAACAAGGCCTTAACATGTTCCTCCAGATCAGGCCGCTACCATAATCAATTTAGTTATTCAATTACCCAAGGAGACTCAAAAGTTAACCGAAGTGTTTTGAATAGAGTCATTACGGTTGGTACTACCTGGCGTGAAGAATTATTCATTCTGGGCCGAAGGATTTGTCACAAGATTTGCATTTATCTCCCACGCAAAACTGAATTCATTGAACCGATTCGAGCGGGCAAAACGGACGGAAATTGATTTATATCTGTTGATGCGATCTTCAAGACCCTTTCCCCTCTCATCTCCGTTTTGAACGAGGTATAATAGCCTCGTGAACGACAAAGAGCCCTTTGTTCTTTCACCAGATTGATATTTTAGAAATTAAAATTATTTTCCGCTTTGCTCGATCAAACTAAACGTTGTCTTAAATTGACCTCAACTCAATGTTAAAATGGTTCAGTTAATTATCACCTTTAATTAATTGCTTTTTTACACCTCGCAAGAGTCAATTACACCAGATGAGCAATAAACATCTAATTAGGGTATAATTTTTCTACTATGATCTTGGACTTGGAAGAATGAAAAAAAAAGTGGATCGATGACCTTTTTTCCCGTTTTTTTTTTTATATACCAAGCTTTGTTTATATTTGAGTCAGTATGTAGATTTTGGTCAAATCACTTTTACGAATGTGATCGGGTTTATTCGATATACACTGCTTGAACAGATCATAGATGTCGCCTGCTTTCGGATCGTAAGCGAAAGAATCGTAACTAAGCGGCCGAAAAACAATTTGTAATGTAACCACGTCCGCTAGGTGACTGATTTCGTCTGTGCATTTTTACAAGGAAGTAAGTTTTATTCAAAGATTTGTCGCGAGATTAAATCAGCTGTCATGGCGTTGTTCACTTACTGTTTACTTTGTTAAATTTTGGACTCTACACTTTCTTGTTTATTCCCGTCAGATATTTAAACATTGAAAGCGGAAAACCCCGTAAAGTATGTGGCAACTAAGCAATTTTAACTTAAAATCATACAAAGTTACCTGCGATTTTCATAGATTGTAACACCTTTTAGCAATGATTTACTTTCATCAAAAGACTTGACACTCGTTGTTAGTACAGTATAAGTCAATTAGCAACAGAAAAAGCCCAAAGGTATTTACTTACCTCGCTACAGGCTCGTTGTCCACTTTCACAATGCAGTATGGATCACTCTTTCCAGAGCTATTTACAAAATAAAATAAAACAAAATCAAATAATTCCCGAGTGAACTAACTGAACACTGACCGGGACAAAATTCCTTTCATTCAAAAGCGTTAATAACGTGCGAAAAACAAATATATTATTCAAGAATGAAATCGTCCGCTCCAACTCACATGTCCTTCCGAGGTAAATTCTTTCCCTCGCCAATGCGAAGATACAAAATAGTGCTCTTCGCCATTTTACCGGGTTGATTTTCGTCTACAAGGCGGAACTGTTGGCAGAAACAAGTATAACAGAGGAAAACTGATGCAAGATCAACGGTGGTGTTAGCACCCTAACTTTTTGTCGGGAAACAACGGAAAAACTCCTCCCTTACGAGTAGAACTCTCAGTTTAAAAACCGATTCATTAACGGTCCATGTGACTCCCTGGGCGCCGAGTTGCGTAAAAGCTATCAAATAATATCATAATATATTGTCTGACCCGCGGACCATCAAAGGAATTTGTTTATCTCTAAGACTATTTGCAGGTTAGCATATCATTAAATTGTTAAAAATAAACAGACAGCCTGTATCTGACAATAAGCGAGCACTCTCAAAATTTTGAGCAATGAATCTCATTATCCTCTGTGCGAAAATTGTGTTGATCTATAAAATTCTCAATAAAGGTCCCATACGTTCGAATGGTAATTAAGAATATGGTTACTTTCGTCGAAATTATAATTTTTTTAAAATTCTGGTCTCAAACGTCTTACAATATCGCTGTCTACGTTGTGTGACGTTTTGTTGTTTTTTCTCTACATGGCTGAGCAACTGCGTCATTCATGAGATAAAATATAGGGGGCAGTCCTGAAACAAAATATAAGAGCAGCATTTACGTTTGTTATAATACTTTTCACTGTCACAAAAACGTTATCAAGTAATCTGCTCCATTCATGGTTACCCTTGGAGCATCCTTAGATAAGAAGAGAACAAAAAAATTATCAATTAAAAAAAAAAAAAAAAGAAAAAGTATTATAGTCTCCTACGACGTACGAAATTTTGGAAGACAACTTTATATGCTTTGTTGCAGACTTATTTAAGAGTTATAAAGCAGCGGACTGAAAGCGTTGTGATCATAAAATCTTAATAGTTCCTTGTCTGATTGTCTGAGGTCTCCCACGGTTTAGCGATAGAGTTAATCGCAACTGAAACTCGGGGATGTTACTTCAAATGAGAATGTTTTTTCTGGGATATCCATTACTAATGTCTTATAAGAACCAATAAGTTAAGTTTTGTGTAGCGGCACCTACCTGGTTTAATATGGGATTCGTTTGCGATATCCAAGGTAATTGAATCGAAGCGAAAATATCTCTTATTAATTTCCTATTTCCTTCTTCCTGTTGCTGTTAGTTGTTGTAGCTTTTTTTAGCCCAACTCATATATTATATTTCACACCCATTTGGAGCCCTCCTGATGACGTAACATAGTTACGGGGTCACTAGGTTTAATTTTTAAATGTTTTTGGATATTCAAGTAACAGATACAAAAATAAAACAGTACTATGCATCAAATTTTATTAAGAATTTTTCTAAAAGTCAAGAGAGTTAATTTAAAGCGCACTTTAAAACCATTGAATGTTAAAATCCTTGTGCCGTTTTGAGCCACTAATTTGCTCAAAGTTTTAGCTTCTTTTTATTGGAAGTATTGATGATCGGTCATTTCCATTAAAAGTTTCCTTTAAAAACTGAAATTGTCGTATTGGGACATTTCATTGCACCTCAATCACACTCTTAAATGGTGAGCGTAGACTGGAAACGAGTAACTATATCCAAAATGGCTCCCAAGTGAAGTTGTGTTGGGCTGAGGTGGTTGGTGTTTTCTTCCTTTGAGCTCGAGCCAATATTGGACCATCAAACGGGAAAAAGTACATTAATAAATATATAACCAGCTCCTCACTGTTTTTAAAGACATGTCGAGATCGCAGTCCTCACCGGATATTTACAAGGTGTCTGTAACTCGGACGAGCTCCAAGAGCTTGGACGAAGAACTTCTCGAACTGTGTAATTTGAGCGGAGTCACTTTAGATCCTGATGTCTTCAAGATATTGCTGGATTTGATAAAGCTTAATGTTCCACCGCCTTCGTTAGTCACAGTTCTTAAGCAAGTCGCTTCTACTAAGGGCTATCGAAACGAAGGTCATCCCGCTTTGTCAGCAAAGTCGAGTACCGGTTCCACTAGTTCGGCAGGAAGCGCTTCAAGTTATGAGTCTTTACAGTCTTCACAAAGTACCATTGCTTCTGGAAGCAGTTTGGGATCGACTCAAAGCCCGAGACTTGAGAGAATTCCAATTTCTAGCCGTCTGAGGGAAATGAAAGCCAACGCTATGCCGCAATAGTCTGACTTTATCTTCGTATAGAGACGAACCAATGCCTGGCGTACTTTTCATTGCAAACACTAAACAAAGATTTTGTAATCCTTGCTTATTTTTTTTTCAGATTTTAAAACTTTTTAAATGTAAAATTAATTGTAAATGTGTCACCGCATGCAAGGTTTAGTTTAATTATCCTGAATGTATGTTAATCTCACAAAGTGTGACTACAGTTAGACCCTGATGTCTTCAAGATATCTTTGTTCCACTGCCTTCGATAGTAGCAGTCCTCAAGCAAGTGGGTACAAACATGCTTACTGTCAATGTAGTCACTCACAGCAAATTGTATGACTTCAAAGAAAAAACAACAATTCTTTTACAACCTCTGTTATATTAGCTTGCATTGGTCCTATGCAATGACTGACATATAAACTAGATTTTACTTGGAATCATTGTTTCCTGCAATATGCTCGATCAACTTTGCTTCATCTTGTTTCCCTAACAGTGACTAACAGCTAAGAATTCCCTGTAATATTACCCCTGAATCAAACATACACTAGGGTCAGAAGAATAAAGTAAATGACCACCAACCAAAGGAGCTCTTGACTGTTAACCAAATCTACCTTGTGGGTACTATAAGAAATGTACAGAGAACAGTCTGGAGAACAACGATGTTAGGCTTTAGTAAAGTGAACCCATTCACTGTAGTAGCTCCTCACTCCGAGAGGGAATTAAGCTATAAGTTCTCTTTGCATTACTGATGGGAATGGGGGTGGGGAGCTGTAATGAAAATAGATCAATTTTTCAGCTGGAGGTTGTAACTTCAGCTTGGCATGATTTTGCAGAAGATGGGATTCTAATTGAATTTTACTAATGCAAATATAATAGCAAATATGAATATATGTGAATGGGTTACACCTAACATACCCTCTATAGCCATTTTAAGTTCTCCAATATACCTAAAAAACGGGTTAGAGTGAAATGTGAGATATGTGTATATATTTCTAGTAATCAATGTTAATTGCATGTATTTGATTTCCAAATTGTATACAACAATTTGCTCGAAAGAAAAACCATTCAGGCTTTTTTATATAACACCTGTTTTATTGTAATTTGAAGCTGTTTCAAAGTGTAAATAAGTATATAACAGTCCAAGAAAATATTTTCCTATCATATGACAACTAATCAACTGAAATTCACAATCTGTTGCTCTCAACGAACATTGTCCAAAGTAAGCTTACAAATTATTGATAATATAAATAAATATAGTCTTTATTTATGGGTCCATATCATCATCATCTTCAAAACTGAAAGTGCTGCATTCACCAACAATCTCAACATGATGAACCCTGCGAGGAATAATCAGAAATATTACATATTAAATAACAGAGTTCACATTCAATACTTACCTCTCAGTAAATATGGGTAATACAAGCAATGGCAACACTGATAAAATTCTTTACCTCAACTGTGTATCTCTGGTTTTCAAACTCTCAAATTTTGTAATCAGGTAGTAGTTAATTTGTTCTATTTTAAAATCATGAAGCAACTGCACAAAAAGTCAGGAAGAGAGAGGTGGGTAGCATACTCACACTGCCTCTGTAAACTCACCCTTTGTCTTGAAGCTGGTCTGTCTCAGGAAGACTTTCCATGATCAGACTGCTGCATGTGCTGCTACTATTACTATTTGGCAGGTCTACATTGTTTTCCTAACATGAAGAATATGAGAACACACATGCTTAGGAAACATACTTATTTGCAACAACTGATAACAGGTATTTCATAAAAATTATGTAACTCATTCACCCCAGTCCACCACACCTTTCTGCATTCACATTTGATATGACAGCTTTTGTCACACCACACGAGAAACAATCAAAAACAAGTTTTTCACTGTTGAATTACAAATTTCAACTGTGTGCTTAATTTTCACCCAAGGAAGTGATTTATATGAAACTTCTCACAGTATTATCCAGCAAACTGATTGAGAAAGCTTGGTAACAGTGAAGTGAGTTACTTAAATATATGATAAGTTCTCTAAACTAATTTACAACAAAATGTATAGCAGCTGAGAAGGGGGAAGTATGCATCAGATCTCTGATTACCTGGCAAACCTCCTTGCTATCTGTTGATAAAGAAAACCCATCATCAGGACTCTTCCAAGGAACAACTGCCAAACAAGGCTTACTTCTGCAAAATAAATAAAAAAGAAATAAACTTTTGATTTCATGATGTCAGACATACACTCAGCCTAGTATAAACATGTGGAGTAACTTAAAAGGTATTAACAAGCGATTGTTACAGTTTTTCCTTAAAAAATATGCCTAAAACCAAATTAGTTGCATTGAAACTGAAATAGAGATATTGAACTTACATCTGATTGTAGATAGCTTCTGGAATGATTGACTCTTGTTTGGTGATAGCTTCCTTCACATGTGTCGACAAAACAAACCTTGGCAAATTGTCTTGCCGGCTGAAAAATAAAACAAACCACTAAGTAATAATATTGTAAAGTTCTGCAAAATATCCACAACTTTCAATGAGTAGCAATGGTATTTATTTAAGGGCTTGGTATTAGAGGCCATGTACCACAGATGTTAAATGTGATGGGTGTCCTTAGACAAATAATTCTTCTGCAGGAAAATGATAAAGGAAAAACTTGGACATGTCACACAGTCAAGGTAATTGCTTATTTTGCCAAAGGTCTTTAACCCCCTACACCCTAACATCAGTATGCATATTCTCCACACTGTTCTCTATACATTTCCTAAGAAGCTGATAGGGAGAATTTGTTTAACAATCAAGAACTTCTCTAGTTAGTAATCATTTAATTTTTTTCTCATGACCCTAGTGTTTGATTACGGGTTCAATTTAGATACTAGTCTCCCTTAGGGTAACAAAGAATTAAAATAGAGAAATAAAAATAACTTTAACTCACTTTTGCATTGCATCTGTATTTTTCACTTCATCATCATCACTGTTATTATCATTGCCTTCACATATTTGACTGTCAGAGGTGCCAACTGCCTGATTTGCCATTAAACTTTGCAAGATATTTACAGGATTATTATGATCGTTACTTATCCTTAACTTGTGCATTCTTGCTGCCATTCTTTCTGACAGATACCGTTTACTTGATGGTCCCTCTTGTCTTCAATAAAAGAGATAAGTAGAACTTAATTGAGTTGACTATACCTACTTAAACAGAATTAAAGAAAATTTAAAAAAACCACTGCTTACCCATCATCACCTTTTGAAAAACTACTTTTCCGTTTTGCTTTGTGTGCATGAAAGCTTTCATTTCTCCTGCCACAGTAAAGAAAACTGTAATGATTAAATTGTGCCATTTGTACCATAACCCTTTATGCCCTAACATCAGTATGCATATTCCCCATACTGTTCTCTAAACATTTCCTATGGTTCTGAAAAGGAGAATTGATTGAACAATCTAGAACTTCTTTAGTTTGTGATCATTTCTTCCATTCTCATAACCTTTAATTCAGGTTTGATGGTGATATTGTAAGGATAAATTATGTCCTCGTCACTCTTACAGGTAAAAGGGTTAAAGTGGTATTTACTTTTATTTCTTAGAGGTCATTTATACTAACTTTTTGACATTCTAAGTGTGACAACAACAACATATTATACACTTACCCCCTACCATTAAGTCCTCGGGACATCTCTACATTATTATTGCGGGAATGATGACCCTGTAGTAACATTGATGTTATTGCAGGGTTACCAGAACTTGAGCCTGGTGTAGGATTCGAGTATAATGAAGGAAAAGCTTGGCCTTGAAAGCTTGTACTTATGTTTTGATTGTTTGAAGTCTGTGATTCTTGTAATGGAGTGTGCATTTGTATATGCGATGTGTTCTGTGAAGGTCGCAATGAGAAGTATCTTTCAAACGGCGGTGAATTTGAGTTGCTCGATTGCTGGAAGTTTGATTGTGTCGTATCGCCTCTAGGTAACCGATTAGCTAATTCTGAATTTCTGGAAATTCCAACGCCATGAACTCTTTGTTGTGGTGGAGTAAAATGCGGACCTCGTAGAGAAAATCTCAGGCCATTGTTGGCCGTTGCATTCTGAGGTCTTAATGAAGGGTTTCTTATAGTCTCCCTTCGCTGATTCGTCGGGCCAAAGGAATCTTCGTTGTCCCAAGATATCGATCCGTAGGGTATATTGTTGTTGTTATCCATGTCCGATGATTGTCAAGAGGAGGATGGAAGCCAGTCGTTTAAAAACCCCTTGTTCATTAAAAAGCTGGCCTAATTAATATCCAGTGAAAGAGATGTTGTCCTCGAAACTTGCTTGACTCATCACCGAAGCTAAATCTTCTTATTAATTTGGAAAGGTAAATCCTCCATTGTGCTTCTTATCCAGGTCGTGTAAGAAATTTCAAATAGTCGCACGCAAAACAAATCGATTTTGCTAGGGAGGGGAGGGTGAAAGGAGCACTTTTGATCTCCACTAAACGTAAATTATCTCTCATAGAGGATGAAAAAAATATAATTTCAACTTGTTTATCAAATAGAAAAAAACAAGTTGATTTACGCACTATAATTCATACTCGGATTTTTACTTCAGAAATTCCACTTGTCTTAATTCTCCCCATAGGGATCCCCTACACGAAGAAGTCAAAAGATTTCCTCTGTGTAGCTGCGGGCTCGTGAGACATCCAACATGGCCGCAAAGATGGCGGCCTTATTTCGTTGTTATAGAGTTTCTTTGGCTTGTCGGCCTGTAGTTACGGACGAAATTAATTTTTTAATGCGGAGACAATGTGCATCATTCTCACGCAGATGTGATTTAAGTTGCTTAGCGACAGAAAATGGCATTTCACCCATATCGAAAAATACATTTGGATACCAACAGACCTCACTTGTGGGATTGCAGGAGAAGAGATTTTTTACATCTTCCTCCGTCACCCCTAATGATAACCCACAAATAAGTAAGTCATAAACGTGGCTGTTTTTAATATTATAAAATGCAAATAACTTTTAAGAGAAGGTAAGTTACCATTTCCTCCCAAAAGCCATGCTTAATCGCTTCTCATTCCACACGACCCTAGTGGGTGTTGGGGAGGCGTGTTCAAGTGGGTTAGGGTCTAGTGCAGTGGACAACAATTGGGTTCATAAAAAAGTAATTTAATGATGCTTTGATTTAGCCTTAATACTGCTTTCACTTGCTTGCTTCTAAGTAAAACAATCACCTAAAATAAGCACCCAAACCTCAGTTTGCAGAGGGTGGGGGGAGTGCAGGTACAATCTTTTCCCAAAGCACTCTGTAGGAATGTGAGAGACGTGTTTGCCTAATGATTGGTGTGTTAGACTCTGGGTTGAGAGGTCTCAAGACCTGGCTGGGTAATTGTGTTGTGTTCTTGGGCAAAACACTTCACTCTCATTCTGCCTCTCCCCACCCAGGAGTATAAATGGATATTGGTGGAGTGTAAGGGAGGCCTGATGAAGTGCTGGAGGGTAGCCTTGTGGTGGACCAGCATCCCATGCAGTGGAGAGAAATAGTCTTGGTCCCTTTAAGTATTAAAACCGGGAATAAACTGAGTGAAGACTTTACTGTTTTATTTACTTATTCTGAATTCCAGAATCAGAGAATTAATTTTTGTGCCCAGTAGCTTTGAAGCTAAGTGTACATAGACCAGTATATTTTAAGTGCTGTATACTTGGCTTAAAATGGTTCTGCATGCGTGAGAATGATTGTCCTATTTTTTTCATATCTGCAGTCTTTGCCAACCTGATTTTCACTTGTATTTCCTACAACTGGCATCAGTTGTTTAGAGTACCTGATTATTAGAAGGCTTTTAAATTTATTCTTGTCTGCATCCCTGTATGTGTATGAAAAAAATTAACCTATCAGATGAGCCCTATGAGCCTCTAGAAAAACCCCTAACCCCTCAACTCCCATGAGTGACCAAGACAGAATTTCTCTTTACAATATCAATACAAAATCAATGATATCAGTGATGATGATAAAGGAAAATGTCAATTAGGGGATTACTAGTTGATTCATTACCAAATTCTCCAAACTAATATCATAAGAATTGTTTGACAGTAAGGAGAATTACTGTAATAAAAAAATGTAAAAAACTTTCAGGAGCTTGTGATGTCTATTTTTAATTAATTTCGTATTTAGAAGGTTTTAGGTTACCTAATTACTTCTTTGGTCTCTTGCAGCATTTGAAAGCCTTTCGGATCTGATGATTTCAGGAGCTTGTGATGTCTATTTTTAATTAATTTCGTATTTAGAAGGTTTTAGGTTACCTAATTACTTCTTTGGTCTCTTGCAGCATTTGAAAGCCTTTCGGATCTGATAAAAGACAAACTACAAGAATCCCTTAATCATGATTCCTTGGCAACACACTTGAAAGTTCTTGAAGCTTTGATCAAGCATTGGAAAGGGGAAGTGCTATCTGTGTCTGTCACAAGAACAGCAGCAGAATGTAAGTCTTCATCATTGTTAGATTGTAAGACCTTGTTTATTGAAAAAAAAATCATATTATAATATTATATTCGATATGAACCATGACTTTCTATCATAGTATTATATGATAAATTATGCACAAATCTTGATTGGTTCTTGCTGATAAGATATTGACGGGCAGATGCATAGATGACTTCACTTTTAACAACATTTTGCTTTTTTATCATGTAAAACAAAGAGTTTCCATGTTGCTGTGAGTCTGTACAGTAATAGTTCACAGAAGATGTGAAAATGTGGGAAGGACATCAGTGACGTATTTGGCTGCACCTTGTGTGAAGTTTTTGTTCTTACCACATTTTGACGTCTTCTGTTATCTATTACTGAACACTGCTTGGCAACATGGATCTATTTGTTAATAAACCCTTAAACTCCCAGATCAAATTTGTAATTCTCCTTACTGTCAACCATACAATTCTTATAATGTTAATCCAGAGAATTTTATTAGTATTGGATCAACTAGAATTATCTCCAAATTGATATTTTTCTTAGTTCTCATCACTTTGCTGGTTGATATGGTACTGATATTGTAAGGAGAAATTCTGTCCTGGTCACTCTAGAGAGTTGAAGGGTTAAGCTATGATCATAATAACAAATAACAGCAAATGGTTTTATGTACCATGAACTAGCAATCCATGGATGCTATTTTCTGCAAGTAGCTGCCAGGAAGAGTTGAAAATGTTCTTGAATCAACTAGATTTGACTCAAATTGGATGATTCATGCCCTTAAAAGTCGACACATCATACCAGAAGTCAATTTGCAAGACACTTGTATTATATTCCACAACTTGCTATGAGGGAGGGTTGAAAATGTTGAAATGTTGAAAATGGAATTGTGTGTTGTGGACTTTGTATGAATTTTATGATATTGAATTACCTTGAAATTTTTATTATTTCAGTATCTTCAGAGGATGTTTATAGACTGGCATCACTTATCTTTGAAACCCAAGAATCAGGTGTGATAGAAAAATTTGTGAACTTTAAATATTTGCTATCACAATCACATTGTACCATAGGAAACTTTAGAAAATCCAATGTACTTCATCAGTGTAAGGAGTTGGAGGTCTTAGTGCCACTATCTACCTAATCCCCAGAGGCTTAAAGCAATGTTAGCAAGTTGTACTAACAAGCCATATAAATACTAAATGTCTGATATTACCCTGTTTGTAGTTGGAAAGGATGCAGTTGAATTGGCTGCTCCACTGTTCAGATTTTCTGCAATGGCTGGAAATCCAGATGGAATGTATAGCTATGCAAAACTCCTGGAAACAGGTTGATTACTCTTATCTGAATAATAATATTTGTATTCACTATGCTTGTGACATAATTAAGTATGATGTTAAGAGAGGTCTTCCTAGCATAGAGTGGTTGTCCCTTTTTTCTTTCTTTGATTTTATATCATTAATTTTCTCTTTCTTTTTATTTTATTCTATCCCATCTTGTCCCATCTTATCTCATCCGACCTTATCTCATTTCCTTTCACCGTATCTCTTCTCATTTCAGTTTGTTTTATTTGTGCTTTATATTTCTTTTATCTGCATTTTCTCAGGAGAGGGTGGAGTAGAAAGAGACCCCATTGAGGCTGGAAAGCTTTTCTCAGAGCTTGCAGACCAAGGTCATCCATTTGCTCAGGTTAAAGGCTTTACATGGATTATGGCATAATTTAATCCAGTTTAAGTTTAAAACATTAATGGAGTGTATGAGGAATTAGGGAGGTTTCTAGAGTACATTAGCAAGTGCTCATGCTTTTTCAGCTTTGCTGCTTTCCTTACTTTTTTCCCTTCCCTTTCCCACACATTTGGAGATGTATTCATCCCACACACATTTTTTTTTAAGTCATGATTACAGGTGCCCAGTTCTGACAAAACATTAAATTACTTTTCTTTTCTTTTCAGTTTACTTTAGCACATTTTTATCACAATGGAATTGGAATGAAAAAAGATTTACAGATGGCCCTTGAGCTTTATGAGGTACCATTCTACTGTGCTTGTTCTACCATTTCAATGTTGCATTGATATAATGTCATTGTGTAAAGTGATAGTTTGTGCTCATCATTTTAAATATTCTGGTCAGATCTCAAATTTAGAAATTGAAAAAGTGTTACAAAGAAAAATATGAAATGGAAACATTTTCAATTTTAAATTAATAAGTATTTTGAACCCTCAGGTCTTCAGTTAACAGTTTGTTCCTTTTAATGGCACCCTTGTTTTGTCTAAAATTAACATGATGTGGCCTGTTTTTAGGATATATATATAAGACAGTATTGAAATTCTCTGTATAGGAAAATGTTTTTTTTTTAAAAATTTTGTTTTTGTTGAGAACAAGTTAAGTTGACATGTGTGATGTGTTAATCCTCTTCTTAATTTCAGGCCAGTGCAAAGAAGGGAGTGAGAGAAGCTAACACTATGATAGGTATGTACATGAATGACTACAGTTACATGTTAGAGCAAAACTTAAATTATTTGCTGAACTCGATAGAGCTCTGGGCTTATTACATGTATCAAGCTGGATTTTGCATTTAACCCTTCATCTTCCAGAAGTGATTAGTAAGTATTTTCTCCCTTTGGTGTCTATACATTATCCAGCAAACAGATAATGAGAATACTCAAAATTATCAAGTAGGAGTTGTTATATTTAACTAATGCCAAATTATCTGACTTTTTTACAAGGAAATATGTAGTAGCTAGAGAGGAGAATTAGCAATCAGACCTTGGGAGTTAAAGGGTTAAGTCCTTTGTACTCATGATTATGGGCCAGATTTCAGTGTTGTTCCCTGGGTCTTTTCCTTTCCTCCTTTTCAGCTACTGATATTTTCTCCCCTTTCCCTCCTTCACCCCATCAGTGTGCACCCTAGGCAGCAATATACTGCTAGTTACTGGGGGTGTATTGCTGTCTGTAAGACTTATCACCACCCACTGATTAGCCGGTTAGCAGGCTCTCCTGTCCAGGTTTTGCTGCCACCTATTAGACCATCAGCAGCCACTTATGTTAAAGGTTATTGAAACCCCCAACCCCAAGAACCTGGGAAATAAGCTCATGAGGTCTCTGATTTTGATGACATAAGTAGTTCATTCTAATTCTACACAAGAATAAAATTTATTAAATTTAATAAAAAACATGATGTACATTTGATATTCGTTTATTAAATTTATTAAAAAACATGATGTGCATTTAATTTTTTTTAAGGAAACATGTATACTACTGGAGAGATAGGAAAGGTAGATCTAATAAAGGCAGCCAAGTATTTTACAAAAGCTGCTGAAAAAGGTTTGTTTTTATATGAATTATGAATTACATGGTAAACTTTTTGCGGAGAGATGAAAAACTGACAGATGAATTTTCTTATTGGACAGTTTTTGATATAAAAGGATGGTGTATCATATGAAAGGCACACGACTGGTGTGCATGCATGTCTTGTGGAATCATTGAATTAGTGGTTTAGTAATAGCCCTGAATCAAGTATTAAGGTCACTAGAACAATGGGAACAATCACCAACCAGAGAGACTCTTGATTGTTAAACAAACTCCCCTTGAGCTTTCAGTATCTTAGGAAATGTATAGAGAATAGTGTGGAGATAATGCATACAGATATTAGGGTGTAAAGGGTTAAGGATTTACTTGTTTGTCATTCAAGGAGGAGTATTGAATAAGGCCAAAATAGGGGAAGATGCAAGTTAGCCTTGCAAGGCAGGAATGACCTTGTGAAACCCTTTCCGGTAATTTTATTACTAAGAAATGTGTAAGTCTGTTTGAGAAAGAGAGAGAGAGTGTGGCCTGGGAGAGAGTGTGGGCTGGATTGTATCTTCAGTGTTTTGGTATTGGAGTTATCATGAGGTGAAAAGCTTCCCCGATTTTGAGACTATAAAGTGGTCCACTTTCATTAAGGTGATGTGCCAGCTCTCATGTCACTTGGTGCATTTTACAGTCAAGGCACTGGTGTAGAAAAGAATTTTCAAAAGTCATTCAAGTGCTACAAAGCAGCAGCTGACCAAGGTACATATGTCATAAGCTTAAATTCTGCAATATGGTAAGGGCAAAAACATACTTAGTGTAACATAACCGTGTTATTTTTGGTTTGTGTGTGAACTTGTAGTCTGTCTGTTTGTCAGTCTGTCAATCAGTTATTTACAATTATGATAGTCAATCAGTCTGTCAGTGCAATGGTAAGTCAGTCTGTAGATCAGGGAGTCAGTCAGTCAGTCAGTTAGTCAGTCAGTCAGTCAGTCAGTCATCATCTATCAACCAGTCTGTGAGTCAGTCGATTAGCAGTTCGGAAGTCTGTATGATTATATAACAATTCCACCATCCATCCATCCATCAGCTGGTCTGTCAATTAATGATTGATTAATTAAGGTATTTACCAAGTTTTTTCACCTCTTGAATGGAGCTTCTATGTACTCTTCTTTGTCTGATGAGGCTTTATTCTCCACAAGAAGAAGAAGGAACAATGATAGTAACTATAATAATGCTGATGATGTCTGCTCACCAGGCCACCTAACAGCCCAGTACAATGTTGGAGTCAACTATTTTGCTGGAAAAGGAGTTGAGAATGACATGAAGAAAGCAGCTTATTACTTTAACCTTGCTGCTCAACAAGGACATGTGTTTGCTCAGGTATATTGATACACCAATAATCACCCAGTTTAAAGATCACCCAAAAGGTTTTATCAGGTAAATTTTTTTCCTAAATTTGGGAGAAGTACTATGTGAAGGGTCTGACATAAGGAAGTTGAAGTGCAACACAACTTTCCTGTTAAGTAGCAACTTGCAGTTGAGATCATGATTCAATTCTTCCTTACAATATCTATCAATTTCTAGACAAATAGGTGCAAATAGAGAAGAAATATTTTAAAACTAAAATAATGTTGCCTTGACTTTATTTTGTAGTGTTTATATGGTTAAGCTCATTTAGTTGAGCCACCATCACCATCTTGCATGTAATCTATCCACCATACTATGCTGGATAGATTAAGTTAACTTGACAGATTAAGTTAACTCATCCAGCCTTGAAGGCTGGATAAGTTGACTTAGTGATCAAACTTTGTAAACTACAATAAGATCCAGTAAATTTGTTATTTTGGCTAGGTTCAACAATTTTGTGCTTCTTCTTTCAAAAAGAAAGTATGATTATTTGTAAGATTACTGGGAATGGAGCCCTGTGTTTTGCTAAGTTTAAACATACAGATATGCTAAATGACTCACTTGAGTTGCTTCTTCTTTATAAAGCAGTGCACCAATTTGGTCCTTTTTTGTTGTCTGTTGTAGATCAATCTTGGAAACATGTACTACTTTGGATATGGTGTAGAGAAAAACTGGGAGAAATCAAGACAGCTTTACAAGGAGGCGGCAAAAAGCAACCAACATGCTGAGCTTTTGCTTCAAGAACTTGAGCATGAAATGGAGAACCTGGACAAAAATGATGACCCTTATTAGTCACGGTAAAAATGAGTAAAAACGTTTTAGTTGACATCACTGAATTGTGAAGCAGGGTTGCAGAACGTTTGTCACCTTGTTTAAAGTGATCTAAGGAATAGATTGTGGGTGGAAAACAAGAGGTTATTCAGGTGTTAACTTTGCAATGGATTGGAACTGGGAATCAAACAGCTCAAGTACCTCTGTGAACCTAATTGAAGTCCAGGATTGAGTGAGCAGGTGCATTATCCGGTTAAATGATGTCAAGGGATATCAATTGTGTCTTAAGAGGCAGACATGTTGCCAGGCAACAATGTAATGAAATTTAAAATGGTAAATCATTAATTTGTGAAAAAACATTCCTTCATGCACAGACTGTATAAACTCTCGTGTGAGATGAGCATAGGTTATATACTTGAGGAAGAAAAAGCCATGCATATGTGGAACTGTAGGACTTTCTGATATTTTGCTGACCTTGACTTGGTATTTGAGAAGTGCTTCAAGTATGTAATTACAGTATGTGAACATCAGAGTGGAAAGAAAGGAAAGCTGAGAACATAGAGGAGAAAGTGATGGGAATATTGGTTCTTGTCATAATGTAATTCCTAATCACAAAAAAGTTTACTTATTTGCTTAATTTTCATGATCAGACAATTTAAGAGAGGTGCAAGTTCTACGTCACTGGTTCAAAGTATTTGAATTCTGTCCAGATGATAAAAATGTCTAAAAATTCAATTTTATACAATTTCTCGTAAGCGAAAAATTATACAATTCAACCTTGGAAGTGTGATGTTCTGACATTTTCCTCTTTTTGATTACAAAAGGCAGCAGCAAAATTGTGAGTATGAACACCTAGTTCATTCAGCTACCTCAGATGGGTCACGCCTTTTATTGCCCTTCTAATTTTCCGTCCCTTTGAGTTAGGAGTAAAAAATTCGTACTCTTTGGCTTAATACTAAGTCAGTCTTATTATATATTTGGAAAATCATCATTTCACTTGACCCAGACGAAAACAGTTGACTGTCAAAGGTTTTCGTCTTCATCTGAAAGAGAAGCCACGTTACAGGAAATCTACTTGTGCGCGGTATGTACTCCTAACTTGTTTTATTATTTCGCCTCTAAAGAAGGCCTTCACATGTTTTTGAAAAAATTGAAACCGATTTCCAATACAACAGTATTGCAAGCATAACATACCCTGACGTGATGCTTAAGATAAAGTGCTTTGTAGAAGTTGTTCATGAGGAGTGAAACGAAAAAGCTTTACAATTGAAGAGTACAAGTCATTATAATTTTGATACTCTTTTTATGTGAAATATTAAATAATCTCTCTCTCTCTCTCACGGAGTCTCTTTCTTTAGAGTGAAAGTCGACAGTAATTACAATTTAAGTATGCGCTTCGCTTTGTGTACGATGCCCCGCGTTTCATAACCATCACGTCTCATTGATTGGTCTCATTTATTTCGTCTTTGCTTCAATTTCTTCTGGAGTATTTTTGTTTCTTTTTTTCTTTTTGTCGGGTTTCAAATGAAAGCCCCACCCTCCCCTCTCCCCTATTGAATCGACCCTGTGCATAATTAGCTATTTTATCTGCATTGCAAATGGTTTTCTCGTTAAGCTCATTTAGTATGCAGTTGCACCATTACGTTTGCGAAGAGTTAAAAAAATATGGCGTTGTTCGTTGAAAATACGCCGACCGCTTGGTTGTTGCTGAACATGAAGCAGACAGAGAACCGTTCCCATGCAGCTTTGAGTCTCTTCGTTCGGAAGAAAAGTCGTCAACACGTGAATTTGGGAAAGACTGCAAACGCTTTAACGACTTAAAGTGAGGACGAAAGTGGCATGGCTTCTTCGTTTTGGTATGTCGTCGAATTGTGTTTTATATTGTATAGAACATAATAAGAATTGTTATGACTATATGGTGGAATATGCCAAATTTTTTTAAGTAGCAGATATTTCTCCTTTCCATAGAGAGTTCGTGAATGACCTCATGGGTTAGATTTATACTCCTGTTTTCTTACTTTACCCAAGGAATATTTCTTACAGTGATGAGGAGTTCACTCCGTTGGGATTATCTCTGATATAAACTACATAAATACCAACTTTTTTTCAAGGTTTATTATTGAGATAAATATTCCGACTTTAAAGTAACTCGGCTAAAATAAATTTTTGCTTCGGATTTCCTAAACCAAGACATTGTCAGCTTTAATTTCCTTCAATAGTTTCCTACTGTACCCACACGTACAAGTTACGTCGAGTATAAAAGACTTCCAGCAAACACAGATGTTCTGAATGGTGTGATTGCTCCAGCGTATTCATTTTCAAAAGTGTTGGGCGTGTAAATATCAAAATTTGTAAACTTTGGTAAATGCATTGTTTATTCGTTGAAATTTCAGGGGCTAATCAAGGTCTCTATAGTACCATTACGATAAAAACTAGTTGTGACATTATTTCTCGCCTTGCAACGTAAATCTAACAAGCTTTTATATATCCTTTATTGCCAGGATTCTATACATATAGTACCTTCGATTGTCACTTCAAGTTAAAAAGTGGTTGGATTGAATCAAGTAATAAAAGTCAACAAACTCTTTGTATTGTTCACTGCTTTATTTACGTTGTAAAATATTTCAGTCAGTAAATGTTACAAGTATTCTCTTCCAATAAATACTCTTTAATTAGTTGAGTGATTTGTCATTAATTACTCGAAAAGGTGACAAAAAAATTTCGTTCAAATATATACTAAGACTTTTGACGGGAAAATTTGGATCAATTTGCACAAAGTTTCCCCTGACAAGATTTTCAACAAAAAAATTCAAAATGGCTTCCCTTAAAGTTTTCCGCCAAAAAATATGTGACCATCACCTTGTGCAAAAATTTTAATAACAAAATCTATGAACAGTCCTTCGTTCAAATTTCTTTTCGAATTCTACTCTTCAAAGAGACAAAATTTTCAAGCAAAGATCCTTTTGTGGTCTCTTAAGCTTTTTATGCACAAGGTGATGTAAAAATATCTTCTTTAGCAACATGGCAAGCTAAATTTAATCTGCTTGTTCCTTGCCAATTAGTTTGTGTAGTAGTTCCTATTTCCATTTTTCTAAATTTTTTAAAGCTTGTCGTGTTGCTACTAACAAGACCTCTTTCAGCCGTCCATTTTTTTTCTTGCGCAGGACAATTTTGAAACAAATAAACATTTGTAAACAGGTCGACTTATAGCAGAACCAAAATAATCTTCAACTGCTATTTTTTCTCTTTTTTCAAGTTCGCCGTGATTTTATTTTAGTCACAATGCATCAGAATGTCATAACATTTGCATGATTCCTGCTATGTTATTGCGACGTTTTTTTTTTTTTGATTTTTGTTTTATTTTATATAGATTTCATTTTCCAAACTATCCTTAAGTCCTGTGCAACAGTCTTTGGCGGAAAAAGGTCTTTGTACATTAAACATAATACAACATAACCAAATGGCTGGTTCAAAGAGTACATTTAAAGTAAACTTTTTTTGGACTATAAAATGCTATCAGTTATACAGACCTATACCATGGAAAAAGGAAGTGTCCTATCCTCAAAACGACACTGTCTTGCTTAAGAGTCAATTTCAAATCTTGTTTTGGAAACTTTCGTTTAATTTGTCCTCTTAGAGAGTTTTTTCCAAGTAGGAGAACAATTTATGGATACTTTAGAAACTGTGCTCTTTAAAACAAAGACAGGGTCCTCGTAACTCTCGAGTTCGCTGTAAATCACAGACCGGTCAAAGCTGAATTTGTGAATTATCTTTTATTTACCTGAAACTTGTCCAAGACATTAAATTGAACGCGGCTTCATTTTTTCTCTTTAACGTGAGTTTAACAGACAATTTTGTTTTCGTATAATTACTATGATAACTGACTGCACTGTGATCTAAAAGATCGATTTAAACTGCTTTCAAATTTTCCGTCAGTTACATAAAAAAATGTCTATAGTGTGACAGTGTTTCCGAGCTATAAAACAGTTTCTATTCGTTTTTCAATTCGTTAACTTTGTTCATGAAATTGACAATTCTTTGATGCTTAAAATATCTAAAATTGTTGGAGGTGTTATGGTCTGTATAACTGTAAATCGGAACCATTTACACAAGAATTTCTTGCAGTCATCTGAACCAGACATTAAGTTTTACTTTATTAACTTGCAAACGACAAGAGAACTTTGGCAACTGGTTTTGCAAATATTTGTTGATGGAAGAGCGTTTGTTAGCTATGATTGGTTAGTGTAGGTTCTGCAAGTTGCGTTCGCTATGGTAAATGTCTTGTTCAACTTCATTTGTGGGGTGTCGGTTCAAGCTAGTCTTTGTCAACATTCGCTGGGAGTGGTCTCTTTTAAGTTAGTTAACATGTTGTTTTGCGTCAGTCGCTGAAAAGAGTCAAAGCTCTAGGATTTACGTTTGGTAGACTCCCGGCTTCATTTTTTTAGTTGTTCAGTGATGTCAATGATGACGTCATCACGTTTGTGGTCAGTCTTTTTTCAGTCTTCTGCTATAGCTTCTCCTGTTAAAGAAGCTTGGCAGGTGGAGCAATTCATCTTGAATTTTAACTTGTCTTAAATGTTGATCAGGTTTTGTAGAACATGAAGGATTGGTGCAATTGTTCTGTTTGTTAATTCTACTCTTTGTAGTCATGGCTGTTGAGCGGGCGCGTGTTTCGTCTAATAACGTCGACGTGTTTTCCTTTTGTTAAAATCACGTCAGTTTTGAGTATTTTTTTTCTACTAGTGGGTTGTAAAATTTGTTGTACTCCACTGATCGTAAGGGGTAACTTAATACGAGATGTTGTGTACAGCAATCTATTGATATACGTTTGTCTTTGTCAACAGCCTTAAAAAAAATTATTTTCTTTGGTGAATTACTTGTCAGCAACGCTCTGTATGTCAATTTGCCTTAGTGTACGGTGGGTAATGTAGCGGTCTTGTCTCTAAGCGAGTAGTGAACAAATAGCCATTCTTTTACGCCAAGAAAAATGAATGGAGAAATGTGTTTTGGTTGCCAGGGTTCTCTTGTCCATTACAAGAAAAATTACTGATGCAAATATGTGGATCTTTTAAAGTGGCACTGACAGTTGACGTTTTTAATTGATCGCCTGTTTAAAAGTCTCTGCATACTTTGCGCAAAAAAAATTGTCGAAAACACAACGTTTCGTGGCTTAATGGTGCTTGGATAACAAACGAGATACATTTTTTTTCGATTTAGAAAGATTTGGATTGTTTTCCTTTCTCTTTTAGTGCGGTAACAGGACGACCTATCCTTATTCCAGTCTTCAGATCTTTTACCTTAAAATATTATCAAACAAACAGTGCCACTTAGAAAATTCCACACCTGCTGGTGGCTGCCATCGTCGCTAAATCTCCCCGCAGAATTTCTACTCACCAACTTCATCCTTTTATCCTCGACTCCAAATCGTTTTTGACAAGGGTCTCTCTTGATAATCCATTTATCCAGTGTAAAATACATGTAGGCATAGTTCCTAGCAAACTTAGAAATTTTGGCAGCCACCATCTACACTAGCATAATATAAAAATGAGATTTAGAGATCTTATCTTCGTGGAGTTTAATCTTTATTTATTGATTCCACTTTGTCCTTTTGTATTCTCTTCCTTCTCTTTGACTTTCTCTCTTCTCCATTTTTCTCCATGGTCTTCCTTTAACGGAAATAAGGAAAACAATTGTCCAGTTGATTCAGCTGACTTTAAATTTGTCAAAGGATTAATATAAAAACTAACTAGGGAAGGGGAGGGCGAACTGTCGCGAGCTTGCAGTGTAATGGAGTTATACGTGCGAAAATCACGTTCTCAGTGAAACACTAAGTTTATTTTCAACGGCATTTGCCAAACTCCTCTGTGCGTTTACAAAGGCAACGCAAGTGGCTGCGTCCTTTGCAAATTCTCCATATATCATGGCTTTATTGTTTTGTACTCAAATTTGCGGGCTAACCGCAAGTTATCTCAAAATATAATCCGCAGTATTTGATGCAACAAGACTTTACGTTAGTTTGTCTGGAATATTGGCTAACTCGGTGAGAGAAAGGATTTTTAAACTCCACGTTGTAACACGGTTTTGTGAGTCATTCGTAGCCTTGTGCTCCACGTTTTTTAAAAAATTTGTTGAAGCCGTGAACAGGGTTTGAATGACAACTCGGAGCCTAAAATTAAATCACACGTGCAGAGTTGCCGTACAATTTACCCGCAATACCGTATTGCTTCTTAGCTAACTTAAAGTAAACTTCAAAGTAACTTGATACTTACCATGAACTACAAGTTCGAACGGAGCTTTTTTAAAACGAAGGCCATCTAGTATTCTCAGGAAGAAACTACTCGAGAAAAAGGGAGCGGCGCAGTTCCGGAGGCAGCGACGAAGTTTAATGACTGACGTTTATTTTCTTTGATCTGTTCCTTACACTATGAATATGCAATCGAGATTTCAGCCAACCAAACCAAAATACGTCACATACTGCAATAAGAACGCTTTGTGTAGTTACTCATTAGTCTGCTGTGTACGTGATTTGTTATGGAAATTTTTCAAAGACCCGTGTGTAGCGTGTGGTATGAATATTCAATGTTTCAATGGCTTTCTTGTCAGGTCTTCTACGAGTTTCGCCGTATCTGAAGGGTAGCATATGAAAAAATAAAATAAAAACGGTAATTAAAGAGGAAATTAAAAAAAAAAACGACGAAACGAAATGTAAAAAACGAACAAAAACAAAAAACAAACACAAAAACAAAAAGAAATGTAAAAAACAAACAAACAAACAAAACAACGAACAAAACAACCGGGCGTCAGAACTCCTGCTTAGAAACTGTGCCTCTTTCACCGCTGAAGTATCCAGGAACAAGTACATCATTGATGCACTTCGTAATTTGAATATAATTTTCCCATGATCTCAGACTGTTGAATAGGGATATGCGAAAGTTAAAACTATTAATAGGATGTGTAGTTGCACTTACCACAAAATGTGGTGAATAACGCAGAAGAAAAAAATAAGAAATGATTTGATGAATGTTTGGTAATTAATAAAGGAAACCTATTCAAACTTTCAACATTCATAGCACTATTCCGAAGCTCCCTTTTCCATAGTCCCTTCCATTCTAACACTTTATTTCCTAGTCTCCCTCAAAGCCAGGGAGTACGTTGCGTGACGAGCGTGAAGATACCATTGGTACCCAGTACCGTACTGAAAACGTTTGTTTATAGTGGTCAAGTACAATGGCTTCGTCTTCGACAAGACCACAGTCTAATGATTGGGTTCATCACTGCTTCAAAGTTATTATCATCGGCGATTACAAGGTGGGAAAGACGTCCCTTCTATGCAAGTACACTGGCCAGCAATATCGCTCACCAAGCTCGACCATAAGCGTAGACTTCCGAGCAAAAAATTTGGAGAGGAACGGAAAGAAGGTCAAACTCCAAATCTGGGATATAGCTGGACAGGAAAGATTCCGTACGGCTGTGGCGAGTTATTATCGTGGAGCAGTAGGAGTAATTCTGGTTTATGATGTTACGAACAGAGAGTCTTTCCGTAATATTGGATACTGGTTAGTCCAATTTTTGTCGGCTATAAGTTTTAGTTTCGAAGTCTAACGGCGATGTTCACATTTTTACCTATAGCGCGATGCTTAATGAATTTTTGTCCTCAACTTGATGCAAAAAGGTCAAAACTTAAACGATCGAGGTCGAATTATATATGTTGACAGAGTGAAAGGTTGAATTGCATTTGTTCATAGTAAAACCATTGGATAATTTAAGAACAAATACATTTCACACCATAAACTAATTGAAAAGCGGAAGTATTCTGTCTAGGCACTCGTACTTTCAGCTATTGAATCTTTCCCTCTTTCTCTTCCGATCTTTTGGCGTAACAGAGACTGATACTATCATTTTCTAACTAAGATGTGATCATAATCACGAGACCCTGAAACTTTTACAACCATTCAAGTGTCGAAACTGCTTTTCGAGTTGTTATGTTCAGGAGAGGCTTTTACAGGTGTCATTCGATCAAATCGTGATCGTCATCAAATTGTCACCAGACGAATCATCCTGAGTTCCACAACCAGAGAAATTACGGTGGATTATCTTGTCTGCAGACGAGGAGTTTTTGTCTTGTGTCGCTTTTTCGCATCGAGCATCGTGCACGAATCATTTGCGTGACTGACTCGTACTTCACGCGAAATGTGATTGAAGTAAAATTTGCATATTCGCTCCTCGATAGCACACACGATTTCACCTTAACGTTATTCCTAATTTCTGCAGGCATGAACAAATGAGGAAATTCTGTGACCCACATGCGAAAGGAATTCTTGTGGGCAATAGATGTCACTTGTCTCACCTACGAGAAGTCCAAGCGGAGGAAGGAAAAACTTTTGCAGAACACCTTGAGCTACCTTTCTTTGAAACAAGCACAGAGAAGAATATCAATGTCATTGCATGTTTTGATGAACTGGTTGACTCTATTATTGAACAAATGGAAAGAGGAAGGCAGATACGGGAATTAACAACACTTGTGCTTCCAGCCAGTGGCGAAGAAAATAGGAATGTTGAAGCATGTGCATGCACGATACTATGATAAAAACAGTGTTTATCAGAGGGTCATTCACGAGGCTCAAAATCAAGGGGTATGTTGGGATTGCTTTATACTCATCCAGTTTAACTGTATCATGAATCAAAAGCATTGTTGAATCGGAAATCAGCTCGCTTACTCTTGCGGTGGTATTTATTCTGAAGTAACAACAGCAAGTGAAGACAAGTGATGTTCACATCCTGTCGTGTGTGTTACTTCCAAGGCTAATAAAATCAGTTTGCAAAATCGGTCAGTTTGCAGTTGCTCAAAAGTCCTGAGTGCCATCTTTATGAAGCCGACTAAAGATCACAAAAACTGGCTCATCCTATGCCACACTAACCCCCCCCCCCCCCACTTATTTTGACCCTTTGACTCCCATAAGTGACCAAGACATAATTTCCCCTTACAATATCAATACATCAGGCAGATAAGTGATAGGAACAAAGAAAAACACCAAATTGGGAATTATAAATTGATCCAAAACAAAATTCTCTAACTAAAATCTTAAGAATTGAAAGGAAGTGCAAGGTTTAACTCAACCACAAAAGAACATTGTTCCTCTTTGACTCTTTAATGTTTTTAATGAACCTGTAGTATTAAGAGGGAGAAGGAAAGTGTTTTGCTGTAATGCCTGTTAAAAACTAATTCTATGGTAACTTGAGTTGACCAACAGCCTAATAAACCCAACCAGGGACTTCCAACTCCACATAAAAAAAATAAACTGACTAAACTTCAAGAAACATGGAGAAAATTTTCTGGACTAGGGATCAAACCAAATCTGAGTCCCCTTCCTACCCCCTCACCCCCCCCCCCACCCCCCCACCCTTAAGGATTCTACTAATCTCTGTCAGTTTAGTTATCTATTACCTAAACTTTGGAAAACTACTTGGCAAGTTTGACCATATAAGACTTCACTTGCAAGAGTAATCCTGCATATTACTGGGATTAGGAATGTCAAGAGAATGAATGAGAATGAAAGAAAATGAGAATGAATGTCAATTAGGAATGTCAAGAGAATGAATGAAAATGAATGAGAATGAATGAGAATGAATGTGAATGAATGTGAATGAATGTGAATGAATGTGAATGAATGTCAAGATTAGGAATGTCAAGAGCATCCTGTTTCTTTTCACATGAAACTCAAGGTAAGTTAAATCTGAATGAATCATCAGAAACCTTAACTAAACCACAAAAGAACAAAACATCTGAGTTTTTATTTTGACTATTTTAAATTTAATACCAGAAATTGATACGAACAATTTTGAAATCTATTATAAATTGTGTTAGTCTCTAATTCAGCTGAGGACTGCTGTCTCATGAACATTATCCAAAGCACAATTGATAAATAATCCTACAGTCACATAGCAGCTCACTGAATTTCATAAAATTTCTCTGATAAATCACAGTGTCAAAACTGTCTTACAAGTTTAATTTTGATAAGTGCATTTGGCTTTGTCAACTCTATCACAGTAGGGAGATCTTTGGTACTTCAGCAAACCTAAATTGAACATCAACACCCCAAAACGTCTTCTAAATCTTATTCATCAGTCAAGTGAATTGTATCTGTCTGCATCTTTCCTTAAACAAAAGTCTTCTACTTTTCCATGTTCAGAATTGAGAAATAAAAACAAATGCACTTTTCAGTAATAGAGTTCATTCTTGTCTCTTTGTAGGCTTCTTTTGGCTGTTGCAATGTATTTACAGTTTTCCACTTTAAAAATCAAATCTCTGAGTTATTTCATTTATTGGAAAACAGTAGTGTCACTAGACAGCCAGACTTCAGCAAATTCACCCACAAAATGTTTGACCCACATGTATAGTGCATCATTTGATACTTTCCAAAAAGAAGATGACCAGAGGTTTGAGGAATGACACAAGCAGTGACATCATATTCAGCTTACTATCAGTAAAATCTGGGAAACTGCTGAGTGGATGTTGCTAATAGATCTCTGGACAAAGACTCCAATCTTGTCTTTCCTTAGCTTCCCAGTAGCCCCCTTTGTACACATGCACAGCAGTATCTGTCACTTCATCCACAACGTTTTCAAACCAAACAGGCTTGTAACCTTCATAAACTTTTCCCTCTGCCTGTGCCTCTGAGGCCTCTGCCTCACGTTTGCGCCTTCTTATTCGTTGCATTTCCTCCAATTTCTGCTTCTCCTGATTGGCTTCGTCCCATTTACAGTTTTCCATGAGCCTCTGGTCTGGTCTTCTCCGAGAATCGGTTGGGGCAACACTATCATCAGAGTCATTGAGGGCCAGAGCAAACTCAGTGAAATAATACATTTTCTCGCAACCAGGCCTGAGAACAAAATTATTGAGGAAATAATTTAATGCTATGAAAATTAGCCATACCCAAAGTGCAATGTCAATATCTCAATTTCTTTTCACAATAAAAAAATATCACTATTAAATTGCATCTTTGGTTAGTTAACAGAACTAACAAGGATACAGTCAATACAATACAATATTTATTTTGCCATATACGACATTTACAGATGGAAAAAAAATTAAGAAAATTGATGACAGAAAATAAATGGCGAGAAAACCTGAAAGAAACCATGAGGCTTATAACAAGTCAGGCTTTCTCACTTAAAATAACTAATCTTATATTAGAATTACAATATGGACTTATGGTAATTAACTTTGACCACGCACACATACACACACACACACACACGCACACACATATTAAGTAAGTTAGTTAAGAATTACTGCCTTACAGAAGTTAATACCTAGAGAGAAAAAATTCCTTAAGCTTTCTTTTAAAAGAAACGGAGGAGGGAGAACTAGTTATGTCAGAATTTAGCGAATTATAAAAGTTTGGACCTTGAAAGTAAATTGAAAACTTCCTGGTGTTCGTTCTGCACAGTGGCAAACGGAAGGACTGAGCATTCCTAGTATTATAATTGTGGATTTGACTATTCAGTAAAAAAAAGTTATTGAATTTGGAAGGGAGTGTAGAGTTCTTGAATGAAAACATAAAAGTACCTAATTGAAACGAATGGATATCATGAAATTTTAAGAGTTTAAGTTCCTTAAAAATAGGGCCAGTATGGGCAATGTATGTAGAATTGCTTACTATTCTTAACGCATGTTTCTGTAAGGTTACAATTCTTTGAAGGTTTGACTTATAGGTACCAGCCCAAGCTAAATTGCAATAATACAAATATGGAAGGATCATAGAATTGTATAAAGTACGAAGGGAGTGAGTAGAGAGAAAAACCTAGATTTATGAATAATACCTATAGATTTGGATAATTTATTTGCTGTTAAGGATATATGCGATTTCCAGGTCAAATTGTCATCTAATAAAACACCCAAAAACATGGTCTCAGAAACACGAAGAATAGGCTGCTCATTTATGAAAACTTGAAATTCAAAGGATTGCTTCTTTTGCCAAGGCTTGAATACCATAAAATTAGTCTTGGCTAAATTCAAGGAGAGCCGGTTTGCTGCAAACCAGGTTGACAATTTGTTTAATTCTCTATTTAATGTGTTAATTAGGTAAACAGGATCATTATGGGAGATAAATAAGTTTGTATCATCAGCAAACAAGATTGCATCAAGCAGGGAAGCATTGTTCAAATTATTAACATACAGGATAAAAAATAAGGGACCAAGAATAGAACCTATCAAACTGATTTCACTGGCAGGTTTCCATGGGGTATCCTTTTAAGTTGTTGTTGGGCAAAGTTTGTCAACAATTAAACTTACAATGCTGGATTTTTCTTCCACAAAGTGACTGGTGGTAAAGTCTGTGCCTGGCTCTTGTGTGGAGTAGATGCTGGCTGCTTCACATTTGAAGGAGATCTATGGTACACAACCTTGGCTCCATCCAGCTTGTTGTCCCATGTTCCTGATATCACATATCTGACCACTTTTGATGAGTCTGTAATCACACCTGTCACCTACAAGACAATAATGTTTTTCTTTCTAACACTCATATTGCTTGGGGTGTAAGATTCAAATCCACCAAAATGCCACCAAAGTACTACTTAATTGTAAGTTGACCGCCCAAACTCAAAGCTGATCTCAATTCTTCAAAGCTCTGAGAATTGAGTATTAAGTGTACTGAATTAAGAACAAAATTACAAGAAGGGAGGGTTGAGTTTTGAGGCCCTCGAGAACTTGTTTTAACTCTTTAAGTCCCAAGATCTGATTGAGACTTCTCTCCTGGAGCTGCTTTACATTTCCTTTTAAATTTAATTTTTGAGAATTTTGTGTTAGATCAAGATAACAACTTTTATCTGATAAGTATGAGTGTTCTTGTTACCTGTTCACTGGAGAATGTATGGTTATTAAAGGGAAAATTTTTTAAGTTAATCACTTCTGAGAGTTAGAGGGTTTAGGAAACAATTTAATGCATGTCCTCCCTTATCATGTATTCTCATGGCCCCTGCAGGTGCATATGACCATCATACTGTACAACTAACACTCTTTATTCAGCGCTGCCACCTTACCTTGTTTCTGTCCCTCACTCTTTGCCCTTTGACCAACACATGTTCTACCCAAAACTGTCAACATTAGCCTATTATAGTGACATTCTCAGTACCACAACAATATGTTGACTGACAGACTGACAACTGTAACATGATCACACTGATCACAAAACTACCCCCCATTTCCTCCCCCTCCCCCCACAGCAGCCAAAAAGGCCATGCAAAAAGTTGAGAAAAAAAAAATACTGCCAATACCTTTCTAGGTGTGTCCCTTCCAAAATAATTGTAAGCATCATATTTAAGATGGCAAACATCTTTAGTTGTGTGATTCTCAATGTCCATTTCACCCGACTAAGAAAACAACAGGGAAACATGCAAAGATAAAGTAATTGAGACAGGAAGGAAATATCAAACACAACATAACAATTCTAGACCAAACAACAACTACCACCAAAAACTGCCGCTTGAAATTCCAATTTTTTCCAAGGGGTTTTTTCCACATTAGAATTATCAAGACCAAGAGAGCATTATATCATCTGCACAATTTAATTTACATGGGCAATGATGAAGAATCCACTGTGGAACAGTAACTTAAAAATCTACAAATTCCAATTTATTCCTTTATCCTTTCTTCCATCCTATCATTTATTTAATCTCATACATCTACAACTTGATTTGTTGTTCCTCTGTTCCATTATTTGCCAGCAGAAAAGAGATGACAATACAGAAGAAAATAAACTATGCAATAATTAAAGTTTCATTTAGCACCAAATTCTCATAGCTAAAGTTATGAGAAATTTAACACAGAGTAAGGAGAATTGATATCCAATATTAATTACCAGATCTCTCATCTAACCTGATCAATCCACAGCTTCCCAACAATGATATTATGGACAGTAGTAGTGACTTTTTTCCAGGTGTAATGATTTCCAGACTTGTTAAACTTGAGATGCGCCACACCATGTGGAATGACTTGTAAATATTTGCCACGGAATTTACTTGTACAAGTGAATTCCTGCCAGAAGATCCACTCTTTATGCTCAACATGAAGGGCAGATGCTGGAGGATGGTGGCTCACCTAGAATAAACATCACAGATTTCTGTAACATTAAAGTCTTTCAGTGGCATATTGATACTCTTTGCAGAAAATGTCTTGCAAGAAACAAATAAATCAATTGGAGCTTAATTTAGAGTCTTCATTTTGCAATAAATTTTGCAAGAATGCCCTTGGTGATTTTCCTAGTGATTACACTGCATCAGAAATATTGTCAGTACCACAACAGTGCCCTCTTTACTGAATCCTTTACATCATATCATCAGTATGCACATTCTCTATACTGTCCCCTAAACATTCCTAATGTGCTGATAAGGAGAATCTGTTTAAAAATCAAGAGCTTCTTTAGTTGGTGATCATTTCCTTTATCCTTGTGACTTTAATGTGTGATTTGGTGCAATACTGTAAGGAGAAATTAGACGCTATTCACTCAAAGGGGTCAAAAGGTTGCTGATCCATCCTTTACTTTAATGTTAGTATCCCATTGACATGATATGTTATCTGACTTGCATGGTAAGTTATTGAAGTAGAAATATCATCTGTATCTACATGTATCAAATGTCAAATACCTGCTCAGCAAGTGATCGCCATCCTAAATCCTCTGTTCTGTCAAATTCAAATGTTTCACCAAGTAAGGGGTTAAATGGCTTTCCAGTTCTTGCGGCAGTTGTGGAGTAAGAGGATGTTGTAAATGCTGCTACATAGCACATCTGCTCTGTGGATGTTTCACATGCTGCAGCTTTGTCTAAAAGGTCTGTGTATTCAAGCTCTTCTGTGAGCCTCTGAAGCATTGAAATTGGCTCATTGAAGTTCACCTACAATGATTGTTGAAAATCTCTCAAACAAGAATCTTAGCTGATACTGAGTGCAAGAAAGAGTTGAAGAAGAAATGACATAATGGAGACAGAATATGATGATGGTTGTACGCATTCTTCAGAAGGTTACCAAGGATCTGGAGGAACATAAACAACATTGCCAAGAATTTTTTATGAGGGAAATGGAGAAGCAGAAGAATTACACAATATGCACTCAATTAACTCCTTCCTGGGTAAAATTCAAGCTTGGCCTTGTTCAAAACTTATTGTATAAAGAAGTTAATTTAAGAGCCAATATAATCCAAAAAGGTTTGAATCAATTGCATACACAGTGAAGTACCTTCTAACAATCAAGGTATTGGTGTTCATTGCTGGGACATATTGCTTTGACAGAACCTTGTAAATTCTCCAAACTAATTTACAAGGAAATGCAAGACAGTTAGAGGGGAGTACAATGTGGGGATAAAAGAGTTGAGAAATTATATAAAAATGACATAAATTGCAGGAGTTTGTTCATTAAACATGAACAGAAACAAACTTGTGAAAGTCTGATCTACTCACGGGCATGGGTATTTTAGATAACTCTTTTCCTATACAGTTCTTCAGAATGCTCCACAAGTTAATGCTGATGTCTGGCTTGTCTGGGATCTTTTTCCTGAAGAGCTTAGTCCCAAGCCTTTCAGTAGATTGCTAAAGAAAATACATCAATAAATTTATTACCTTGAAAAACACTTTAAAACTATTATGGGAGACAATGGGATATTGTCAACTCATAATGCTTTACACTGTTTCAAGAATGTCAATTGTTCATCATTTATTGCCAACTCTTTTTATGCTTTTGCTGAGCATTTTCTTGAAATTCAACATAAAGTCATGCTTTTGACATGCATCATTCAGTTTTGCACACATCAAAAACTTTCTCAAACTAATCAGGCACAAGGTAGAGACATAAAAAATACTTTGCTAACCCTATCTTCTTTTTCTGTACTTCAAGCTACTGATCCTAACTTTTTATCCTTTGATTTATGGCCTGAGAATTTGCTGTATGGACTTAATACTTGTTTAGTAAGACACACTTATCAAAGGAAAAAAAATGAAACATAAACTAACAGTGACAGCAAAGGAGCCTCCAACAGTAAATGGTGCCATGACTGCCTTGTTATCTGGATCAGTGCTAATGGATCTACCATCACTGGCAACATCTGATCCTTCTGTGTCTTTAGCAGTTGATGTTTCAGATGTACCAGTTACACTGTCCTTAGATGCTTCCTGCTTTATTTCTGCTGAGGCTTGTCCAGTTGTATCTGACAAAGTTCTTGCCAATAAGGGTTTGGCATTCTCTCCATCCATACCAACACTTTGCTCTGAGCTAGAGCTTTGTAAACTCTCACGGCTCTTGCTAACAGATAACGTGAAACCTTCAGGGTGCTCTGCTATTGCATCAAAAAATTCAGCGTTTTCTTCATCTTCTTCCAACTCCTCTTCTTCATCGTCACTGTCGTGACCCAGTTCAGATTCTGGTAAATCAGGTAACTTAGATGTATTTTTTCGACAAGCTCTCTCAAGAGTGTTATGCTGTTTAGCTAAGGCTTCTACTGTCTCTTCAAGATTGATTCTTCGCTGACGCTCTAGCTGTAAACTCTTCTGCCACCTTTTTTCCTGTGTCTGAGCAAGTTCCAGGAATTCTGCACATGCCTGTTATGTTAGATTAAGAGAGAGAATTTTTCAACTTTAATTATCAGCATGGATTAGACTGTAATGAATATGAATTGAAGGCTGTGAAGACTAAACTTAAATGACATTAAGTGATGACATAAAATGAAGAATTTACTGAAAGGGTAAAAAAGGAACAAATACACCCAAAACTCTGTCTTACAATAAAATTTTGGGAATAGAAAATAACCAAAACAAAAGTTTCTTTGTGGAAAAATTTCAAGCTTGACAGTGAATTTGATGACAGTTAAAAATAAATTCATTTTTTTCAGAAGTCACATTGAAAAAAAAGTAACTACCCTGTGCACGATTTTGTGAGTTTTGAAGCCATTTTGGATAAGCAGTAAGAAAAAATCTTTAAAAAATAACAGACCAACCCACTAGCACCAAAACAATAAAACAGTAACCATAACTTATACCTCAATATTCTTAAAATGTATCTCCATAGAAAAAAAAATGCCTCTCAAACACAGAAAATAATTGTGTTTCCTACTTGCTTGCCTGCCCAAATATCTTATAGTGTCTGAGCACTTGCCATTCACATAGGTCATTCCAGTTCTGTAGTCATTTGAACTCTTATGCTCTTTTACTCACACTAATCATGGCATTTGCTGTTATCCGAAAAAGAGTGGCTTTCTCGTTCACAAACTTGAGTTTTGCAGCCAAGGCAGGATTATCTTCCACCTCCTGAAGCTCAACAATAGAACGCTGCAAGGCTGAGCCATGCTTGCCTACAAGATCATTGCAAGTCTGCAGGTCTTCAAGCTTGGCATTTAGTGGTTTAATGTTCTCAGCTTTTTCACTGTTGGTATCCTCCTCCTCATCTGGAATAAAACAAGAAAAAAACTCTTTACCAAAGAGTTGTATGAAAAGTCACAGCTCATCATCCTTTAACTCCTCAAAGTGATTAACTTGTAACTTCTCCTTGAGATTCCAATTCATTAACTTTAAACCAGGTTATGAGAACAGACAAGCTTATAAGCTCAACACTGTTATCTTGATATAAAATTGAATCCTCCTGTCTAATTTAAAAATGAAAGTATGGCATTCAGATGGTAAAATAACTAATTGAAGCTTGGGAGTAGAAGGATTAACAGTGTGTATGTAAGTGACCAAAGATCAGAGAATTCTCTGCTACCATGCACTATTCTCTAAATAAATTTCAAGAATCCAAGTAACTTTTTTCCCAGATGTGAATAATATCAACCAGTTTCTCTTCTTACACTTTTATTGTAGTACACTTTTCTCATGCTACAACATTCCTTGATCAAAATCCTTTCTTAAAAAAAGTTGTAAAGTCAGGAAAATCTCTCACAAAGTATTGTAAATGTGAAAAAAAGTTCAACATGAGGAGATCTGGGGAAATCATTCTTTATCAGCGCTGATGCAAATTATTGTATTCAAAATTAAGACCTCCAGCAAAATTTTCACAAACAATACTTTTCCTTTTGCAGATCCAAAATGCATACATAATGCACTTCAAATAAATATCAACCTTACAAAGATAACTTTATCTTCAAATTGACATTTTCATTGAAAAAAATCTTACAAAATAAGATGCTGAAGGGATTTGCTAACTTTAGTCAAATAACAAACTCTGCTTCTAAATCCATTAATTTGTCTTCACTCTGTTAGAGTTGGTTGAAAATAGCAAATAAGTGTTTTATTTCCAAATTAATGTTCTACAGCTTGAACCAAAAACAGCTAAACTTCCTTCTAAACTTGCCTACCCCCAAAATAAACTCCTGCAAAATTTTCATGTTACATAAAGGTCCAATTGCTCAAAGTTGGAAAAGTCCAATAATGTTAACTCTAAGGTAATAACACACATCTGCCTTTGCCTGCAATTCTTGGGTAAGCATAATTTTTAGAAAACAAATACTGGCTATAATAAAAAATAACATTATTTGAATTGCATTCAGCTGCTTTCAAGAAAAACTTTATCATAAAAATGATCTTCGATAAAATTCTCAAGGTTTGATATCTTAGTAGCAACTGAATCAATCAACCAAAAACCATTTTGAAAAACAGAAAATAGTGAAAAAAGAAATCTAGGAGTTATTCATTTAAAAGGAAGCCAGAATCAATCTGGTGTTAGGTGAGAGGATGGATTATGCAAAGATATTTTGCAATTTCTGTTGTGCAAACTACAGTTGACAACCATTTGTAAAACGCAGTTAAGTAAAATGCACTCGACAAAATATAATAAACAATTCACAGTATACATGAACATGATGTTTACATCACCACTGAGAATTTCAGAATCTGCAAAACTATATGGAAGCAAGTCTAAAAACTAACTGTTTTTAAATATAGAAACAAATTTGATTGAGTTGAACAAATGTTGTCAAACCTAACTCGCATGATGAAGCACAACACCTCTATTTACCTATGACATGTTTACAAGACCAAGGACAACTTGTGCAAAGCTTTTGCCGTGATTCAGTGGATCCTGATTTGATTGATTCCCCATCACTGTACACCAATAAGCTATTCTTCCGTGACTTTTGCCTTACAAATCTCCACAAAAACATCACAAGAAATTATGGCACTTTGAGAACATTATTTTCTCCTCAACTTGGAACTGTTCACTCAATGAATTACATTTTCATCCAATCCAAGAAATTTGATAATTTTCAAGGCAAATAGTGAGGAATACATGCAACATCAACTGAAGATTTTGTGCCATAATTTGATATCAGAAAACCTGTAAATAACAACTAACAGTGCTCCTATTTTGTCAAAATGCATGAGATGAAATTTACATAAATCTGCATGTTGGCCACAATTTCTGTCAACATAATAAAGATACCACAAGTAGACGGACTTAAAAACCAGAAAAGAAAAATTGGTAAAAATATTTATGGATTTGCAGATGCCACTAAGCCAAATCAAGTAAACACTTAAAGTAAAGCCTTTGGTTCAAAGCACTGAGGAAATTTTAGGAGGTGTAAATCCACTTTTGACACAGGTACCTGTCAGCCTAAACCCAATGAACACAATAAATAAAGATGAACCACTACAAAATGGCTACCACACAAAGCAGACAACCATAACAATAAATTTAGGAGTTACTAATCTATAATTCATTTAACCAGAGAGAAAAACAACCTAAGAAAATACACACACACCTTGACCAGACAATTTCATCTTCAAACAGATAGCAAAACAGCACAAAAGATCAGCAGGCAATGATGACAAAATTAATTTGGATATAAATTTAGTTACAAGAACTGTTCCTAAAATCCTCTCTGCAATCCACCATCAATGATATCTCCTGATGACTTGTTGCATTTCAAGTGGTAGCATGAACTCCACACACAAGAACTGAGCAACCATAGAGGAAACAGTCAAGAATTCTGCCCTCAGGTTTTAAATGTGAAATTACCCATCAATCCACCAAGCCCTTGTGTTTAAAAAGCGAGTCCAACATGAACTTGTTTGATTGTTCACATACAATCCTACTGGCAGCAAAACCACAACCACAAATCCAGCCAAGAATATAACAACCAAAGTATTGGCAGACCCTAAATTTATTGCAAAGGATTATGCAAATAGGAACACTCACTAACTATATGCTAATTTATATTTTAATACCTGACTTGAATTAGATCTCTCTTGGAGTCCAAGGTTTTTACTTTCTACCAAATGAATTTTTCTTGGATTTTACCAATAAATTATCTTAAATCCCACACATACAACACAGGTTTCTAGCTTAAAAGTTCTGGTACCTGTAAAAAATGCATTACACAACATATCACCATTATGAATAACAAGTTTTTCATTGGATACACTGATGATCAAGATTAGATTTTGTTGCTAAGAAACAAATTGTTACCCTAAAAATTGATGACTTCCTGAGCTAATAAGCTAAGCATCTACAGCTGTCTGTATCAAGAAAAGCATGAATCCCTCAATCTTTCAAAAATAATTGGGAAGATTTCCCCTCTTCTCACAAGGTAAACAAATTGAATTGACAATGACAAAAAAAAAATTTCCCTACTCTACTTTAAGCATTTTTTCAGCAGGAAAAATAATGATAATATACTCTAAGCACAAGTACATTTAAATGTATTCCCAAATCATTACAGGAAGTTTTCTAAATTGCTTTAGAAGGAAATTAAAATATTTGACACAGATAGATTTCAATAGTTGAACAATGTAACATCTTCATATAATTTTGCATGAAAATATAGCAGTAAACCACAAAGCAAATACTATAATTTTATGTAATTATTGACTGATAAGAGGACCAGAAGGGAATTATTTGGCTCAAGGTCATGACGTATGGATCAAGAGCCAAATTTCTTCCTGTCTGACTTAACCAAACTCAGTCAATAAGCATTTCATCAAATAAACAAATAAGAGTCAAAATTTCCAAAATTTTGTTTTAACCTAAATAGAACATACTCACTTAAAAAATTATAACCAAGGGCATGCATTGGAAAATTAATAAAGAGACTCTAAAGCAAAACTTTTCTCTTTCCATCAAGTCAGAACAAGAAACTTGTAATTCATTAAGAAGCAAGACTCCTTTTCTCCCTTGTTTTATTTCAAGCTGAAGTCCACAATTCAATCCATGTTCTTGGAAAATGCAAAAGAACTGTGTAGTGCAGGGCCAGACAGCATTTTCCAGACTGGCTCACATCAACCCATCCGGCCCTGCACACATCAGCTTCCACTATAGTTTATTGTGGGAGTGCTTGCTTGGGGCCGTACAGGTCACGATATCAAATAAATATTACTTTACTTGGAAAGGTGTATGCTCAGGAATTGCACTACAGCTTTTAAGGAGCAGATCAAGTATTCACACAAAAGAAAAAGAGAATATTACTTTGAGGTAAAACAGTTGCAAGAATTAAACCATCCACTTACCACATACATTACAAAATAAAATGCGCATGAAGAAATTTAAACCTATTGCCTTAAGATGATGCTGGGATGGTGCCTAGAAAGTCTGCAGGAGCTGCAGGTGTGCTCCAAGGAAACCTCAACAACCCTGTGGAGCCACCTTAAGGCATGTTAAGACACCATTACACTGAGTGCCTCAGTGGAAAACAAACAAACGATTAGCAATAGCCAGCTTTAGGGAGGGCAGAGAAAGGAGGAAAAAGGCTTTTAAAAGTGAGTGTGATGAGCAACCTGATTAACAATGGCTGGATCTCAATAATAGACCTTTAATTGTACTTGACCTCTGAGAATTCCAAAATTTATGGCAGGGCATCACAGGCCAGCATAAAGACCTTTACTGCAGGGTTCCAATTACAACCAGCTAGTTACCAGTGCCAATGATAGTAAACTAATGATTGCCAGACTTCAAATACTAGTTACTGAGAGGTCACTTCAAACAGTCTTGTCAATGTTCTTCATGCAAACCAGTGCTCAAGAAAAGAAACTTTCATAATATGTTTCTTTCCCATAATAAACACTCAACTTGTGGTAATTCAAAAACGGTATCAAAGAAAGCTCATAAAAAATAACACATTTTCTTCTTGTTGGGGCAATTTTTTGGCAACCAATTAGTTTTCTCTGATGATTCAGTCAAAATTATTTAACAAGCACTTAAAATCTGGCTTAAAAAAATTTAATTCTGGCCCCGTAGCAACAGTGAAACATAATTAAACTGTCTATTTTATTGTGAATAAAGTACTGGTGTAAAGATAAATACTCACTCGAGATAACACAGCTTCAAAACACCTCATTTTACCAGTGAGCACAAGAAGTGTCAAATTGTATGCTACACTTTTTCTCTTTTTTTTTTTTCACTTCTTCTTCACTTAACATGTGTAGCATTTCATATACTTATAAATCAAAATCAAATTTAGGCCAAAGAATATACCATATACCATGTTTCCTCGCACAAGCATCCATGCAATAATAAACGGGCTTCCCTGCATAGGTGCCCACCTCCTAGGCCACAGATTCAAATAAGCACCCTCCTTGAATTAGACAACGAGCAGTCTCTCCTTTTCCATGAAGCCCATCTCATGACTCAAAATATCAGTAAAATAAGATTGATGTTAGCATCTGCTGGGAGCTCTTGAAGTGACCTTCCAGAGCTAAATGGTTTTTAGACGTTGAATTTTAATCTCAATTAGGCATAACTAAAGAGATTCCTTATCTTAATTACTAGTCACTCTTCATATCATTGCAAGACACAGGCGATCTCAGAAAATTAAACCACTTCAAATCTTGAGGTACACAATAAACTTGAAATCTGGAAAGATGTTGCAGTAAGGATGACTCCCAAGAACAAAACTTCTAAGAAGATAATTAGGAAGGGCACGGCGGTCTAGGAACCATCGCATAACAACTTTTGCCCTGTGTGTGCTTGTACTTTCTCTTTAGAGGGGACATTTATGAAGTCTTTGTCCTTTTCTGGTAACTGAACCACTGGAAGGCAAAGTTCCTTGAGTTTACTGACATATTCCACCACCATGCTGTCAAGTGATGACATTACAGGGACACACCCTTTAAATATATTTGCAAAACAAAACACTTGGTGGATAACTCCAAAGCTGGTTGGCAAACTTGCAAGAATTTCTTTGCCAGCAACACGCTACCATCAATTTTTTTTTCTGCTTTATTTTGACTTGCACGACAGAATTTGCTGAAAAGGAGGAACAGCTCATAGTCTATCCTCAAATAACTGCCCCCCGCCCCCTTCTTTGCCATTTTCTTAAATTGTAGGGATACAAGGAAACCTGTTTCTGTTAGCACTTCATTATAACTTTTTAAGCTACAACTACAGTGGAATCAGTGCTAAAGAATAATTAGTTCTCTCTTCCATTCTAGTGATATCTAATCTCCATATGCTTGCGGAGTTCTTTACCTATATCATCAAACTAGACTTAATAGTTTACATTTGAAAACATGCATCAGCATCAATCAGCCATCAAAAAATTTATCAAAATCCTTATTTTTGACATTTTCATTGATAGATTAAAACTCCTTTGATATGTTGCTGACAAACTTGAGAAAACAATAATTTTAATCCAAATTTTGGACTTTAAGGACTGGTTTTTTTACAATCAAAAAAATGTTTTATGCAATCAATGGACCTCACGCTTTTCCCTAAAAGAGGGTCGATTTGATTTAATGTCCTTCCACCGAAAGCTCTCAGCCCTCTTGACATTGTTCATAAAAGATAAATTTTCAGATGAAAGGATCAGTATAATTGAGGATTGTTTAGGACGCGGTTTTGTTAAACAACAGCTAAACTTTGTCTCAACTATCAGAACAAAGATTTTGAAGTCCAGTCATACATTTTTTGTTTGAAATAAATTAGAACCCAGTCCTCTAACAATTTCAACAAAAACTTTATAAAATTGCCTACAGCGAAAGCCTCACAAATATGCTGCTTTTTCCATCAATTTCTTATCACTGATCATAATAATGAGAGAATCTGGTGGCTAAAACCATCACAAATTATGTCCACTGTTGCTTTCAATAAGTTGGACTTTCGGCATGATGAATGTCGGATAAAGATACAATTCAATTAAGAATTATTTTGGTAAATGAGAATGAGTTGGATCAAAACAGATCTATCAGGGTTCTCTGTAATGGACAACAATCCCTTTGTTATTGCTAGACGGAAGGTAAAAGATTTTGACACAGTTTTTGCTCTGTCCCCTCCCAATTACGAATATACCATTACATGGTATATTGAATGAATATACCATTTATACCAGGTGACATCACCACTGTACTGGTACACGAATGTGATAAACACGTCGACATAAAATAAAATCGCCATATCAGCTATTTTGCGATAATTTCTTCCGGCACCGAAATATAAAATATCACACATCAAAAACGAAACTTGATAAATGAATAAATAACAACCACATACCCTTTGATATTGATCCTCTAACTTAGATTGCACGCTCCATTAAAGAACACATTTAACACCAAAAACAATTAACAAATAAAAACTTAAGGCACAGTTTAAATGGCTTCACACACTATTCGATCTTGTTCAAGTTGCCCGAACGATTTAGAATAATATTTGGTTAAAATAGAGCTAAACTTAAGTTGTAATGATTACTACTGGCAAAACTTTCAGCGATCAATTTTCTTTATCACAGAAGCAAATAACAACAGCAAACCTGATTCCAGCATTTTGATAGCCTTCGCCTTGGCCAATTCCAGAGCTGTTACCCATCTTTGTCGTTCAACCTCAGAGCTGGCTCTCATGTAGAAGATCTGTGTCCCTCCATTAGAAATGACAAAACTACACGAATCTTCCGAATCGATAAACGCACCGGCCAAGTTTATTGTTCCTCGACACGTATGTGCCATTTCGGCTTGGCTTCTAAGGGAGAACAAAACATTTTACTTTAGTTAAGAAAAAATTTAAAAGTGATCGTCCGCCATCTTGAAAACATAACCACATTGACACAGGTCTGAATTCAATACCTGTAGTAAGAGAGGAGGCCATTCGAAAGCACAAACCATCGTTTTTGATATCCTTTGATGTAATTCGTCCACTTTAGGAGCCATCCTCTGAAATGGTCCGGGCAAACTTGTCCGTCAGGCATACTCGCATATTCAAAGGGAAGATCGACGACTGCAAATTCTTCGTTCATAGCGGGGCGAGCCATGGTCACGTGACACGGTGAAACTGCTACCCGGACCCGGAACACAGGCGATCTATGGGAAATGAAGATTAAATAATTTTATTTCATCGTCTTGGATTCTTCGTGAACTTTACCAAGGACCTTTGCACACCACTAATAGAGTATCATACAAGTTGTGACAAAACATCATCCCATATTGCGTAATTTGGATGCCGCTGGCCAAAAACAGGAACTGTACAGAATTATTCTGTGGGTGGTGGGGCAGACAGGGGCTAAAGAACTCCCTCCCCGCTAGAAGATGAAGAATCACTAACAATCATGTCTTACTGTGATAAGACCTTCTTATGTTTTCAAGAACCTAGCATAGATAAGCATGGATAATTACGCAGTGACAAATAAACAATGTCCAAATGCATGCTAACCTCTCTAAATCGTTTTATATTGCCTACCTCCTACTTGCATTAAATAAAATCAACAATAAGAGGGTAATGATGGTAAATTTTGGTTTTTGACGTACATGGGAATTCAGTGACCGAGAAACAAGATTTCCTATTCTTACGCTTACCCTGAATGTTGGAATGTAATAGATCCGTGGTTAATCACAAGAGTGCCTTCTGTCCCACAATTTCTGTCGTCGCTACAAGAACAAATCACACCCATGAAAATTACGGCGTTTACAAGTGACCATCTTTTGAAACTACGATCTCGTCTTGGCCTGCATTAGTACAGATTAGGACCGGCGATGATCTGTGATTCCGACCGGAAACGAATAAAAAATAATTGATTCACAACATTGACCCCAAATAAAGGGTTGAAAGTCCTCTACTGGCACTGAGGAATTTGGAAAGCGTCAAACGTTGTTAATCCTAAGGTATAAACATCTACCAATAGAGATGACCCTCCATAAAACCAAATTTTTTTCACTCCACGTTCATGACCAAAGCCGGTGACCTTGAGAATGTCTGTGCATCTCCGGCCTCTGGAGAATTTGAGAACAATCGCATGTTGTGTAAGTGTATGTGGCATCACGCGATGACGTGACCATCTTGGCATGTCACGCACAGTTATGTTGCTTATTTTGAAACACCGTGCTATACATCTTAATTAGGAAAAAGACAGTGAAAATAACCCAATCAACATTTTTCTTTATCAAAAAAGCAAACTGGGGACAAATTACAAAGTTGAAACTCATCACTGTTCCGTTGTAGCCTGCAAAAGAAACGTCCTTTTTTCTGTCGCTTGTTTTAGGCAATCGGGGGTAAGCGAATGGCGGCCGCAGCGGGGTGAACGGGAGGGAAGTCACCATGCACTTCGCTCTCGGCAGGCGCTCGCCTGAATAATTAAAAGACAATAATTATTGCACATGTTCTACTGGCTAAGCTTTGCCGCTATTTTCCATTTCAACCCCATAAACAATATGACAGAGGAAGAACAGTCGCACCGACTGGTTTACAAATAATTTTACATCACTCGACCACGATGCACACAACCAGAGTAAAAATGTTTGAGAAAAGGTGAGAAATCTTAAAGCTGCATGACTTTTTTTTGTTGAAATTACTTTAATTTCAACTCGAGAAATTTTCATTTTAAAATTTCTTGTACAAATCTATTTTCTCATGGAAAGGGTTTAACAAGTTGATTGATGGGTTTTTCCTGGACTACCCGCCGTGAACGCGTTCACTTGCACAATTCTGTGTTACAAGGGACGATACAAGGACGTAAAGAGCGCAGATTCGCGAGAATAGCATGAATCGAGCTAAAAAAAAAACGCTGTGCTTTGCAATTTCTGTTTGCGGTGCATTATGAAGTTTTTCATGAACGCGAGAAGTTATTCCTTTCGTATTTTAGGTTTCGAGCCAAAATTTCTATCAAATAAAGAATCTAGAATAGTCCCAGGCCTCCGGTGGCAAGGTCCAAAAGTAAAAGAAAGCAATAGGAAATCGCTCTAATCCTGGAGAGAAAAGGAATTATGTTATTAAAAACACACCATGATGGTGATGCAAGTTTAACAATTTCAAACGCGCGTTTTTTTTTGAACTGGGAAAGACATGCTGCATCAATTGGATTGTGCTTAACGATTAGCAAGGCTGTAGTCAATTTGCGATTCCACTCTCAAAAATCCTAGCTACGCCCTTACCCAAGGAGACATCTTTGCGGACCTCTTGATTCGAAAAAAAAAAACTAAAAAGAAGAAAAAGAAGAAGATAGAATAGAAAAAAAAAGAAAACGCAACTGACACGAACCAACAACTGTATCAGAAAAATGACCTCAGTGACCTAAAGGATAAATGATCAGAAACAAATTTTTTTGCCAATTTTCTCTCTGTTTTTTCCGATGAAGTTTTGGATTTCTTTTATTGCATTGTAAATTCGGAATGACCTTTCCCGCGAATTTGAGAGGAACCCTTTGTCACGAGACTTGCTGGGGAATTCGATGATGCGTTTCATCGGTCGATCGGCAGCATGTACGCATCGACATACGCTTGTAAGGTGCGGAAACGGTGAGTTTCTCTTGAGGTCAGTTTATGATCGGACAACGACACCCCAACGTCAGAGTTCGGCACGTAGACATACTGAGAAAACGTTTACCTCCATCTAACTTGCATTCATCGAAGGATGACGAGCTTGAAATGGATAATACATTAAAAACGTAAAAGGAAGAAAAAAGGTTAAGAAAATACATAAAACGGTTAAAGCAAAACAAAATCATTTCTATTTCAAGGAAAAAGAGTCTTTGCCGGCGACTTCTGAGCAACAGAAAACACCACGGGATTCAGAATATAACTAACAATTAATAAAGTAGCCTGAAAAAGAAAACTACTCTGAAACAAAAATAAGGGAATAGGAAAAAAGAAGATAAAAATGATGATAATAAGGAGAAAAGGTAGAAAAAACAGCAAGAACAAAATGCAAATTCCGCGGGGAGGAGTTCCTCGGCCCCCAAGCCAGTTTGAGAGTTACTCCTGGGCCGCAAGCTTCAAATCATACTCGGGGAGAAGTTATTCGGCACCCAAGCCAGATTGAGAATAACTCCTATAGCGTGATTCGAACCCGCGACCTCGATGACCTCTCTTGCACTCGTTGCGCGCCTGCATATTGTATTAGCAGAAAGTGTAGTGAGTTTTAAAATACCAGACTGGGGGGGAGGGTGAGGAGCTTTGTCTTACTAAGAGTGCAATCGAGCGTTTCCGGTGAAGAATAAAGGAAATGAATCATACAAAGAACTGACAAAAGCGATCTACACGAGGAATATTAGAATATGTAATAATAGCGGACGGCTTCCTTTGCTGAAGCTCGTTAATGTGATTCCTCAGTATTGCATCGCACATATTTAAGTGCGCATAAAAATCACGTTACTCATATAGGCGAATATGCGCGCTTATTGTATTTTAATCCATGGACCAGGTTAAAAGACACGATGGTCTTTAGTTCTTGATTGAGAACACTGACCTATATTTTCTATTGCATAATTTTGGTGTACAAATTATCCCTTTTAGATTGGGGAATCTTATCTGGCCTTTTCGACTCCTATGAATCCCTCAAAAAATTAAGAAGATAGCAGTCATTTTATAATAACAAAATTTGTATTATCATTAAAAAGTTCTTTCAGTTCATGCAACAACCAACAACAAACTTAAACCACATGACCATTTCTCGTAGTTTACAAGCCATTGCATCTTGTCTTCTATTAGGGACTGGTCATTATTTATGAAAAGGGGAGGAAGGAGAGGGAAAGCCCCCCTACTCTCCGGGCGATGTAAAAACGTAAGTGACCCCCCTTCTTTATCCAATATTTACGTGATGACCTCTCCCCCCCGCGTCTCCTCTTATATTTCAAATTATGATCAAATTCGCGTCATATACAACCATAAGATGATAACTTGGCATAACAACGGAACTAACTTACTAAATCATAAAATAAGCGTATCGTATAACAGTCAAAGAAGTCAAAATCCAGTTTGTGAAGACGAAATTAACTTTGAGGTATTGGACAGCTTGCCTGACACTGGCTCTGCAGCAGAAAGGCTGGAACACTTAGTAAACCGAGGCTTCTTTGCTATGGATGCCCCTCAAGCAATAGGGCGGCAAATTTTGGACAAATTATGTGTATAGTGTACGCACTAGTATTATTAATTAGTGAAAGTGATGTTTTGTTAAACTAGCTAGTGGTAAAACTTGATGTATCTTGACTTTCGAAAAGTGATAGATTTTACAAATTATACCTTCATGGTGAACAGGAATATAAAATCATGCAAAAAAATTTTTTTCCAATGATTTTCATATCGTTTAAAAAAAAACTTCTTTCTTGTTGTTATATCAAGTTTAATTACTTCTTGGGTTATTGAAGTGACAATCACTTAGCTTTGTCAAAATAAAAGTCAAACCAAACATTGAAGCAGATGGGTCTGGATTCTTTATTAACTAAATTTGAGATAACGATGGAGTTAAGAGTACAAGCAGTATTTCTGTGAAATAAAAATCACAAAGTTGTTCAAAATAGTGGTGTTTAAACAAAACAAAACTCTAGAATTAACACAAACTTGTAAAATTTAACATTACTGTTTCACATGTATTGCTTGCGCTCTACTTTTAACTGTTTTACCCACCTTAGACAATGGACCACTCTTAAAATGTACTTCAAACTGCAGACACCCTCTAAACTTCTTTATAAAAGGTTTAGCCCCCCCTCCCTCTAGCCAATCTGAAATATCCTTGACCCCCACCCTTCTTTTTTTGCCTCCCCCCCCTCCACGTCTACACGAATAATGACCGGTCCCTAAAGAGAAATAAAGGGAGCTGTTTTTAAAAGTGACTTTTCACAAAACGAAGCTCTATATATTTAATCACTTGTTAATTAATCTCAATCGTGGTATTTACCGGCATTGTATATTAATATTCCGATATGTCAATTCTATCCAAGTCAGTTTCTTGAATCTTTTAAAATTTAGCCCTTAAAAGCCATCGCACTTTCTTATTTTGTGGAATCACCCATACATCATTTGAGGTTTTTTAGCTTTTCTCTCCTCCAGAAACAAAAAAAGCAGTTGTGATAAGCATTCAAGAGATCGTGAACGATATGTTTTTGGTCAACTACAGTGCGTGAGAAAGGGCGAAACAAAAGAGAGATGAGTTCAAGTCATTAATGCCCTTCACAGGCAAGTAAAGTGCCTTTAAAATAGTTCAAGTAGTCATTTTGCAACGCAAATTGTTTTCTGGAATGACGACTGATATTGTGGACATTATATGGACATGTACGTTTCGCTCAACTTCAAGTGCGCACAATCTTCAGACAATGTATAGTTAGAGGGCTTCGAAGTTTTCGAAGTAATTTTTTCGGTAGCATTTTCACTTAGAGTTTTTTTTTTCTTGTTCAGAGATGCATAATAGTAAATCCTAACTTATTTCAATATAAACTTTGGCTCACTGGAGTTTTCCGTTGTCAACGAGTTATCAGCGACTTCCTTAAATCTGAAATTTGAGCATGATTGCTGAACAAGTTCCTGTTGGCCTGTAGCGCAATGGCTGAGATTGGTCTGGAAATGACAAGAACTCGTCTTGTGTTTAACCCTATGCATCCTAACAATCAGTATGCATATTTTCCATATTTTCTGAACATTTCCTAATGTGCTGACGGGGAGAATTTGTTTGATGATCAAGAGCCTCTTAAGTTGGTGAACATTTCCTTCATTCTCGTGACTTAATGTGTGATTCAGGGGTGATGTTTTAGGAGGAATTAGATGCTAGTTGCTCTTTGGTGTTAAGGGTCGATACGGCTATTGCATCGGTTGAAGTTTGTATCCTAAACTGATTGTCCATGACGTTAAATTGAGTAAATAGTGTTTGTACCTCGGAATTTACTGGTTTCTAGGGGGGATCATTAAAATGAACACCACTTTCATCAGTTTTCGCAAAAATAATATGACATGTCTCTGTATTTTTCTTGACATATCAAGCATGTCTTGCAGTTATATTGATTTACAACAAAACGGATGTGTCAGTATTTATTTGCGGACGTGCAGTTCTCGCATCATTAATCCGTTCAAACGCAGTGTCACGGAAGTGGAACGATCGGAGCGGCGATCTAAACGGCTAAAATATGGGTTCTTACGCTGGCCATGTTCTTCCAGGGTCTATTTTCATAATATTTGGCCTATGGTGGTGGTTTAACATCCTTGCTAAGATTGCGAAAGCCCAACTAAATTATTTCAAAAGACGCTCCCTTGCGCAGCAAGTGTGCACAGAGAAATTTGACTTCGAACTCGACTTTGAATCTTCTGTGTGGATGAAAGTTCCTCTGCCATGTCTAAGAGATTTCCCCGCCGAGCCTTGTTTGAAAGTTATAGGATGCACTGTAGGAATCATTGCGGAGCTGTCGAGAAGCGAATGGAGCCTTCTAGACAGTCATGGGCATTTTTCGCACCTAAACAACTTCGGTCACGCGACAATGTATGGTAGTTTTCTGTTGGCTGCCATGGCAGAAATTCTTCGCCATTACAACATCTTATTTTTGCCTCCAACAACAGATTATGTTATGTCTTCTATGGCTTTTTTCCTGGTCGGGAAGTTGTTTTATTTCCACAGCGAAGGTCGCAACGATCTAGAACAAAAGGTACATATTCCGCTGTACACCGTCGCATTTTCCATTGCTTTTATCATAATGCTGGAAGCGTGGCAACGCAAGAGTCTTATCTTGTGTATGGTGCGCTCATTTCTCGTCGTTCTTCTCGGTGCCTGGTTCTTTCAGGTCGCTCATGTGTTGTACGGGTCTCATCCTTGGCAAGATATAAGTTCAAACCACGCATTCGTCGCGATTGTTTTTTCGTGGCACATACTGGGCTTGCTGGCGTTTTTACTCGTCAATCTTGTTGTAATCGGGGTCGTAATGTTTGCGTTCAGAAAAGCAACAGGATGGTCGGTAGTCCTTAACCCTTCAGGATGTCAAGACAAAAGCGAACTTCACAGTTTGATGAATACAGAACATGATAACGAAGACGCGTAGACTTGTTAAAACTGAACATCAAGCGGACGTTGTCGATCAACTGAAATTCCATTGTTGTCAATATCAATTATCAATTTTCATACGATTGTAAATTTTTTTTTTTCCGCTAAAAAAAAGGAGGTTAATTAGAACAAATTAAGGAGCCTCGATCTAGTAGCAAATAGAGATACAGAAACTTTGAGGGTTTTCCTTTAAAGACCGAATGCTGATAAATTGTTAATTATATAAATTATGGAAAAACTCTTACGGGAACTGAAACTTTATAAAACGTAACGATATATACCTCAATTTTGTCTTCGATAAACCTCATGGCTTACGTGACATGCCAAAATATTAACGCTAGAGAGTTTTAGATCCACGTTTGGTGTGTTCACCTAAACGTCAAACCGTGGTCAGTAGTTTTTGGTTAGAAGTTAGAAAGTTTCGAGACTTTCAGCATTTTAGATCAGTGCCGCCATCTTGAATTACACAAAGGATGGGGGTCTTGCATTTCAAACACAAAATGTGGCTAAATTTGTTATAAAGAAAAGACTTCAATTTACATATATTTATAGGACATACATCAAACTTTCGAATAGGAAGAAAAAAAGCGCCCAAGGAGTTCAACAACCTGAAACTGCCTTGCCCGAAAATCAAACGTGGACGGCAAACGGCGAACGTGACCGCTAGAGTCTGGTTACGTGACTCCTAGACATATTCAGCCTCCTACTGTGAGGAGACAAATAACCATGAAACACATTAATAAATAAATGAAGAGATGAATAGATTTATTTCACTCTTCCAGTTCTAAAAAAGGAAAAACACAAAGCCGTAGTTTTATCGATATGAAATGTCGCTTTCGCAACAGTATGGTGTAAGGAATGGGTTGTTTATACTAACTTATACTCTGCTGGTATGTTAAATGATATTTCCGTTGGTGCTGCGGCGGGTTTTGGTGTGCATACATTTTTACCGTTTTTATCGGCAAAGAATTTTAAAAATTAAAATGACATCTTTTACACTCAAAGGTTTTCAGTCATTCTTCTGTTCTTTTTTAAACAAAGAAGATTGAGCAATATTCGCTGAGCCTGAGGCGAATAACTGTTTTTGCATAATTTTTCAAGTGATTATCACAGCAAAAAAAACACCATAATTTTTATTTTAATTCTTTGCTGCTAGTTTGAAAAATTTTCGTTTTGCGTTGCGATTTTAGATGACGGTCGAGAGTTGCTTGCAATGACAATAACCTAGTTTCCTTGCAGAAACTTTTCTCCCCGAGTAGAATTGTAAGACTTCAACAAACGTAAGATCCGCCCTGTCTTAATAGAGGCATCAACTGTACTGTTGATATTACTTTGGTCTTTCAAAATACTGTGGACCTGGAGAAAACTAACACTGTCGATCGACAAATTCGTCCTTTAAATGATTCTCTTGCCTTGGTTTAAACCATTTTATTTTTGTCTGTTCATACGGCAAAGTTAAAGTAACGATTTTTATCTATGAAATCATGCATGCGCTACATCGCGTGCGCTACCTCACGCGCGCTAAAAGTTGGTCCTTGGTTGGCGTGTTGTCTGATAATTACTATATATTTTTATTAGCTTGTAACTGTTGTTAACTATCTTGGCATTCTACATGAATTTCACTGACGTTCTAAGTTTTGATCATTCTTAATCAAATGGAAGTGACGAGAAACTTATTCGAAATGCCAATGAACTACCACTTGAAAACAACGTCATAAATGAATTGTTTATGACGTAAACTTACACAAAACCCGCTCTGAGCCAAGATGCGTGCTCAGTTTTGTGAAAGCTGAAGTTCTTTTTGTAATGTGAAGAAAGTGTGTCTACATTGAGCCGACGAAATTATCCCGCATGTTGAAAACGTTAACTGTTGTCTTCTTGGTTTGGTTTTTGGTTACAGCACTACAGATATCAAGAACTGAAGATCATATAGATCATTTTCCAGCAGTTTTAAAAAGCTCCGGCTTAAGTAAGCAATCTTTTTTCGCGAAGCCTCATTTTCTATAACTCCTTTATTTCAAAGTCATAACTTTGAAAAGGATATAGAAAGCTATCAAAGGGCTTTTTCTTTCCGTTGAGAGCAATTAGCGCTGGAAATATGTTTTAACCTCACACACAGAACTACTTTTCCCTTCGATTTTTTTGTTTGCGAGGATTAAGCGAGCAATCTCATTCATTGTTCTTTTCCCGACTTTTGCAGCTTCCGACCTATACGCACAACTTTTTTGGATTTCAGAAGGTAAGTGTTAGAAGGTTGCTCGTATTTAATTTTAGTTTTTAAGAAAATCAAGGCTTTCTCTCAATGAGTTCGCGGGTCACCTTTCCCCATGTGAGGACAAACCGAACATCATACAAGCAGCGGTTTAGGAGATCAAGCGCTGCAACTGTCGCCCCTCCAAGATCGGAGAGGCTGACAGGAACCACTAAACAAGACTGACTGAACAAACACGGACGACGAGAAACGGTGACGTCAACAATCACCTTGTTGAATATCATCGACTTACGAAACACACCAATGACTGTAAGTCTGTGCAATGCTCAATCGACAGCACTAACTAGTTAGGAAGACTTACTCAGGAAAGCCGGTTCAATACCTTAGAACAGACTCCCCTCAATAGATGTCAACAACCATCGGCACCGCACCAACGACTAAACACAGGATACGAACGATCCGAACAGAACGATCTAACATTCCCACGAGTTTCGGTTCTTGAATTCGATTTAATGAGGCGGTAGAACAGGTTTTTAAATGAACTGATCATAATTTGTCCTATACCAACGCACTGGGGAAACACCAAAGCAAATTACAATTATCAAGTCCTTAAAAACGCTGGGAGAAATAGAAGCAAATGCCAAGAAGCGACTGTGTTGCCCCTTCCTGGTTCTTTATTTTTTCTAGTGTGGAGGAAGAATGCACCTTATGAAATCGGCTACCCACTGTTTTACAGCACTCTTGTCATTCTCACCGTCATCCGATGTCTGTGTTTGCTGATACCGTCCAGAGAAACACTCCTTGTGCAGGTCAGTATTAAGAAAGAGGTCCAGTTAGTGGCAATAGTCGATGAAATCTATGAGAAAAGTAAATTAACGGACCACATGTCAGAGCAAATTTAAAGGTGCTGAGCATGGGAAAACGAGTCTGACCAAATCGCGATTGGGCTCGTTCTTTCTTCTAATTGGTTGAAACGAGTGCTTGAATTTGTCCAGATTGGCTGAGTACTTTCCTGTGCTTGTTTCGAAGTGGAAAGGGTAGTTGCTTTTATTTGCAGTTACAGTATAATTGATTGAAAACTCCTCACATTTTCTTTGTAATGAATTTCTGCAGCTGTCATCACACTTTCATAGAGTGATTTAGTATTATGTTTTATTGTTGTTGTTGTCTCGACCTGTTTTCTTTCGTCGTCTGTAGTACGAAAACGAACAAAAGCGAGAACAAACGGAGGTTGAATCTGAAATCGTCGAAGACGACAAAGAGTACATGGTCGCAGCCACAGAGCCCGTTGATGTCACTTCCGCCGTGTCCCCACTACTTTCCGACAGTAATGTCTGCATTGCAGAAGAATTGATCGAGTCAGTTGAACCACACCAAACTGAAAATTGCACCCCATGCGTTCTCATGGAAACGTCTCTTACAGATGAACGTCGGCAAGAAGTCACAGTTCCCGAACAGCTCCCGGATATGGCCCCAGTTAATGTCACTGACAGCTTTACGTACCATATAAAACTGGGAGGGGCACTGGGATCAAAGATCTATCCCGAGACCTCTTTAGGGTAAGTTCGGTTGAGAAGGATTGGTTCTTACTTAGGCTGTTAGCAGTCTGATATTCACGATATGATAAAAGAGCACAAGTGGCGGAGAACAGAACAAACCTAAAATTACCAGCAGTTATTTTTTCTCCTAAACTCTCGCGAGCAGTGCGATTTTTGTGTTCAGCGGTCCAGGTTTCGCGAGGGAACAAAAGGCCTCTTTTCGGTATACTTGAGTTATCCCGAAGAAAATTAGGTTCCATTCATTGCCTTCGGAAAAAACATTCACTGTTCGTTTTACCCAGTTTTTCTTAGTCTACAAGCTGTTGGACGCAGTTGAATTTTATTCATCATTTCCCGCTACTTTCATACTAGATTATGCCTTTGTTACACGAGTCTTCTACACGTATGTTTGGTAGGTTTTAAGGGGGCACTTGAGAGGATTCGTCTTTCTTTCTGCTCCTGCTTCGTATGCAAAAAATGCAAAACATGTTGTTGAAGGGCACAATCAAATAATCCGACAGCTCCTTTAAATTATGAAAGTTTCTAACTAGATGCCAAAATCTGTGTCATTCACGCGGTCATTCATACTTAATGTGTATCTTGACTTTACGCCTGATATCTATCTAAATTTATAAGTTGGGTAACTTTCTTGGAAGGTGTTATTTAATGGTAAACCTCTCTCTACAGAAAAGCTTGTGTAGTGGTTGCTGCCGGAGCTCTCATTTCTTACGGAATTTACCGACTTGTCTCGTAAGTTCGACTTGTGGAGTTTCAATTTTCCTTTGGTAAAATTTTCCCCACTTCTGGTGATTGCCATTTCTTTGAATTTGCAGCATTTGTAATTTTGGATTTGGAAGTAACTCACATTGTATTCTCTCTTTCTTTTCCATAGGAAATAAATAAAGGTTCACAAGGAAAATATAAAGCTTCTGTAAGATATCTCTTCATTCCCTCTAAAAAGAACAGTTGTAAAATATTTCTTTGGATAATACTGGCATAAGGTCATCTATAAATTGTTCAGTTGTCATGTAGTGTAAAAATCAGATTTGAGAAAGATTGTAATCATACTTTTTGTACATAAGTCAAAGGTTAAAAATACTGTCATTTTTTTGCCCTTCAGTCGGTGAGAAGTTAATAAAAATTACTTGCTGCTCCAAGTGAAGAAAACAAGTGGCAATTCTTCCCTTCTATCCCGTTGATGCTTCCTTACTGTTGATTGGCAAATTGGCTTGACCAATCACGGTACAGTTCCTGCACCCTTGTCTAATCAAATGTCGAATGATATAGAGGAATGGTAGTTATGGTGTCCTGTAATGTTTTTCGTTTTCCACAGTGATTTTATCCCTTAACTAAGCCCAAGTTGGTCTTTCCATTCTTTCATTGCTTTCAACGACACTAAATTTCCCCCGCAGACAATGACAAGAGCTGATTTTAGTTCCCCAAGCTTTCCTTGCTCTTGCCACACTTTGAAAAGTCGTTCATACACACATGCCAAGGCCGCGCCACAAGCTGGTTCTACTAACATGCGGTGATCATCTGAAACGAAAGCAATGAGGATTTCATGTCAGACATGTCAGGCAAACTGACGAAGTACGACTTGATCTAACATCCAATTCTCCTCAGTCTAATTTACCAGGAGAATTCGTTTTACAATCAAAGCTCCTTGGGTTGGCAAACATTTCCTTTATTCTCGCGACCTTTTTATTTAATTCAAGGGTGATACTCTAAGGAGATTTTAGATGACAGTAACTCTTAAAGAATTAAGGCCAAACAACAATCGCCGAACGGGTCTATTTGCTTTAATGACAAAGAGACAGTAATTGCGAGAAAAACTATCAAAAGGAAACGAATAAGAGGTTAAGAAAATTCCTCCACGGTGACGATCTTAACCTAAAAGAAGAAATACTCAAAAATCGTTACCTGCAAATTTGTCGCATGCCAAGACAGCTTCCTTGTCACTACACGCATGACTTATAATAGCGTGGTTCTTGGTCCATTCAAGTGCATTTGCTGCTACTCTTCTTGCACCTAAACACTTTGCAACGCTGATGATAAATACAACAGGTAAAGCAACTTTGATAATGTCAGACTGGAAATCACCACTGTAGAAAATCTATTTCGTTTACAAATTTTCTCTTCCTCTCCCACCTTTGCATCCTTTTTGTATTCATGTGCGGCGCGCGTGATTTCACAAATTAGCCGATCACGTCAAATAACTCTCACCTTGACATTAGAAAACTGACTTGGACATTTTCGCGTACTTTTGTTGTTTTGTTTTACGGAGTTTAGTTAGTTGTTTTTGAGCTGTCGTTAGCGCAAATTTGTAACCCCTTTGTTTGGAATTTTAAGAACTTTCGGAGTTTTCAATTTAGCCGAATGTTGTGGTTCATTTAACAAGTTTAATAATACTTTCTACGGAGTTTGGACTCTAGCCACTTTTTTCGTAAATGGGATTTTTTACAATCACGTCACTGAGATGTCCCTTCCCCTTCTGTCTGAGGGGAGGTCAACCTTTATCTCCACCCCACCCTACTCAGATGGCTGTGGAGGTCGCTCTTCATCCCAACCCCACCCTCCTCAGATGGCCGTGAGCGAATTAAGTTGGGTCATGTTTAGTGGTTGCCTGCGGAGGATCAAAGTCAGCAAAAGCAATAGCAAAATAACCGATTTCAACCACAAGCGTTTAACGTCGGATCGTTCTCTTATCAGAGGTTCCAAATGAAATGTTAGCTATCATTCAAGGAAAGATGCGGTATTCTGGAAGTGTTTGCTTGCAGAAGCAACCTCAGTCCCTGGATTGTGGTAGGTAGTCACTTACACTTGGACCCTATGCTAGACATCTGCAATGCGCTTAACTGTTGAGTTTTCTTTTCCACAAACCTTGTAATAGCATCTAATGTAACAAGCTCCCCTGCTTGAACAGATGCGTTAAAACTGTCTGCTCCTTTAGTCTCCATGGCAACAACAGGGACATCAGTCCACCCTACATTGTGCATACCTTGTAGCACCCCAGACAACAGTCCCCCTCCACCAACAGATACCACAACAATGCTTGGCTTCTCTGGCAGCTGTTCAGCTGATTCGTGAATAACAGAGGCCACACCCTCCCTGCAGAGTAAAGGCACGTTATGACTGGTTTGCGAAGGACTGTGATCAAAATTAGCAGAAAGAGGAGGAAGTGACTTCAAGGAAATTTTGTATGATCTTCCGTGTAGAGTTCCTAATATTTGCTCTCTTAAGTGCAACTTTTGGTCAAAATTACGCCCTTCCAATACAGCTACAAGAAGTAACAAAAGGGTTGGGATACTTAAATTTCTAAGAATGTTGAACACCATTTGATTTATTATAATTATAAATAGAAATTGTTCTTACCAGATATCTGGGTGATTAAATGGTGGAATATATGCATAGCCTGGAAAGATAAAGACAGCTTTAGGAAACAACACTGAACTCAGTTTGACAAAGGAAAACAGTGTGTTCTGAACATTTATAAGAGAAACCATGTTTAGGAAATATTCCCAATGAAAATCCAAATCCAATGAAAATCTTAACCCCTTAACTCCCATAAGTGATTAACTCATAACTTCTTCCTATAATATCCATACATCATCCAGCAAACAGGTAATGAGAATATACAAACCAAACAGGTAGTTGTTAGATTGATCAAACCCCAAATTCTGGTAACTAAGGAAATATGAAGCAGCTAGAGGGGAGAATTAACAATCAGATCTTGGAAGTTAAAGGGTAAACAAAACAATTCCCAAGCGTTCAAAACAGTTTGAAATCATACAGTGAGTTACAAGAACTAAATTTTTGGTTGTTCACATGACAGAACTTTAAGTATAGAACTTAAACTAGTTATAAGGACCTTTCAATGATGACAGATTCTTATCCCATTCTGTAAGCCAATCTCTATTAGGGACCAAAGGAAATTGCAGTCATAATCATAAGTGTTACAATTTCCTCAAATGTGATTGGTGCATTAACTGCTTTATTTTTCACTAATCATTCTGCACAATTGTAATTGCACAGTATAGTCAGACAGTTGGCTGTAATCAGGCACCTATAATCAAACAGTTGACGCAACCAATTATAATTATCCTATCCTTAAAAAATGTGGAATTTCCAACATGGAGGAATTTTTTAACCTTAGACATTGTATCTACTGGAGATATTTATCCTAAATCCATTTTTTGTTTTTGGTAATTGTAACAGTTATGATTAATTGGTAACCAGGACTGTGTGTTGTCCAATTCTGTCAGTAATCATACTAATAATTGCCAAATCAGACTGAATGATTTCAGACTGAATTGGACTCCACTCAGTCCTATTTACCATTATTAATTACCTGGCTGCTTTGCTAGTGTTAAAGTTCTTGCATCTGCATCATCCCAAGACTATTCAAACAGTCAAAAAGTAGAATCAGTCTCAAAACCATTCCCACTTAAATGTCTCCTATAAATCTTTGCTAGACTCCTTTATGAATTGAGATGATTGTTGCTTGAAACCAAGAGCAACCCTCCATGAGGTTAATGAAATTGTTGTTCAGGGTTAACCTTTAACTCCCAAATCAAAGTTGTAATTCTCTTTACTGTCAACCATACAATTCTTATAATGTCAGTTCAGAGAATTTAGTATTGGATGAACATATCCCCAAATTGATGTCTTTCTTTATCCTCATCACTTTTCTGGTTGATATTATATTGATACTGTGAGGAGAAATTCTGTCTTGGTCACTCATGGGAGTTAAAAGGTTAACAGTAGCTATGTAAATTTTGCATGTTTGTGGTTTAGTATTTATGTCAATCTTTCCCATCCTTCACTTTTCACCCAGGAGTATAAATGGGTACCGGCCAACTGTTAGATTAACCTGATTAAATACTGAGGGTAACCTTGCAATGCATTGGCATCCTATCCAGGGGGGAGAAGTAATTTTCCTAGTCACTTGATGTTACAGAAACCCAAATAAGGTCTGCTGAATGGGTCACTTGGCAGGAATGCGGACTTTTTCTCATCCTTAGCCATCCTTGTAACAGCTTGATTAATTCTTTCTAATTTATTATTATCTATTTTATCAATTGAAATTAATATTTTGTGTGATTTTACTACTTGTAGGTGGTAATTTTCAATATGACATGCATAAAAATTTGAAACATTTTAATTGTAGCTCCTCTAGGATTCTTTAATTATACAACTTGTTAACACAATAAGAGAACATGTAATATCTATCAACTTACACTGCCACAGATTTCAACTGTAGCTCCCTCTTCCCTCAGTCTTTCCACAATAAACATTGGTGTTGACCCTGGCACAATCACAGTGCAAGGGATCTTAAGCTTCTTAGCTGCATATGCTGCTGCAAGCCCAGCATTTCCACCTGACATCATACAAACATAGTTGATTGGTTAATGAAGGACACCCATCAACACAGTTTTCAATCAATGATTTCAGCCCACCTATCCACAGCTTATCGCAATTTCCTTACTATGAAGCAACTTGAAGAATTACTTCTCCCCTCCCCCCCTGGAAGAAGAACTCAAGAACTCAAGAACTCAAGACAATGATCCAGTCAGGTCTTGACCCAGACCTCTTGTCCTGGAGTCCAGGGCACTGACAAGTAGGCCACTCTGTTTCCTACTCATTAATCCTTTACACCCTAACATCAGTATGCATATTCACCATACTTTCTCTATACATTTCTTAAGGTTCTGAAAGGAGAATTTAATTGAGTTGATAATGTAAATTGGCCACTGTAAAGAGTTTCAAAGCTAACTTGACCCTTTAACTCCCATGAGTGACTAAGAAAGAATTCCTCCTTACAATATCAGTACACTATCAAGCAGATTAGTGATGTGAATAAAGAAATATATCAATTTGGGGATGATTAATTGATCCAATACTAAATTCTCTGAATTAACGTTGTAAGAACTGTATGGTTGACAGCAAAGAGAATTACAAATTTGGTCTGGGAGTTTAAGGGTTAAATGTATAAAGGGGTAAGTTTTTAAAGAAACTGCATTGGTGGGGGAGTATGACAGAGTAATCAAGTATTATCAACTGACTTGATAATGTAAATTAGCCACCATAAAGACTTTCAAAGCCAAAATATCAAAATATACCTGATGAACAAACCATATGGTTGCATCCTCTTTGCATGGCCTGGAACCAACAAAAAATACAGTGCTAGTTTTCATTTATCACCTTAAAATCAGTATGCATATTCTCCATACTGTTCTCTATACATTTCCTTACATACTAACAAGGAGGATTTTTTCAATATTTAATAGCTTCTTTGGTAGGTGATCATTTTCTTTATTCTCATCACCTTAAAGTTTAGTTCAGGGGTGATATTGTAAGGAGAAATTAGATGCTTGTAACTTGAGGGTCAAAAGGTTATTACCAAAAACCTCACAACAAATGATCTGACAGTAAGGAGCCACTAAACTCAGAAAAACAACCTCACCCTATTCTTTGAAATGACTGATTATTTATTCCTAACATCAACTTATTAAGATACAAATTGTTCTCTTCTAAAACATTTTTTCCTTCCATCCTACAATAGTGCAATGTCTAACAATCTACTTCTTAAAAAAAATTCAATAGCAGCTATATAATTGTCCCTTTGAGTGGTTTAGAGCAGTTTCGACAACTATGGCACACCCTTGTCTTAGCTTTAAAACACCCAAAAGTTCGTCTGAAGCAACCAAAATGACCCCTGTTACATGTAAATTTTCCTCATAAATCGGAGATGTTCAATTGTCACATTCTCATAAATGTTTCTCAATCTAGAACCACCAGTAACAAATTTACATAAAGATTGCTTTTCAAAAGCAAGCCGCATCAGAACTTCGGGCGTAATTCTTTCCAATGAACTACACAATGCTTAGCAAACGTGACGTTAACTATGATTTTTAACGAAAACATTCATTTTCGAACACGTGTCCCTTCTGACGAGAAAACCCTCATCATCTTTGAGTGTTTTTAGGTCCGGAAGATATTTGAATCCAGATTAACAAGCCAATAACTTGGACGTAACTGTCATATGAATAAATAAAAACTAAAAAATTGACAATTGAAGCGGGAAGTTATCAAAAATTATGCAGAGAAAGTAGTGAGCCCTGGGAACAGGATTATGATGATCAAACCTTCTGGCACAAATTTCCAATTCCTCGAATCTTGAAGGATCCTGGTGGTTGTACGTTCTCTAGCTTCAAGTAAACAGGAAATCCTGTCAGTTTTGTCATAGCATGGCTCTCAAGCAGAGGTGTTTTAATATGAAGCGGCTCCATGGTAGTAAACAGCGAATTCTGTGACAACACGTAATATTTACGCGCGACCCTGGAAACGGGACTCGCGTGGCAAAATAATAATATTGTCAATAGGCGCGATGGGGGTGGGAAGGGGGATAGCAATGTTTTTATTCATCGTGCGAACGCTAATTTATCATCATTGCGTCTCGCATTCGTCGCCATACATCTATTCCCTGGTTCATAAACACAACCACTGATACACACTTTTCAAAGCAACAACAAAAAAAATTGCCCTATTTACCTTCCTCAACACTAACCCTTACGTAAAATTCTCACAAAATTATAAACCTTAAGTCTCAGTAAAATGCATTCAGAAAAAAACAAAGCAGTAAATTATATCTGCCATCTTATTTTGAATAAGAAGCGTGGGTGAGATTTTTTATTACTAGTGCCACAGAGCCGAGATACTCCGAGACACCCTCACCTAAAGGGGTGAAAAGCCTCAGAAAGTAGTTATATTATACATGTGTTTTCAATTATTTCTCTCAATTTAATCCTGTATGAAATTTGCCAGATGGTAATCACTCATAATGATGCGTCAAGAATTTTGCTGAAAATCTAAAATAGTTTCTATTGTTTGGTAAGGGTAACAGAATCATTACACTCAAAGAGCCATTTTCATGAATTTCTTTCCATTAATTGATCTAGTAGATGTTAACGTTTTTTTTATGGTTATCTCCTTCTGATCCAGGGTGGATTTTACAATAAAAGCCCTGCCCTGAGGATCGGATTCAAAATTTTACGTCAAAAATCTAATTGTTGCCAGTACATAGCTTAACTAGATCGTGACAAATTGGAAATACAATTTTGATATTTTCAGGTTTTTTAAGCACGGCCCAGTTTTTTTACCAAACCCTTCCAGGCGGGCACATGCCACTGTAGGCCAGAAAATCTGATCTCTGGCAAGAGAGCAGGCCATGATCACCTGTCTCAAGCCGACAAAAAACGCCGTAGTTTTGTTTGTTTTTACTTTTTTCCGGTAATATTTTTCATGACACAGTCTGTTCCAAGATGACTCCTTAAAACTGATTAGGCAAGTTTGGGCAAACACATCGCCATAAAGTTTCCCTTGCAAATCCGCGCGAGACCTGAGGAGAATTATGAGCATTAACTCTACCAGCGGTAGCGCGCGAAAACAACTGCTCATGCGCACTAAGACTTTGGCGCATGCGCTCTCAGTTAAACCAAATTTGTTCTTCTGTTTTTCGGAGGCTAACAGAGGGTTTTCTCTCACCTAAATTAGGCACTTTTGTCTCAAGCTTCTAGTTTAAGCAAAGGTCTTTGCTTCCTCTCAGAAAGCAACGATACAGCTAGTAGTGGGCTGAATCGCGAGACATTTTATCGATGAGGGGCTTAGAAAATGCCCCTCAACTCTGAAAAATTTAAGGGCGGCAATTTGTTCGAATTGTTCCCCTAGGTTGGAATTTCTCGTATAGAAAAACTCGAGTTTTGTTTGTGTGGTTACTCTACGGTAGAAAACAGTTTTGTAGGTTATTTAGAAGTTTGCAAAATGGATTACGACCACTTGGATCCAGAAGGAAGCTTGATGGACGTGCGTAGAAGTTCTTAGTTCCTTTCACCAATTTTGCTTTGAAACTGGACTCGCACCAGTTGTTTACCTTTATTACATACCCATTTCTTTATTATTTACAGAGGATTCAAGCCCTTATCCAACCTCCGCAGTCGGAAGATTCAGGGAAGAGAATGAAAAAAGGGGATAAAGAGGCGCGGAAGCAAGGACGGGCTGTCAACAACGACAACTGTGATAGCTGTGGCGAAGGAGGTGATTTACTCTGCTGTGACCGATGTCCCTGCGCTTTTCACCTGACATGCTGGTTAGTTCAATTATGATTTTTTATTCATACATTGTTAAAGGAGGTCTTTATCGGTGACTTTATATTCTATGTCCGAATTGAGATTTCTTCCTTGACTTCACAATAATCATGTTTGAAAGACTTTTAACATGTTACAGTAGAAATGCTTATTTTAAGTTATCACACACCCGCTCATAGTTACAGCTGATGTTAATTATCGTAATTTTCCTGAAGCTGCGCTGCTTATCTTTCTATACGAATTGAATTTCCAATCACGTGGAAATGACTTATAAATGTGGTCTCTATCAAATTTTACTCTTCGAATCGAAATGTAACAGGAGAGACCTACGCTCAATTGTTTCAACTTGCGTAGGTAAGTGCACTCAAAATACGATAACAGCGTGAATTTGTAGGGGAATAAAAATATTCCTCTTATTCTAGTATAAAGTTTGAACACTGAAATTGGTATCATCATAGAAATATCTTGTTTCACATTATTATAGCTATTAATTAAAGTATTTTGAAGGTCTGTTTCTGGAGCTAGCTTTTTGTTCACATTTCATACCTAAAGAGTATTCCAAAACTCAACAGAATGTTCTCCTTTTACTCTCAAGATATTTTGTTTTGGATGTGGTGGTCAATGTGGGATGAATTTATGAACAACCAAACAGAAGAAATCAGTCATTTTGTTGTATGGTTGTGTATAAAAACATGTTCCTTCTTTTGTTCAGATACTACTTCCCTGTACTCTCACTGCTTAGTCCTTCTATAGTTAAACCCATTTATTGTTTTTTAGTTTTTGGCAATTATGTTGGCTAAGATGTTTACTGTTATGCCTCTCATTTGGGAAGGTTTTTTTTTTTTTGGTCAGTCTTTTGAAACATGGTACAGTTAGCTCTTAAATGTTCATACACCTCTCTAACTGTTCTTTGTAAAGAAATGGAAACTGGTGATTGCATATGATTGCAAAATAACTGCAATATCTGAGGGATTATTTGAATATAAAGCCAAATCAAAGGGCACTTTATAATGTGTCTAGATTATTTACAATGAATCATTACCATACACTACATGAAAACTTAAATGTTTACATTTCATTGAATCATAGTAGTGTCTGGTGTACCATCCTTTGTTCCTAAAAGTGCTTACAAACTGTTCCTCAGTGTTCCTGTATTTTGTTGTTCCTCCAGATATCTAACCATGTAAAAGTAATCTATGTTTTTGACTTTGATTGGAGTGTAGTTTCTTAAACTTTTATTTATCACAAACACTGGTTAGAAAATAAAAATTTATTTTCCTGTTTAAGATAATCTGGGAAAGGTTGATATCTGGTCAAATTTTTCCTCTAAACTTGAATTAATATTATGTGATGATTATATAGTCTCTTTATCTATAGAAATTTGGAGCTTTCTTTAAATGCTAAAAGGTGAAAGAAGCCTTGTGTTATTTTATTGATGTTGTTCTTAATTGTTGTCTATTGTTTTCAGTGATCCTCCACTAGAAGAAGATGATATTCCTGATGGTGAATGGCTCTGTAATGAATGTAAAGCATTACCCAAAGAGGTAGTTATTGTCTATGAGAGATTAACCATTCTATTGTAAATACAATGGCAGAATAATTTTTTTAGTTTCATTCAGACAGTCTCCATGGTAAAACAACTTGCTCTCTGAAAATCTCATTCTCTACAGGTCATGAATTGGCCACAATGAAATAGAAAGTTAAATTTGCTATGGTTGAAATATCTAAGACAAATTGTAACAATGCCTTTTTTGTAATTGGCAATTGATTCTTATCTTCTTTTTTTTTTTTTTTTGAACAAAGCATCTAAATGGTGCCAAATATAAGTTGGAAATTTGGAAAACAATTTATAGCAATAATATAAGTCAAACTCTTTGTGACCAGATTGAACTGAGTTAACCCTTTAACTCCCAGATCAAATTTGTAATTCTTCTTACTGTCAACCATGCAATTCTTATAATGTTAGATCAGAGAATTTAGTATTGGATTAACTTATTATCCCCAAATTGATATTTATCTTTATGCTCATCATGGATCTGGTTGATATTGTATTGATATTGTAAAGAAAAATTCTTTCTTGGTCACTCGTGGGAGTTAAAGGGTTAAGTAAATGTGCACATACTGTTGATAAAACTAGACAAATTTGTCCCCTTTTTGCCTTTCACTTGTAAATACTATGATCTGAAAAGATAATGTAAAGTGGAAAAAAATGAGTCTTATCTACTTTAAAGTAACTTACAAAATTTGTTTGAATTCTTTTTCAGGATGCTGATAATAAAGGGAAAGACCCTGCAAATGATGGAATGAAAACTGATGGTCATTTGACACCAGCTGTGAAAGAAACTGAGAATTCAAAACCAGAATCACCGTTTTCTACACTAGTAAAAATGACAACTGGAAAAAACCCAACTACGTTTTCTCTACCACCAGAACTGAAGTGTAATACCTTCTTTCCTGGTTAGTGTTGTCTTTGTATGGTGGTATGTTATAGAGTATGAAATGAAATTATTTCTTTATTAATCAAAACAAAAATGTTTGTAGTATTAAAGTTGTGGTAGCATGTAGTTTTAGTGTTGTAATTGATGCAGTGATGAAATAGTTAAATCTTTTGTGTCTTCATGAGAGGAACATACCTCTATTTCAGTGTGTTATTTCTTGGTATGTATTTAATTAGAGTGGTGATTTATATTCTCTAAGATATACATTCTTATTTTTTGAAAGGCGACAGAAAAAGGAAAAATAGTACTGAAGAAAGAACAGTTCCTGTAAAAAATGGGAAAAGAAATACTGATGATGATGAACATACAATCCCTCCTGGGCGACTTTGTTTTGCTTGTAGTCGGTAAGACACCAGTAATCTTAATCCTGTTAGTGTAACTTCCAAGATTTTCACATAGTACTGTAACTTATCTCAAAGAAAGTGGAAAGGATTTGTGTAGTGAATCGTGTTTCATTGTTCTGCAGGAGTGATTTGGTTGGCCAACTTGTTCATTGTGACTTCTGCCCCCTGGCATTTCACATGGATTGTATAAACCCTCCCCTGACCACTGTACCAAGTGGCATGTGGATGTGCCCAAATCATGCTGAACATGCTGAGGTAATATATTTGCCATGGATATTTATCATTTCTTTTCTGTTGTCATTTTTCAAGTCAATCTTCAACCTTTGAATTGTAAACATAAGTGAGGGTAGTCCTTCAAAGGTTCAGTGTTGGTTGCTATTATTCCCTCCAATCTGTGGACAATGGCTTTCCTTATGACTAAAGAGCTTGAATATTTCTCCAAGTGTGTCAACTGAAGAATTACAATTTTCAAAGAATGCTTCCCTCATAGGATACTACTTTCTGTAATACTCCTTAGGTTCAATCCATGTAAAAGTTAACATACCATTAATTCCTTAAGAAAGTCATTTTGAAAACAAATGAATGATTCTGACAGCACCAAGTTGTATTAGGTGGTTAGTATAGTGGAATTACATGCATATTTATTAGCATTTTAAAGGTCAACATCTCATTAAGAATTTTAAAAACCATTTGCAATGTGTGTGCTTGCAATAAGATTGTCTTTTTGGTCTTTTTTTAATTTTTTTCAGCCTGGATTACGTGATCCAAGATTTAGCAAAAGACTTCAAGCCTATAATGACCTTAGGAGTAATATTTCCCAGCATACTATAAAAATGAACTTTCTTCAACGTGTGCACAGGTATTTGTCAACTACCTATTCCAGTGAAATAAGTTTATTTTATGTGAGTGCTTTGAACATTTTTTGATTTTTTGATGTCACTTTTAGATTGAAGAAACATCCTTCTTTTAAAAGAAAGGACTTTTTACCAACAAGAAGAAGAGCAACCTTGGTTAGTGTTTACTTTTGATGTATTTCTGATTGAAAATACCAACAGTGTATTGCTTTGAATTTTTGATTTGAGTTGTAAGTAATAATATTAGTTCCTTTTGAATAACAAAAAGAAAACTGGATGTATGTTTTATAGGTTCCACAAGCAATCAAGGACCATTATGAGTCTCCACCATATCGAACTCTTCCTGAACACATAAAAAGAATGCAAGAACCTTTACCACTACATGCGATTCCTCTGAACACTCCAACTGCGGAGGAGCAGGAAGAGGTAAGGCTGAGACTTGTTGAGAGGGACAAGGTGAAAATGAACACAAACTGGGGGAAAGTCTTGAAGGATTTATTATTACCAACTTTGATAGTGCCTTGGTTATTCTTATCCCCTTGTTTGTTGTGGGTCCCCCTAGTCTGATATCACAAGGTTTAGCCAGTTTCATTGCATTTGAAAAGTGTTTGGATTATCACTATGGGACTAAGGTTTTTCTCTGTACCTTGCAATTGAAAATTTGAATCAATCATCTTTGCTTTATTCAGCTACTGTTACCACAGATGATTCCATTTCCCATAAACAAACAAACACAGACATATTTGACTCTGGGAGTGATATTGATAATGTTGCATTCAGGGGTGTTACAATTTATTTTTCTGTAAGCAGTTTTGTTGTCCTTTTCTGTCAGTGTAAAGATAACTAATTTCCTTTTTTTCAAATTTTCAGTGGTTAAAATGTGTGATTAGCCTCCAATGTGGAATTGCAAAGCATCTGACACAACCATCTGTAAACAAAGCTTTGATTGCCAATCACACAGATAATGCCTCTAAAGGGGAAACGTCAAATTCAAACAATCACTCATCGACTTCAGGATCAGCCCACGCTACAAGTAGTGGAACTGGGAAAGAACCTGTTGTAAATGGTCTGCTTTCGAAGTCCGACTTAACTAATCATGTTTCTGCAACAGCAGCTAATGGCAGTGTACCAAATGCTTGCATAAGTAGAGTTGTGACAACCACTATTACAACCACAAGTGGTGGGAAAACAATAACAAAGCCACTGACAATATTATATGCATCTCCGTCAAAATTACAGACTCATATGAATGGACCACTTAATACAAAGTCATTAGCAAGTTCAGGTAACTCTGTCAACCTTTGTACTGTGTCATCTACACATTTACCTTCACAAGTCTTAGTCAAACAGGAGCCAAAAACTGTTGAGAAACAGGTGGCCTGCGGTGACTTGACCCAGTTGAGTGCTGAATGTAAACAACTTTCTAGTGACACAGCAAAACTTGTCAATGATATTGGTCATTTGAACAATGTTAAGGCAAAAGTAACAACAGACTCTATAAAAACGGTAGCTGTTTCATCATCCAGTTCTGTTGTGAACACAACTGTCAGTGCAGCTACTAGAACAATTTCAACTGTGACTCCTTCTGGTTCAAGTGGTACCAGCACAACAAAAGTTGCTTCATCAACACCAACAAAACTTATTGTGCTTACGAGCACTAACAGTGGGAACATCATTAAGACAATTGCTACTGCTGGGTTGTCTGCTGCTAGCACTGGCCAAATCCCTGGTGGTAGTATAGTAACATTAGGAGCACCTGGAAATGCAGGAAGTGTCAATCCAGTGAAAATTGGGACTGTGAATGCTTCAGCACCTGTGTCAGTTGGGTCAAGTCCAAACAAAGTTAACCAAGCAGCTGCAGCAACCTCTATGGCAACTGCTAATGCTATAAACAGTATCTGTGCTGCAGCAGGAGTCGACGCATTCAATGGTCAGTGTTATCCCCTTTATTCATAGTTTAATGGTTCATGTAATATGTTTGAAAGTCAGTCAAGGTGTTGTTAAGCTTAGTGGGTGCTGAAAATTGGCACCCATAGTGTACCAGTTTGGAAGTAGCTCTCAACAATAGTTTTCCTTCAAGGAAATATGTTGGGGTGTTGTTCATTCTCCTTCTGTAAATATACTATATAGCTATACAGTTTTCTTGAACTGAGTACTTTTTGTCAGAAACAGAGTTGGCCAAGTTAGATCCGCGGCTCATACAAGTTTTGGCTTACCAGAGGCTACAGCAGCTTCTTACTCAGACCAAGGCAAGTTGAACTCTTCTTATCCTCTACTCTGCTTCATTAAGACTGGGATATTGACAGTTCTCCCCCTTTACTGGGGCCTTGTTTGGTGTTCAGGGCAATATCATGATAGTTCCATCTGCTGCAGTTGTTTCTCAGTCCCTCCCCTCTCCCCCAATACCACACTATCTGTTCCAGGCCTTCAGGAGTTACCCTTCTCTAAGAGAGAGCTTTGGTGTTGTTGAAGCAATTTCTAAGTCAACTTGTTCGTGGTTAAAGCCTCCCTTGCTCAACAGAATCCCTGACAACCCCACTTTTGGTCTTAAAATGCCTTCTGTGACTTTAAATCTTATGTCAAACTTGTGATTAGTTCTAAATTAAAAGAAACCATAACATTGTTCGCCTGTTGTTTGCAGCCCATACCTCCAAGCCCAGTTTCAGCTCGGAAAATTTCCTTCAATGGCTTAAAAGAAACTATAGTTCTTCCACAACAAGCTGGTATGTAGTTAGTTTGGAAAGTCGCAGGTCTGTTCTTATTTCTTTTAAACTAGCAGTACTTCTCCTTCTTTACTGTGTGTTTCAAAGGTGTTGTGCCATCTCTTTTTTGGCATAAAGTTTTTACAGTGTTTTTTTTCTCTTTTTAGTTCCTGCTGGCAGATCCATAGCAGTACTGTGTCCATTGTCAGGGACAGGTCCTGTGTGTCCAATGATTCACAAGTGTCTGTCATTAGGACAAGGTTAGTGGTTACACTATTTATTTGCACAATGCCCATAGCGCATATTAAATCTATGGACCTTGAGCCCTCTAAAAATGAGAACTACTTATTTTAAGATGTTGATGAATCTCTTTAAAGTTGCAGTAATACATTGGGTTTCAGTTTTTGTGATTCCATATAGTTAAGCACAGAAAATGTTAAAAAAATGAAAAATATTATAAGTTCATTACTTTTCTTCAGCTTTTTATTTTTGCCTCACAAAAAAATATTTTCAGTGCTTGTAACAGTTTGTTTAAATTTTCTCTTTGTTTAAAGGTCCAGATATGGATGTTTGTCTCCAGGAATATGGACACTGCAACTTTATATCTGAAAAACATTGCTCTATATTCTATGATGAGGTATGCTCTGATTACCTATATGTTTAAAAAATATCAAGCTGGTTAATTTGAGTTTTTTAAATATTTATTTTTATCTGGTTATTTATTTAATTATTTGGTACATTGTGTCCATAAGATAATATTCTTCTAACAGTATAAAAAAAGCTGGTGGTTAAAAGTTTTTTGTTTTGTTTGTTTTTTTCTCCACAGACTTCGAAACAGTATGAACTCATAAATTACAGTGAACACGGAACATATGTAGATAATGTTTTATACTCCTGTGACTTTTCGGACAAAATCAACAGACATGTTGTTTCATCAAAGGATCTCGATCCTACCAAAGTGAGCAAGAACAAATTGCTTGCTGCTGCGCAAGTGAGGCAGAACAATTCAAAGCCAAAAGGATCACGGAGAACTGTGGGACTTGGTGTGCAAAAAATTGTCAAAGCTTGTAACTGCACAACAAGTAGCTCAAATTTGATTGGGGGCAGTGGTGCAGGATGGGAAGGAACAGCTTTGTTGCATCATGGGAGTTACATAAAGCTTGGTTGTGCACAATTTGTTTTCAGTATCACAAGCCATGCAACAAAGTTGCCATCAACTTCCAAGGCTTCTAGTTCCAGTGATAAGAAAATCGCTTCATCTCATTGAGTCCTGGGTACAATATCACTGTTATTGGCGAAAAAAGATATATATATATTTCACTACTTCCAGCTGCTAAGAGGATTATGGACTTCAGAAGGAAAAAGATAACCAACAAGGAGCCTACGATTTCCTGCCCGGTGTTGTACTCATTGCTATTGTTCATGAGACAAGCAACAAACAACCAGTATTTTTATACTGTAGGGATGTGCACACTGCATATTGGAGAAAAGAAAACATGTTAATAAAAGTGTAAATTAGATTTTTTATACACTGACGTCAAAGACTTTTTAGAGAAGCATCGCTAATTTTATTCTTGTATTATTCTATTTAAGACAGGGATGGACAAAATATTTATTATTTGTACAGTTTATGTCCATCTTTGTCTTGCAACTCACAAGTTAGCTTTTGTGATATCAAGGCATCTCCCACTAAAAAAACGTTGACTATAACAATATTGTTAGTAGGTGTAATTAGCTAATTATCAGTTGCAGATAACGTGTGATCTTTGTGCACCCACAAAATGCACACATCTGAGATATGTACACATTCACTGAGAATTACATTAAATACCTTAGAGTGTTAATGTGAACATAACATCTCAGCTGTGTCCCATACACATTAGCCTACGTGTAGCCGTATCCTCTTTTCCTCCTCCCCAACCCGCGGAAACCTCGCTTCCGTTTCACCATAGGGGGAGGGTACGGCTACACGTCGGCTACATACACATTAATTGAAACAAGATCTTTTGTGTTAAGATATATTGATACGATAATTAGAAATTGGATACCAATGTTAGAGCTCTACTGTGTTTTTCTGAGTTGGTTTCTGGTTTTCAGAGTTGCCATCTGCGTTATGTTCTTATCGTGTCTCGTTAAAATTGTTGTTGAGGGAGGGGAGGACTGTTAAGTTTGGGTAGTGTTCTTGGTTGCTAGAGGTCAAGGGTATCTCCTTGTCGGCCAATTACTCGCAGAGGTATCTGTTTATCTGATTGTCCAAAGATAGTTTTGTTCTCATCTTCTCAGCCATGTCAGGTAAGTCATTCGACTGCGTTTTTCAAGAGAATGGAGCAAAACTCGTGTATGTTAAATGAGGATTGCAGAAAATATAATTGGCCAGATTACAAACAGTACACACGCTTAACGGAGAAGGGAAACTACCACTTGGGAGGCTCGTATCATCGAGATGTCGGAATCGACACTGTTAAATAGCACCGACCTTCAAGGTCTTCAGGATTTACATCAACAGCTGGGGCAGACAATAGGAGAATTGCAGGAAAGGAAAAAGGCCAAGGAAGCAAAAGAAGCTCGCAACAGACTCGTGAAACGTTTGATTTCGAGTTTGATATGTTGGCCATGCGCTGGCTGTTGCTTTAAAGAAGGAGGATGGATAAAATGGGTTTGCTCATTATCTCTAGCTCTGATGTTTTACGGTGTAGTATTTACCGTTCTTGTGGCTACAGGAGGTATCCATTCGTCCCCTACTAGTCTCGTTGTCATACCAATATTGGTCACAGCAATCGGTGTACTTGTTGGAGTAGGATTATGTTGGAAAGAGAAGGATTGCTGTAAAAAAACGGGTCGTTGCGAAACTTCTTCCTCATCTCGTGTCCGTGGGTATTCTTATACTCCTCTAGACCAACCAGAACTCACATCTGTAGCTTAGGAAAAAGAATAGTCGGCTATTAACCTTGGCACTTTTTAATTGGACGCTAAACTGAGGAATGCAACCTTAAAATAGATTTATGGTTTGGAGAACCACACTACACCCTAACATAAACAAGCCAAGAATAAAAGTGGACACCTACGGGACTCGAGCGTTGGTCTGCTTAATAAAGTTTTCTTACATTGCAAAACCGTGGTAATAGTTAAACCACAGCTAGATTACAGTGAGTGATCAGGAACCTTTCGGATCTGTCATAATATAACGGGCTGAAAGAATCATGCCCGACTGCAAGGCTGCGTTCATTGTTTTAGATAAACTGGATGGTTAAAGATAAATTTGATCTAGGTCATCTCTGAATCTGGATAACTGAATCATTTTAGGTTTGAATACATCTTGTGAATTACATTCAATCACTTTCTTTGGATTAACATTGTCTAAAAAGAAGAAATTGGTTTTTGTTGCGATTTCTCGTTCTAGTAACGAGGGGTCGACACAAAAAGTTCATTATAAATGTGTTAGAACTCCAATAAACATAGAATCTTTACTGCATACAACAGGAGGGATTTTTTTTTTCAAGTCTCTCTCTCTCTCACAGTTAACTAAAGGCTACTTCAAGCAACCGTATCCAAACCTCCCTTGGGTTTTTTTTTCTACCCCTCCTCTACTATCGCACTACTAGTGAGCTTAGTTTTACGAACTTAACTCCTGGAACAGGTTTAGGAACCTACAACCAAAAGTTCAACATATTAGACTACCATCTAAAATGGTTGGTCCCATTCGACAGGCTGTTTCCGGTGTTGGTTATAGTTTGATTTACATTTATGTAAAAACGAAATGTAACTTTTTTGTCCTGAGAGATTAACTCACAGGGATCCAAATAGATCGAAACAATATGAACCCACTCCTTTTCAGTTTTTAAGGTAGTAATGTTTTGATTCATTTTCTGACATACATTTAAATCACTGAAATATTAAATAATCAAGAAACAGAAACACCAAATCAAGGGTAGTGTAATTCTACACAACCATAGCAGAATGGGAGGGATGAGAGGTTAACAGTCAGGCATAACCCATGAAAAGAGGCACTGGCTCTCTTTAGTACCATACAAAAAGGAATCTTATGGATTGAGTCTTTCTCCTTTCAAAACTTCCCAAGTAGGCATTTATCATATTCCCAACAATAAAAACAGAGAATTTTGTTTAAATTTTTATTGTCATCATCCATACCCAATGGGCTTACATCAGGGGGTTGTACAAAAAATCTCCTCAAGCTACATAAATATAAGCCATATTTTGCAAATCTGACTTACTCAGACCAGCTCTATTTTATTGATGTTGCATGCACAGGTGTTCACTATCTTTTGTACAAAATGTAGACAATTTACCAGGGAAAATAAGACCCCCTCCCCCTACAACAACAACTTTGTATGAAGGAACAAAGCTCTGACATTTTTGGTACAAAAACAAGCATCTACCTCCTGTCTATCATTTCATATATTCCAGCAATAATCATTTCCAATTTCTTTCTACAACAATGTATAAAGTAATTCCAATGCAAGACCTATGATCACCAAACTGGTAACTAAGTCTTGACATAACACCAAATCTTCCTAAAAGAATACATACAAGATGTATGGAAAATCTGGGGTGATCTTGATGTTGAGTTTAGACAGATGATATTAAATCGTAAGAAAGTGTTTAATCTTGTCTCTAAATGTTTGTCTGCATGTCACTGTACACATTGTAAGGATTACACTTGGAAGGGCTACCCATCATATGCATAATCGGCTTTATTATGCATGATAAGTTTACCATCCACAAAGTAGAAGCTGTCTGACTTAGTCTCAAATGGGTGGTTTACCATTTCTTGCACTGCAAACAAAATTTGACAAATCAGTATTCATCTCACTAATCAAAAATTCCCTCATCTACAACAACAATGTATGCTATTACCAACTTGTCCCTTAAGTAGTCAGACAATATCTGTAAACAGACTCCTGTTCCCAGCCGCATGAACACCATTTTCAAACTCTCATAAGTGGAGTCATCATTCTTTAACCCTCCTCCCTAATGTAAAGCTAATTCACCAACCCAATGATCATACAATTCTCTCATGGCTTGTCCTAAGAATTTGGTATCAAAATCTTTCTTTTTAGTAAAGGAATAAAAGTGGACAGTTTCTGGTTGGACAGTGACAGGTAGCATACTTTTACACATATTTTTTTTCTTTTTTTTCTGTCATCTTAAACTGCACAAAAAAACTTAGTTTATACCTAAAATCCTTGAGCATAAAAAGATTTAGAATGGTTTTTGGAAACAAAACAAAACCAGTATCAATTTTATGGTTATTTACAGTGCTTTCACTGCAATTTTATCTACTTGATTTTATTGTTTTTATGATATACCCTTATTTGGGATATCCTATTAATGGCCTTTCTTTGTACAGGGAGGTGAATATATCAGTGTTTTTATCATCTGATGTATAACAAATTTCACATCAACAATGCAAATGTTATTCAGTCTTGAGGGGTTAAATTTCTCACTGCGATAAAAATTCTTTAATAGCTTCTTAACTTATCTTTAATGGTAAGATCATTAATATTTTTCTGCCTTTCTGTTTTTGTACTGTCCCAAATAGAGAAAATACCACAGAACACAAAGGAAAGTTCTATCCCTTACCGCTGCTTCTCTAGGGTATAAATTATTTGATCGTGATTAATTTATACTTAACATGATATTGATTAAGTTGTAGATTCAAGATATCATCTAGACAACAACTTAATGTTAACATGATAATTTAAAAACAACCAAAAGATATTTCCCGATAGAGGAACAAGATGTTTTAAAAATCTTAAACTTCGCTCGCACTTCATGCAAAAAAAAACTATTATTTAATAAGTATAAAAGTCAAAACATCGAGATAAGCGTAAAAAGTGTATGTGATGTCTGGCACGTCAGTGCTAGGTCCGATGAATGAGGAAAACGATAAATCAAGCTTAAAAATATCTCAAAGACAACGGAGATATTGAGGTTAAAATGGCGAATGAGTAATTGTGCGGTTGAAACACAAGCAATTCTTCCAATTTGCCGAGTTCCCGTGTCAATTAGATTTTGGGAGGTACTACGACTCTAATTGAAAAGAAACATTCTAAACAAGAGAAACAAATAATCAGTCGAGTACTGACCTTCATCAATATCTAACGGTGGAAATTCGTAGATGTGTTCGCATGTATTCTTGCTATTTGGGATGCAAAATCCAAACTCAAAATCGAAGTTTTTTAACAGTCGATCTCTGAAGTAGTGCCGTTCTATCATACGAAAATTGTTGACGGGTTTGTCTCCTACGGTAAATTCGACTCTGAAAAAGAAAACATTGGATCCAAATTAGCAATGAGACAGAACACAATTCGTGCAATCTAAAAATTATGGATTAGTAATTTTCAATAGAGAGACAACAACATGTCGATCTGAACATGCAATAGACAATTATGTTATACGTGCAACGAAGCTTATGGATACTATTAGTAAAAGTGTATCGGTCATCGATCAGTTGGAAATATAGGTAAGGTATTGGTATTAATTGAATTTATTAAAGCAGACAAAAGTCTACATCCAATAAAAGTAAAACTTACGTGGCTCCTACTGTTGTTAACTTCAGAAACTCTGGAGTAAACTTGTATCTTACGAAGCGACCGGCGTTAGGATCATCATCGTTGTCAATAATTTCGTCGTCGATGTTATCAGGTTTAGCTATCTCAAAAAGAACAGTCCCTGTTTCCATATCGCGAATTTTAAACCTGGTAAAATCGATGCTGTATATATTTGCACCAGGTTCGCAGAGGTAATCTGTAAATAACAGAGAGCAAGGAGAAGTACTTAGCACACAAACGACAATGAAGTTTCAAATCAGCAAAAAATTCTTGCTCAGCATCCTTCGCTACAATTTGGTAATTTGCGAGAGGATTGCCTTGGCTGCAAAATATAAACCACCTTCAACTTACTTTCCGTGCATTTTGTCAACTTCAGTACATCGTCCGGTGTTACGGTGTCCTTTTTAAGCAATTCTTCTTCAGTTATTGTCTTTTTCGCCTTCGACTGCCTTGCCAAAAATCCACCGCCTTTCTTCTTTGCTCGACCTGTATCCTCGTTCGAGTTGGAGGATCTTCCACTCATGATTATCAACAAAAGAAGATGTAAACTCTAGCAATAGCTTAGACAGTCCACTACGTTTGCTACGTGACTATGATGGGAAAGGGAAAACAAGGGACTCTGATGAAGACACGACCGACCAAGCGAAATGGCAAGGGAGCGATAATGCACTGTTCTTGGTCAGCAGCATCTGTTACCATGTAAACAGCGACGCAATAAACACAAGAAAGAGCGAGTTTTTGCTCGCTGCTCGACACGTCTCTTGTGTTTGCGTCTCTTGTGTTTGCTTGTTTGTAATGACAGAATGGGAAAGAATGGCATAGTGTTTCTGTTTTTCTGTGGGAACAAGATACCTGTTTATCTTATTTCTACGGTAGAATGTAATTAATCAGGAACAAATCAAGTATGCGTACGGTTGACACCGGAAACGGAAAGGTCACTTTTTTTGTGAGTGACTCAGCGATTACCTTTCCGTGTATTTTTTGTGGTTACTGCCTCCTACAGGAGGCGAAGTCACATATGTCGTCGAAATGGGTGAGTGAGTGTAACAATAAAATTCCGATCTTGAATCAATTTTGACCCGATGTTTCCCGGATCCCGGTGCTACTTATTGTTTGTATCTCACGGTGGTTCGACATTCGCACTCGATACACAGTTGAGTTATTTTCTTTTGTGATTTCTGGCTTATGGCCACTAGTAAATATGTTTTCAGTTCTCGCCGTGACACTACGGAAGACAGCAGAAGACAGTAAACATCTCATGATCATTTCAGGATTGTGCGCGATTGAAATTAAATCAAAACTTTTTCTTGCAGAAATATGTTATTGCATGTGATATTATGATCTGCACATTAAGGAAGCTTTGGGGACATTTTTTTCTCTGAAAAGAGAACACTTTTCTGTTTGAATTAGCGAATTACGCCGAAAAAGAGTCGTTAAATTTGCGAAGCGAGTAAGCCACAAAGTACGATACCTTGGGTTGTTTCACAGAGTGATGGAACGGAGGAACGGTGGATTACTGGAACGACGTAATGTCTTAGACGCGGGATGCCTTTTTTTAATGAAATAAAACATCAAAAAATAAGAAAATTATGTATATTAAGAAGCGAAATGAAAAGAAGCATAGGTAATCACTGTTGGAACCCAGAGCCCAAGGGAACCATGAGACTTTTGAGCTAACCCCTTAAATTATCATCATATTACAATTGTTATCATTATTATAATAGTTAATATCTTTATTTGTTGCCATTTAATTATTGGTTGGATATATATTAGACAACATATTTTTTAATCATCTTTATCATGAGGAACAGGGTACTCATAAATGTGTGGGATGCGGCAGGTGTTCTGTCTTCCATATGAAACAAATATTCTGCAACACTACCTTCTAGCGCCACTATATGACCTCTAGTTCTTTTCAGTGCTATAAAAATTGTGTTATGACAAGTAGCCACATGGAGTCTTTGATTGTCTATTTTTGTTATTTTGCTATTTGTATTGAGGCACAAATTTAAATATTAGAAAGTTTACGTCGTAGTTAATTTTGCAGTTTGCTTAGTATTCAATGTTTGCTCTATATGGTTTTACGATGGTAATTTTGTTCAGGTGTTACAACTGTCTTCCATCGCGTGGAATCAAATGGAATTGAAAGGAGGTTTCATGACCATTTCTGGAGAACACTTGGAGAAAACTGATAATTAATAATAATCAGTAACATTAGTTCCTTAAGATGTCATCAAAACGATAACAGTTATTAATCCTCTTACTCAAACACTCTCACGGAGCTAAACGATTTATATATGATTCACATATATAGCTGTTCTACTCTGTGAATGAAGGAGAAGTTCAGGCTCATTTCTTGACCCTTTACACCCTAACATCAGTATGCATATTCTCCATACTGTTCTCTATACATTTCCAAAGCTACTGGAAAGGAGAATTTGTTTTAAGACAATCAAGAGCTTCTTTGGTTGGTTGCTCCACGTGTGATATTGTAGGGAGAAATTACATGAAGATACCAGTAAAAGAGTAAACTGCGAACGGTCGAAACGTCAGCTTTAGCAATTTTTCACGGTGGAACAATTTACATTATCAACTCAATTGATAAAACAAACGACAACGTTTCTTCAAAGAAAAACAATATACAATAAGATTTTAAAAGAGAGGGAACCTACTCGACATTTTTTCATCTTGAGCTCAAAATTTAATTTATCGACACTACCAATTCAAACTCTTTCATCTTAGAGAACTTCTTAAAAATCAAGAAATTTAATGGAAATTTCCGCAGTTACTGAGTCATTACTCTCACGTAATGTTGACAGAAAACGAGAAAAAAAGTTTGTTATTAATCAACCATATACTCTTATCTAATAACCGAAATGTTTTTTAAATTTTCTGTGGGTGTACCGTTCACTGAGAGAAAGAAATCTGTAAGGGCTTGTATTTTGTCGCTGTTCTTAGTTACAACATATACAAAGAAACGCTTACATACTGTAGACTTCAAGGAAGCGAAGACGTCATACAGAGCTGGTCATAAGTTATTAACTATAAGAATTCGTAAAATAAGGTTTTCACTACTTCTCTTTGATTTTTGTCATGCTGCATCGGTTTTTGGAAAATAACATTATATCTAAACAAAACAAAAAAAATTACGCCTTGAACAAACACGTTCATCCAAAAGTTGGCGGGAAATGATGCCGCGCCATGCCACCGAGCAGTCAGATTGCGCGCGAGACACGTTCAAGCTCTTCCTTTCAAATACTAATCTTTGAAACTTATTCGTGTTCTCAAGAGTCTTCGTTTCTTTGGGTTACGAGTCGCATACTCGGTGCACGCAGTCTCTGTTAGCCAAGGGAACACTTCGAATTTTCAATGGCAAAGTCCCTCGTAATACTTAATTCTATTGGCTTCGGAGACAACATTGGCTGAACTTTAACTTTGTCGCAAAGTAACAGTGTTGTCAAAACGTTTCTCCACCTGGATGGTGGATTTAACACTGGTAAGCAAGTAAATTTAAAAGGAAATGTTCCTTAGCCAAATTAACATATGACAAATAAGGTGAATAACATAATCAAAGACGTTTCGTAAATGGATCGTCAAAGGTTTTAATGTTTTTTCCTGGTGTCTTTTTGTTGAATGTTGAAGCTAGCTACAAATTAATAAAATTTCAACGTTTTATACAAAGTTATAGGAAACTTAAAGAAAGTTTCCCAAGACACCACAGGTGTTTCGCTTATGTTTGTCACAAACTTAAACTAACAGATTTCACACATACAATATTCACGTTGTCACTACGATGGTAGGAAGAGCCTTTGAACAGGCCTGGGGGCCAATAGAACAGAAATGGCGAAGGCCAAAAAAAAAGAAAAAACCGGTCAATGTGCGCCACTGAATACAGGCTCTATCAAATAATCACAAGAGGCACCGAAAGAAAAAAAAAACAAAGAACAAAAGGAAACAACAACAAAAACATACAGGCGGCTCTTTTGCGCAGGCACACTTATAGGATAATAAAGTTAAATTACTTCTTCCATATAAAAACCTGTTTCTTTTTTCCGAGCGAAACGGGTTCTCACATTTCAGGACATTAAATGCTAAATTTGAAAATGCAGCTTCCTAATCCACTAGGTTCTTGTTTGTGGGTGTTTACTGAGGTGTTTACTGTACTACAAATATGTCTACCCGCTTTTCCTAAAATATGGCTAACACAGTCTCTTGCAATCTCTCCTTTTACATATGAAACAAGAGGACGAATCAAAGAAACTGGCTCCCTCTTCTGGCATTAGAGTGCACTTCGATAGTGTAAGACAAACAGCAAAGTAATCACAATAGCGGATGAGAGGACAGAAGGCATCCCAGGGGGACTTTCTGAGCCAAGTCAAGATTTCAAATACACAAAGTTTTTAAAAAGCACGAGCAGAACTTCCACTTTCATTTGTTTCAACACGTTCTTAGTCGTCTTCGTCCTTATTTAAGTAGGATCTCTCAAGTTTCAAGCAACTCGCATGTAACCTTAATGTTCTGGTTATTTTCAGATTCTCTTTAGATTCCCGAAAACGAGAGAGATCTATAAATAACTGAGAGAAATGAACACAAAAAATGAGGCGTGAAATAAGAAAGAGAATGGTAGCGTGACCATCTTGACGTACAAGAAATATAAGTAAAATAGTACAGTTAATTGTTAGTAAACGTGGGACTAAATTAGCCCCATTTCTTGCTCTATCGCGAGTAGAACTTGAGATGACGATCAAGACCAACAGACGCAACGAATGAGGCGTGTTTGCCAAATTTCACTCCTGTCGTCACATCAGAGTGTTCTGTAAAAGAAAAAAAACAAAATACTGCGATCACCTCAGATATAGATGGAGTTCGTAGAATGCTTTTCGATTAGCTTCTGAAAAGCAGAAGCAAAGCCATCACAACGGCCGGTAGTTCTACTCAGAACATGGGAAAATATCACAAAGGGCCAATGGGAAACAAGATTCTTTTCTTAGCTCTGTGATTGGTCATGAAAACTCATGCCACCCTATCAACCAATCAAATGCAAAACTAAAATCAGCTGCTACTAAATCACACGCGTTCTTCCCCGCTAAAAGCCGTTTACACGAACTGTCGGAGCGAATGGGAAAGGACTAACGCTCGAAAAGTCAGCTTTAGAAACTCTATACGAAGGCCAAAATACATCATCGATTTAGTTGTTTTAAAAACCAAATTATCATGTTATAGCCCCACCGACGCAGCACTTCAGTTTATTTGGAAACTTACCCCCTTTATTCTTACCCAGATTGGATAGAATGGGTAATATACTGAGCCACAATTTGATTGAAAGGTTATGTTAGAACCTTCAATAACAGGTTTTTTTTGTTTCCGTTTTACCTATCCTTTTACATTGAATGAAAGGAAGACACACAGAAAATCTACCTGCAAATGACTTTATCATCTCCCATTGTTTGACGAGGTAGATCCTAAAAAAAAATACAAAAAATGAAATAAAAAAACAAAATTGAATGCTTGTCGCCAATCTTGAGACAATCGAATGTCTTGGTTGAAGTGACAAGCACAAGATGACATGAGATGAATTACAGTCAGTTAAAATTACTTGAGCAAAGCAAGACAAAACTAACATTCCTAATATCTGAAGTGTACATAAATAGCATCAACAAACTCTATTTTAAAAAATTAGCTGAATTATATGCGAATTTTAATTGTTCTCCCTTGTGATTTTTTAATTGTTCTCACTTGTGATCTTTTGATCTTTAATTCGTTTCTTTATCATATAAAACAAATAGATTGCAATCTGCAATGGGTTTGTGCAGTAATACGTCACGATGACGTCAAAATGTGGGAGGAACATCAGAGACACAATCGGCTGCGCCTCGTGTTCTCACCACATCTTGATGTAATCCGTTATATTTTTACTGAATGGACACACAGCAGGATTTGTATTTTTGTAATAAACATATTCGACTTACTGAACTTCGGAACCACCCACGGCTAAATATGTACCACTCTGATCAAAACTGAGTGTTTTAACCTGTAAAATAAAGACACAGACATCACTTCAAGGATTCAAAATACTTAGTTTTATCACTCTTAGCTGTCTCACTCAAGTTGGATTGTCTCGCGGGAGATCGCAAAAAATCACACCCCAGGTTTCCCGAGGAACCGATGGTACTTTTTTTCCACAGAACGGCCTCAGTCCCGGCGCTCTTCATTCGCCTGAAAGAGCTGATTCTTGCTTGTGGTTAAGGTCCAGTGAGTTATACCCTTCCACGTGTTATCAATTCCTTCATCAACAATATCGTTAGGCACTCAAAATCCCAACACACTTCTTGAGTATTTTACACGAAAAAGTGAAAACCGACTGCCCTTTTTCATAGAAAAGGACCAGAGTGTCCAGAACTAGTTCAATCTGTTTCCATAAATTATCTTTTCCGTGTTCTGTTACGACCAGGATGGTCCAATTTTTTTGCCCCTTGTGAGAAATAAAATGGGGCTTAACTGCATTTACTCTATTTATACCTCAAATCTATCTTCAAGCGTTATGGTTTTGAAGTTTTTCAGTTTGCGCAAATCCCACAGTTTTACAACTGAGTCGTCCGCAGATGTAGCTAGGTAGTAACTGCAATACAACAGACAGCTGTTAAAACAACCAAAAAAAAGCACAAAAAGGAAACTGAAGACAAAACTAAAGACGAACAAACAAAGCGAAATTTTGAATATCTACCCATTTTCAGAGAAGGAAATGTCAGTAATTGGTCCGGAATGTCCTGGAAATTTAGCTACATTAGCACCTTCCTTGAGATCCCAGATCTTTATCACACTGTTAGCAAAAGAGAACAAAAAGTCAGCAAATATTGTGACAACAACACTGACCAGAAGTTTGGCTTTACTGTTTTAAAAATAATAAAAGAAAGTTGTCATGATCACTTTTCCCTCGCATCATACATACATGACCATACATTCTGCTTTACATTTCCCCCTTAATATTTTACTTATCCTCTTGATGCGTTCATAATGTAAGAAGAAATGAGACATTAATCACAAACCTGTCAGTGGTTCCAGTACCAAAAATAAGACCGTCAGGATGAAACTGAGCACATGTCAATCCTGAGGTTAGTAGAAATACAACATGTTAATAACTCCTAGGGAAGGTTTATGGGAAGTCACTTGTGGTATTACTAGAGGTATGAAAAAAAAAACCCAAAGCAAAGAGAATCAAACACAATTAAAAATCTTGTAATTACCTTGATTGATGTTAGGATCTGATAAACACCTGGTGAGGACATGGCCAGTTCTAAGATCAGAGAAAGCCCAATACTGATCTGTTGAGCAGCTAAGGAGGTAGTCACCTAAAGAAAAAAAAATAAGGCACATTGGTGATAGTGTTTGAGTAATTTTAATAAACCATGTGCACTTTAAGTGATTACAATTGTCAAGAAAATATACTCTTATTATTTTGAGTCACGATGAAGAAACAAATCAGGCCTGAAAAGGTTTATTTACTCAATAGAGCAATTTTCAATTGAATGTCAAAAGTAATTTGGAATTGTTTTAGTTTTGCTCTACTTTGCTCTGTGATTAGTCCAGAAAACTAGCATCACTTTCTCAACCAATCAGATGTAAAACTAAAACCAATCAAGCCTTAGTTTCCCACATTTCTCCTTGCACTTCAGGCTGTTAGTTTTTTTTTTTTTAACCCTTTAACTCCCATGAGTGACCAAGACTGAATTTCTCCTTACAATACCTATACAAAATGAAGCAGAAAAGTGATGAGAACAAAGAAAAATATCAATTTGGGGGTTGTAAGTTGATCCAATACCAAATTCTCCAAACTGACATCACAAGAACTGTATGGCAGACAGTAAGGAGGATTACTAATGAGATCTTGGGAGTTAAAGGGTTATTTTGAAATCTCATTGGCTCTTAGAGGTAGTTTCCTTTCTTCTGATTGATTTACTTTGGTTTTGGTTTTAAACACTCAATTGAAAAATACTCAGTACTAAAAAATCTAGTATGTATACTTAGTCTAACATAATCAACAGATTTTACGGCAAGTAACAAATGAAAGATACCTGTTGCATGGAGACTAAGCCCAGTAACAGCTTGATCATGTGCCTGAAAAAAAAAACCAGAATACTAAGTGTCCAGGATGGAATTCTTCACTCCAAAAGGGCAAACAAAGTGATGAACATTCTAGATTTACCAAGTGGTTTTATGAGACTGGTTATTATAGAATGACAGTTAAGTCTGACATTTACAGTGGACAGGATCCTTTTACTAGCTTAGGGTTACTTTTAAAAAAACATGATAGGGAAAATTTCAAGAATATTATCAGCACAACTACTATTAGCTCATGCAGTTGAACAAATCAGTTTTTTTTTTACTTTAGTACCTTAACAGGTACATTAGTACCTTAACAGTGTGTAAGCATGAAGCCTGTGGAATGGACCACACCCTGATGGTCGTATCTGCCGATCCAGTGAAACCAAGATCCTGAAACAAATATTGACATCATTTTCAAAGTCACATAGAGCATGAAATAACCAAAAATATCAGATTCTTTATGGATAGAGATTCATCACTCTGCATGGAATTGACTGGCAAACACCCATCTCACCTCATGTGGATGATACACAACATTTGTAACCTTCTTCGTGTGGCCTTTGAGAGTTGCAATGACCTAAAGACAAGATGGTAATTGAAAAGATTATGATTGTTGTTGTCAGGTTGGTGGGAGTCTTACCCATTTGGTTGCATCATTGTTGGAAATTACAGTTGCATTGATGAAAAATTGAGTTAAGGATGTTTTGTAGAGGGTTGTATTTAATGTTTATGTCAAGGTTATACCTAAACAGATTCAAATTGTACCTGTTCTGAGTCACGATAGAACACCACTGCATTTTTGTCCAGGCCACCTGATGAAAGAGAAAATAGTGACACACTTGTCAACAGCTGTTTCTGTTATTTAATACCTGAAATCTTCACTTTCATTACCCTTTCCATCTAGATATGATTAATATAAAACTTCCCCTTACATTATCAACATATTGTGACAATACCTGATGATTAGAAGAAAAGCAATCCCCAACTGGGGGAAAACAAATCAATCCAACACAAACTTTTCTAAACCAACATTCAAGTTTCATTGAAAAATTCAATACAGACCTGTAATGACTCTGGATGTATCTGCAGCAAATAAATCCAAAGCTAAGATTCCAGGATTGCTTGCACTGTGTAAGCCCTAAAATATGTATTGAAGCCATAATGTTAAAAATAATATATCACCTACTGCACATATTTTCCAGTAACTTATATGAGTAGAAGGCTTTAGGCAGAGTCAATGGGCTGTCTCACAGCCTTACATAATAACTTGGATTACACCACATGAAACCAAAGTATGTTTTTTATTGTGTTTGTGGGGGGAAGAAAATTTTAAGTAGCCTTATCATTGCTTGGTCTAAAAAAACTGTTACAAGCTTCTCAATGGATGCCAGTTTAAAAACCAGTTCTGAATTTTCTCCATATTTGAAACAAGTTTCAAGAAACAGCTTTGATTTCTGGGCTTTCTGCATCATTTATCATTGTTCTTCTTTGTCCTGATTGGCTGATATAATTACTAATAGGTTTTGGCTAATTGTTAAGTATGCTTTAAGTACTTTGGTTTAAGTACATTATCTTTCTATTTTCTCACTCTTTTATTCTATAAAAAAAGGTGTCAATTTGAATGCCAACTTACTGCATGTGAGGAGATTGGTTTGTAAGATTGTATCTCATCTGTTGTACTCAAGTCCTCTGGAACCTTCTTGCCTCTCTGAATAGGATAACAGAGAACACAAAATGAGATAACCACTTCACCAAAGTAGTTGACAGCACTTGTCTACATATCACTGATAGTCACCACACAAAATTTGCTAGAGAAGCATTTCATGACAGCGTTTTCTTAGGAAGGTGATTTCTACTGATAGGTAGATGGTAATGGATTTCAACTTTGTCCTTCAATCTGTACAATCTTCTTGGCTACATAGTCATGCTATACCATTCCTTGATTCCTCATATCCCAACCTTTGTCTCTAGAGTTTAGTAACTATATGATTGTCAGAACAGCCACAAAGCTCATACCTTCTTACGTTCAGCTGTGAGGAGAGTGGCTTTGTCTTGCAACTAAAATGAGAACAATAACACAAAATTTATGGTGTCATTTCATAATGCTCAGGGCAGTAATACTTTCGAGGCCTTATCTGTCTATTGAAAAGCTTAAGATTACTATAACACATAATCAAAATGCATAACTAACCAACACAAGTTTAAATAGATCATTTTTTGCTGCTTTTGGCACATTAACAAATTACCCACCCAGTTTCTCCATCTTTCATGTCATTAAGCTTGAAAAATATTATCCAGGCCCAATCGTAAAACATTTACAATAACTTACTTTCTGCAGGACTTCTTCTGTCATTCCTTCTTCTTCACCAGGCTGAAGAGAAAAATTCTAGGCTTAGCTAATAAATGGTTCTTGCAATCAGTTTACAGGGAAATGTGTGGCTGCTAGAGGGTAGGATTAACGATCAGATCTTGGGAGTCAGAGGGTTAAGAGTTTAAAATCTTAAAAATGAAAAGAGATTTCATGCACACATATCTTGAAAGTTTGAGTTTGACTTACCTGAGCCGATACATCCATAGCTTCCTCCATCTGAAACAAAAGGCAAAATATGTGTTATCAGTTTAGTTAAAGTTCTAAATAGACACATGCTTGCTTGTTTTTCCACGGAAAAAAAGTTATTGAAAAATCTCTGACTGGATTTGCTCTCTACAATACCTGCACTGGAACAGCTGAAGGAACAGCCACAGCCATACCAGCTTGTGGTTTGAGAGTTGCCAAAGCTGGAGACAAAAGGAGCAGAGTAAGTAACAATGCATTACAATTTTTCTAAATCAATAATTGTAAGATGTATTAGTGGAATACCTTCACGAGCTGCAGTGACTTCCTTTGTCAATCGAGCAATGACACGACAAGCAGCATCATGCTGGTAGAGAGCATGAGACAACTCTGGAACAAACATTAAAAAATCATGTCAATGAAAACAGTTATCTGCAATTCATGCCAAGCTCATTCTGAGAAATCACAGGCCACAATAATCTGACCACTCACAAATGCCACCTTTTTCCCATACTTACCATCCATTGTTTCATAGTATAGAAGTATGAAGTAACAGTTACCTTGTCGGGCAGTCTGAAGTTGCTGACGTAATGTAAAACTTTGCAACATGCAGGCATCCTAGAAACAAAAAAAAAGAACATGAATTTGAGGTGTAAATTTTATTTTGAAGATGTTTTCTTTTGTGATGTTTCACCAAGTACTGACTTAAACAGTGTATTTAGGATGCAGTTATACATTTCAGTATTTCTAATCACCAAGAAGGCTATGTGTATAGCAATACAATAACTCTTCAGAACACACAACTTTTACTGTAAAAGGGAATAATTGCAAGCTCTTTATGATAATCTAAAGATTCACTAACGAATGAATTAATGAACCCAAAAGATTTTCAGTCTGTTACAGTTAAACTTATTTTCTTTACCATTGTCAGTATCTGTAAGGGAATTTGATAAAGAAAAGATCCTCTGACTCATGATGCACTTAACGGGTGCACCAGACATGGGTGATTACCACCTCTGAGCATTCAAGTTTAATGCATTTTGCTGAAATTCTTCCTTCCTTACCCATTCATCCTGAAGTGCTTTCAGAATAGCAGGAATACTTGTTGCTGATGGTGGTCTAGGTTTGATCAATGAATTGACTGAAACAAAATTACAAGGTAAGCAAGATAAAATAATACAATATACTATTAAATTTAAAATTTAAGACCTTTTGAGCAAAACAATCATAACACAAGTATTCTTACAGCATTGTGGAAAAAAGTACACCATAGTAAAACCCCAGCTGAATGAAACTTCTCAAAGAATCAAACAGTTTTACATAATGAGGTTACGAAAGTGGAAACTAAATAAGTGGAAAAATCTTCCTCCGTGAAATGATGTTACTTTAATATGTCGTAAATTACCTTTTATATCAATCAGCTGCTCTTCTGAAAGCTGTTCACCACTTATTGGATCAGTGCCATTTTCCGCAATATACTTTTCAATAAGCCTCCTCTCAAACACGCAGTTAGAAGATGGTGACACACATGGGTGATCAGGAACTTCATTGCTGACTACAAATTGGCAAGGTTCATATAACATTTACTTCTTTAACTTCACTTCAACAAGACTGCAAGTTGTGTTTAATGAAGATTACAAAGAAAAATTCTGCAATCTACAGTGACTTATCTCACAACTTTGTTTGCCTGTTTTAAAATTACTAAGAGGCCGTTTTCGACATACCCTTCGGTAGTAACAAGCAAAAAAAGGATATAGAGGTAAAATTATCATAATATTTTATGGGACTGATCATCAAGTTAAACCTTGATCGCAATCTAGACTAAGAAATTTTTTCATTCAAATAAGTAGTAAGTTATTATAGCCTCCTTTGCATTAACTGGGTACAAAGTTAATCAACTTTAAGAAGATTATCAGATTTCTGACAGTACGTACAGAAAGGATCAAATTAGCTAGGGCTCACTTCGCACGATCGAGCTTTAACAAGACTCTGAATCCGACAAGCTGACAGTGTAGTGCCGTGAAAACGTGGATTTAAGTGCTTGTGCCTTAACGTTACATCCGAAAACGACATTTCATTCAATCCACGCTAAGCAAAATTACTACGAGTACACCGACGAAAACAAACATGACATTAGTTTGAATTTCGACATAGCACATCATAACGCACAATAATCAAGGTATAATGCAAAGATAATCAATTAATGTATGTTTGGGAAGTAGGAATTTTAAGATCGAATACGTTTTAAAGCGGTTTTCTAAGGGATTAAGAGAAACTTACTTGAACAGAAGAGCGCCATCTTGTTTCCTTGCAAGCATGTGCAACACCAAAGGACTATGGGATATTACTTAGTCGCCCCAGTCGCGCCAGAGTACACAGGCAGCATATCTCATCTCTCACGATGTTGGAAGGAATACCACCATTAATCAAAGTTGGTGATCCTTTCTAAATTTTTAAAAACATTTTGTTGAGTCCTCAGGTTCCCCATAAATCTTAAGAGTCCTATTTTCATGAAACAAGATTACCAGGTACATCATTCTTTCTCAAATAGTACATAGGTTCAGCACTCCCTAAGTTCTTTCAAGTAGAAGCCTGCAGTGTGAGCAGTAATTGAATGTTTTTCTCCTAGCTTTAATGTGAATCTTAACATCAGAATGTCTCAAGTTACATATTCTTAACAGTGGATCAAGAGTCTGTGTACCAATCCAAAATCACGATTTTCCTGACTTTTTGTGAAAGGCCTGATAGGCGTGGCTGAAGTCACAAACATATTTGACTGATGACAAGAAATTAGTTAATATGGGAGACCAATTTCCAAGAAAACTCTCCAAATCAGATTCTCATTTTCATGTTTTATAATAATGAGAATAGTATCTGACTTATTCTACAGCCTATTTTGACCTGATTTTTTGATAAAATGAAAATAAATCTACTTCTCAAAGTGATAACCTTATTTATATTTTGTCAAAAATAAATTTTGCCTTTGGTCTCCAAATCTTGGACAGTTTTTAATAAAAATGCTAAGAAATTTGTGTCCTTCACAGAATTCCTCACCACCTAACAGAGGAAAAAAAGAACTTCACAAACCAGTCAGATAAAGAAGCAGTGTCTTTATTCCTTTAATACAACATCAAGCAGGTAAGGATGTCAACATCCTCATCCCCTCAAGTTGTTCATATTCTCACCACAAAATTCAAGTCATATTTTCAGTTTTGATATCATAACAGTTTTATGCTATAAGTGTATTCACAGTTTCTATCTATAATGTAATTAACAATTATCTATGTTGGCTATCATCCCTGTATACACATAACTGTACATCTGTACATTTAAGATTTTTACAATCCTTTGCTAAAAAGCTAAAAACTTTTGGCAAGTGACAAGAAAACCTTTACATGAAAAATAAGAACAATCTAAAGTACACATTTAATCACTCTGTCCCTATCATTGGAGACATGCGTCAACTCCTCAATCCTCTATTATATATTATTGAACCATATAATATTATCTCTCAACAAATCATAAGACTACTTCACTTAAAACATTATAACAACAGAAAAGGGCTCATAGAATTGAAACATATACACACTATTTACATTAAAATGTACATGCTATTTGTCAAAACAAATGACTTGAGGCTTGTCATGTTGATAAAAAAATGGTGATATATACAAATATAATACAGTTGAATTATTTATTCTGGTCCATTTTGTTGAGATTGCTGCTTATGCCGCCACCCTTTTTCAGGTGAACTCAATGGTGACACAATAATTTTTCCTACATCCTCTACTGCTGTAGACCCATCTGTGTAAATTGTTGCAGGAACCCCCTGGGAGGAATGCCCCCTGTTCATTTGGACCCTTCCTGTGTAAGGAGTCTTGGGTGTTGTAGCTAGTCTTTCGTTTGCAGAAATCGGTGGTAAGGGTTCTGGTGCAGCCCTAACCACTACCTGTGGGTCTGGTCTTGTTCCAGTTCTCAGGAACTCTACATAATCATCAGGAAACGGTCTTTCCCTTCCTGCAGAACGCTGCAAACCTTTTGAAATTCCTAGTCCTGGTCTTGAAGGAGAAGAAGCTCGCTTTGGACGCAAGGGCATGCCTTTGGTTGATTTCACAGGTGCTACATTCAGTTGGATTTCATTTGGTGAGGCTTGGATTCCAACAGCTCTTGAAGTCTTCATCTTAGTGCCTAATGACTGAGGAACAGGAGACGTAGTAGACCTGCGATATCTTCGCTGAACATTGGAAGGAGTACCCTCTCTTGGTGGAACAGGTGTTCTTGAAGATGTTCCACTTGAGATATCTGTGTGGGATGATCCATTTTCCACTGCAGTATTACCTTCTATTCTTGCTTCTCGTGACTCCTTAGAGACTTCGGTGATGTTTTTCCCAGTTGAAGGCTGATTTTGATGATTTCTTCCAGACTGTCGTATTTTGCTATTGTGAAGTTGAGAGGTCAGATATGCTATAGTGTCTGATTTCTTTTCAAGTTCCTTTAACACAGCAATTAGATTAGATTCTTTTTCAGATAAATCCTTGACATACTTTTGATCCAGTGTTTTCAGCTGAGCTTCCAGAACCACAATTCTTTTGTTCTTCTTTTCAATAATTCCCTTTAACTCAATGTTCTCAGTCTTGAACTCAGCCAGTACTTTTTGTGACTCATCTACAGTGTGTTTTACTTGAGCTGCAAAATTAAGTAAAGGAAAAAATATAAACACGTTTTTTCCCACCTTTCCTGAATCTCTGAGAGGAAAGAAATTATATTGGTGAAATGATTATACACAATGTTAGTCTTGAATTTCCCTGTGGCAAACCACCTTTGAACCCAAAAGATTTAGTGGCATGACAGGTACAACTGCAAGTATGAGATGATGTCAAACACTACTGATTCTCAAAGATTGGGCATTTGCCCAATAAAGGGGTGAAATTTGCAACCCATGGTAGAATCCAATTTTAAACCAAATTTTCGCATACTTTCAAAGCCTACCTTTTAAAAAATAACAAATAATAAGGAACTTCACCATATTGCTGGTATTTTATCGACAGAAGATCAAAACTGGGTGAGATTATAAACTAGAAAGAAATGGCATAATAATGAAGCAAAATAATAAAAGACAGAGCCATCGGTGACAAATTTACCGGCAAATCTGTCAATTTACAGAGTCTCGTATCTGACCTTACCAACAGAAACAGAGAAATGTCACATAACAAGTGTTGCAAATATTAATTCAACCAATGAGATGAGATTATGCGGTAAAATTAACAGGGTAATTTCTTACAAAAGTAGTTTTCACTCAAAAATAATTATAAGACCAAGCGAAGAGAAAACATCTGTTCTGTTCTATATAAACACAGACGACTGTTAGTTGGATAGAATATTACATACCTTCCTCGTCATTTGCAGTTGTAGCGTTCATAGCCAGTTTGAAAGTTAGTTCTGTAAAAAAATAAAATGTTATTCCCACGAAATCATGTGCTAACTTTACCATATTAACGATATCTACCTCCACATTTCTTTTGAAGCTTATTGATCTCCGCATAGAGTCCCTGTAATGTTTTTGCGTGTTCTTGTTGCATAAAAAGGAGAGAACTTTCAGCATTTTGAAGCTGTACACGAGCCTGAGCTAGCGTCCCAGTCATTCCTATAGTCCTGTCGGTGTTTAGCTGCGATCAAACGGATATAACAGCACGTCAATCCACCCTTTCACTTTCGTTGACCATCAATTCCAAGATGGCTGCTTCCCCGTTGCCACGAGCAGCAGAACAAATATTTCCTGACAAAACCGGTTTGGTTTCGTCACAAATATTCTTACGTCATGGGTCAATAAAAGACCTGACTTCATTGGCTATCAAGATGTAAGCTGAGCCAATCAAAGATACTAATCCATTGTAAAGGAATAATTGAGTCGCGATTCCCAAACTAACAGTTTGGTAGCGCGAAAAGAAGAACTAGATTTATTTCGATTTTTAATATATTCAAATCTGTCCTAAACTCTCTGTTTGTTTTGTGGGATGAGTTCTACCTCCCAGAAAAGCGGTGTGGTAGTTTGGGAGTGGGAGGAAAGACAGGGTCTCTGGATTCCTTACCAAGCAGATGTTGTTGAATACTTGGAAAAGAAGTATTTGAGGTTAAAGCAAAGGGTATCCAAAAAGTCCACCGTAAGTTTGGGAAAACACTTCTTTGGTTTACTCTCCTATGAAGTTGATCTTGTAAATATGGAACAGCAAAGAACGGAAACAGGTGAGAGCTCACGTGGTATACTTGTTCTTTTAAATTTCGCCAATTTCCTGAACGAAGGTTAACGAACCCAAGAGCTGCTCATCTCGGAAACCGGAAGTAAATTGAAGCTCAGCTTACAAACTTTGGCTGAGTCACATAAAATTGTAATTTTGGATGAGACCCTTCACCCTTAAGTGCTGTCAGTACGGTGCAAAACGAAAGGAAAAAATGAGACATTAAGGGGGAGTGGGGGCAGATTATCATGGACAAGATGTTGTTCTGTTTGTTTACACACAAGACTTGGAACTATTCCTTTAAAGTGTGCCTCGCTTTCCATGAAGTTGGTAGAAATCTTCAGGCCAATTTTGAATGTGGAAGTTTCTAATGAATTATGTAATAACTTCCTCATAAAAATGGGAAATAGTTGTGGAACGAATTTTTGGTTTGCAGTTATTTAGTAGTGAAAGATTTTCCAACTTAAAAAGCCAAAAGACAAGATAGAGAAAGAGGCTTCCAGAGGAATTGTGTACAAGATCAAATGTAAAGATTGTAATTGTGTTTATGTTGGTCAGACATCATGCACACTAAAAGCATGCATGAAAGAACACAGAAAGGCTATAGCAACATTGGATGAAAACTCTTTGTTGGTCAAACACCATATGCTTCACAGTCACCAAATGGATTTGGAGACTGCTGAAATTGTTGACAGGTCATTGGCGTGGCAACAAAGACCAATTCTTGAACCTTGGCATTTCATGTGAGATAGAAACACTATAAACAAACACATAATGCTACCAAACATATACAATAACATTAAGAATTTTTAGAGCCATTAAAAGTACCGTAGAGACTATTGTTACACTTAAAAATTCCTTCAAGATTTAGCTTTATCACACATCGTGGACATATACCAAGCAGGACGCCGTTAGACATTTGCATTTTTATCTTTGCTGAAGAAGGCAACAGTAGTAGCTGAAAGGTTCAGAACAATATATTTTTTAGCCAGTGTCAACTTTTTTTTATTCTTTTTATCAAAATTTTTATTCAGTAGTAATCATGGTAAAATTATTTGAATGTAGGGGACTAAAGATGGCAGTCTTGTTGGTGATTTTAGCTGACTAATAGCTCTAATACACAGCTCTGCCCCCACAGTACCACCCCTAAACCAGAGGTTAAACCCTTCACACTGCAACATCAGTATCCATTTTTCTCTTATACTATACATTTTCTCTGGTACTGACAGGGAAAATCCATGTAGGTTGGCGATCATTTCCTTTAACCTTATGATCTTCATCAACAATTCAGCAATATTACTGTAAGGAGAAATTAGATGCTGGTCGCTCTTAAGGTCTAAAAGGAGTTCAGACTAATACCCAATCCAAGGGGAGCAATAGTACTCTCAGTGGATCATGCCACACAAACTGCGAAAAAGCCTTGGCAGTCACCTCATTCAACAATTCTTTATATTTGAATTCCAGGGAGATTAAGAAAGGTCAGGAGAAATGTTTATCAAAGCAACTCAGTACCAGGATGTGGAATAAGATGGGAGTGGTATAATGATATAGTCTGGGTTGCATATGACATTCCAACATCAGAAGTAATTGAACAAGCATACAAGTCTAATATGCCAACATTGGATTTGTCACACACACCTGTTGCAATTCCAAATTATGTGTACTTTCAAGGGCATATCATAAAACAGGTCAATAAACATACAAATTTTGAAAGAGAAGTGAAGAGATTAACACACCAGAAGTATCCAAAGGATACCCTGGCCTTGAAAACTACTGGGGCATCCACTAACAGCAGAGGGAATACCTTGACCTCCATGAATGGCCGGTCGGCCTCTAAGCATACCACACCTTCAAAATCCACTGTTTCAAGCACAAGACAAAGTGTGAAAACCAGTGGTACTGTGAAGAGAATGAAGAAGATGAAAGTTGAAGATTCTCAAGGTAAAGAAATCAGCCTTTGCTATAATTTTTATTTTTTCACTTGATTTCTATGATTACTTCCACCCAGGTTTTTGTGGAGTTGGGGCTAAGCCTAATGCATTAACCCTGTCAGTCTTGTGATCTAAATTTCAATTCTCTATACTATCTCCTGTTTATTTCAAAAGATTTTATTTCTGAGAATTTTGTGTTGAATCAGACAGTGTCTGCTGATTGATATGTATCTATCTTCTTAACACACTTCTGCTCAAAACTTTATTGATTTGTAAGGAGAAATTCCATTTTGGTCACACCAAAATGTTTTGGGAGTTAATTAGTTAGTAAGCCCTCAGAGGACTTATTGATTTCCATTTACCTCTAAAGATGGGGGTTTACCAGTGGAGGTGGGAGCTGCACCTTATTTGAACCCCATTGATGAGGGCATAAGTCCAAGAAATAGATGACTAATTGATGCAAGGATCAGTTACATGAAATACTCTAATGCCCCTTTCAGAAGGTTTATCTTTTTCCACAACTTCCTGACAGGAACTTATCAGAGTGTGGGGCTCTTAACCCTTTCACTCCTAAGGTCTGATTGTTAATTCTCCCCTTCAGCTGTTACACATTTCCTTGTAAATAAGTTATGAGAATTTGGTGTTTGATCAAGATAACTTCTACCTGATATATTTGAGTATTCTCATAACCTGTTTGCTGGATAGTGCATGGATATTGTAGGGAGAAGTTACTTGTTAATCACTTCTGGCAGTTGAACTCATAGATGGGAGCTAAAATGAAAGCAATTGACAATTACAGGGTTTGAGTACTACTCTTCTTGGACACTTAGAGGTGGTGTGGGGTTATTTGAAAGTTTTGTACTTCTTTCTCCAGATGTTGGTGCAACAGCTGCGGATCCCCTTTCTGAATTCTGTAATGACTTAGCAACAGCTCCAGATGAGGTATTTAACAATAAGTTGTACTAGAGTGTAGCTGTTAATTTTTTCAACAATCTATTTGCCCATCCATTTTTGGTAGAATTCAATTTTCTTATCATTACTTTGCATTGAAGTTTAATTTTTTGTTTGGTAATACAGGTTTTCTTCTACTTTTTGTTATCTACAGGATTGTGCTATTTGTTTTGAAAAGCTCTGCAATGTCTCCTCATTTGACGACGAAACTGAAGACAGTGGAAAAGCACAATCTTCAAATATCAAAGAGTTGAGCCAGTGCAAACATGCATTTCATGCCTCTTGTCTCCAAGCAATGTATGACAGTGGACCCAAAGTAAGATAGGGACATATATCACTCACAGTGCTTCCATTTTATAGTTATACCCCATTGTTTTTTAATTACAATTGGGAATAGTCTCTCTATACCATTTTATTTTCTCTCTCTAACTAAGCCTAATTATGTCTGGTGCTTTCAATAAGACCCAGTACCTGCTAAAGCTCCTGCAGGTATTCTTTTGTGAATTGCTGGGTATAAGTCAAATTTACAGAACCAAAAAAAATAATTAAGTAACAGAAAAAAATTGGCAGTCAATTTAGTATTGGAGTACTCATTTTATTTATTTTCAAATTCTGAGGTCTTTGATTGTTTGATTTGTTCTGTTCACAGGTGGTTTTCTGTTTCTGCTTGTTTCATGTGTTCAAAAGGATCAATTGGTCAATGTTGAATACTAATAAAGAGTGGCCAAACCAGTTAGATTTGTTGTCCGAGAACTGATTATGCCTCATAAGTTTTTTTATTATTATTTTTTTTTTACCTTTAATCATAGGATGGAAGTCTGCAGTGCCCGACTTGTAAAGCAATTCACGGCATTAAACATGGTAATCAGCCTGAAGATGGTGTTATGGATGTCACTTACTCGCAAAGAAGCCTTCCAGGCCATGCTGACTGTGGAATGATCACAATTATATATGACTTCTGCAGTGGAATACAGGTATTATTATTATTATTATTATTTATTTATTATTATTATTATTTTACCCCTTTTAATCTGTGATTGTCTATTCATCTGGTGTTTCCTTGTGACAGTTTGTATTAACCTTTTAATCGAATTCCAATTTTCAATAATCATTGTCATCTTGGGAAATATCACAACTGCCTGAAATGCAGGAAAATGCAGTTGGCCAAGATGTTTTAATCCTTTAACTACCATGAGTGACTAACACAGAATTTTTCCTTATAATGTCAATACAATATCAAGTGGACAAGTGATGAGTGATGAGAATAAAGAAAAATATCAATTAGGGGATTAAAAGTTGATCCAATATTAAATTCTCCAAACTAACATCACAAGAGCTGTATGGCAGATGGTTAGGAGAATTACTAATGAGATCTTGGGAGTTAAAAGGTTAATTTTGATTGGTTGGGAAAGTGGAGCAAATTTTTTAGAACAATCACCAAATGAAGTAAAGAAAAACCAAAGACATTCCAAATTACTTTTGACACTCAATTGAAAATTGTTCCATATTTTTTATTGATTGTTTTGTTAATCATAGGGACCAGAACATCCTAATCCTGGGAAAACATACAGTGCAAGAGGATTCCCACGAACATGTTACTTGCCAGATAATGAGAAGGGAAAAAAGGTAGTTTGCCTAACATATTCATGCATGTGCTCTGTTGCAGTCTGTATACATGTGAAATATAACACTGGACCTGAAATAATGCAAAATGTGTCTTTAGAGAGCACTAGTTGAAATTTAATCAAATTGAAACTTTTTTGGACAGGTGTTAAAGCTCTTGAAAAAAGCTTGGAAAAGAAGATTAATTTTCACTATTGGTACTTCCTCGACAACTGGAGAAGATGGTACAGTTGTTTGGAATGAAATCCACCACAAAACAGAACCATTTTCAAACCATATGGGACATGGCTTTCCAGACCCAAACTATCTGGACAATGTTCTTGCAGAGCTGGCAGCACAGGGTGTCAAAGATGATGTAGAAGTCACTCTAATATAATACTAAGTAACATACTACAAATTGTGTGTGTAGTCTTGTCAAACTTTGATTTTCTTAATATAAACAAATAATTGTTGTTGGAAAAATAGCTGTGTTCTGGTTATGAATCAATTTTTTCCCTCTGTTTTGTTGCTAATATTGTTATAACTATCAGTGATAGGTAATATATTAACTGATTTTGTAACCAATCTATGGGTAACAGGGTAAGTTAGTATCATCAACAGAGTTGATAACAAAATTGGCCTCTGTAAAGAGTTTTAAAGCTGTGAGATAGTTTTTAGTAATTTGGGTGGAATTAACCTTGGAAAAAAAACATAACTTTCGAGGGACAGAGATAGCCCACTCATTTTGCAGGAAGTTAATGTTATGATTTTATTATGGTTTAACCCTTTCTATCTTAACATCAGTATACATATTCTCCATACCGTTCTTTATACATTTCCTATGGTGCTGACAAGGAGAATTTGTTTAACAATCAAAAGCTTCTACAGATGGAGATCATTTCATTTATTCCATGACTATACTGTTTGATTCAGGAGTGATATTGTAGGAAGAAATTAGATGCTAGTCACTCTTAGGTGTCAACTGGTTAACATCTTTGAAAACAATTTCATTTTATTTTTCTCTGATTTATATTTATTAGCATAATTGCAAAATACATAATACACTTTAAACATTTTTATATCAATAAGGTATTAGAACCACGACATATAGTATTCCCTTTGTGACTGGTAAGAATGAAAAAGGATGTTTGTCTACTAATCATGACTACAGATTTGAGCCTTACTTTTTTGGTATTTTCTTAAAATGAATCAGTCATGCATATAGCACCTGGGAAAGATTGAGTAATTTATTTGAAGTAGGAAATAATAATTATAGTGGAAATAGGTAACAAACATAATACCAAATTGAAAAAACATATTGTCAAGTTTTACTATATTGTGTCTTTTTTTCCCCTTGGAACACTATGGAAAACACTACATACCAAAGAAATAAAATTCTGGTTGAGACAATTTCAGTCATCAATTTTTTTTCTGAGGTGTATTCTCAATATCAGCTCAAAGGGACTGAGAAAGTCGGACCTTTTGAAAGGAAATACCTCTGGTTAAAACTTCATTTAAAAGACTAAAGAAAACCAGTAGTGTACCACTCCAAAATAGAGTTGCAGATTAATTGATGCTCCTAATTTAAACATGGAAACTTAATTTTTTAATGGCCCTTTCGGTATTTCATTTTAAATGAAACCAACAATTGTGACGTGGAAAAGTTATGGTATGTCTGCAACGTGTGAACGTGGTGGGAACATGAATGCAAGTGCTTCCTTTTCCACTGCTGTGATCTCTGGATGCCATAGGTCTACCATGAGAACAACTCTTTCACTGTCCACGCCTTTGTGCCACGCTTCATGAAGAAAAGAATCGTCAAACAGCAAAAGTTCTCTTTCATTCCACATTCTTTCTTGGCCGTTCACACACAAGCGACAATTGTTCGGAACATAGAGAGGCAAATGACACCTTATCCTGCAATTTGTTGGGCCGTAGTGAGCAGTTATGTGTGTTCCAGCTCGAACAACTGAAAACAATGCATTACCAAATGAGCAAGCTTCTATAATCAATTCTACGGATTCGATGATCTCTACGCTTAGCGGGCACTTCCTGCAGTTGTTAACAACTCTTTCCCCTTGATTTATCAAGTGATATACTAACCAGTCCCCTTCGGGTGTTGAATTCTTTACCCATCCCTCATCACTTGCGTTAAATCGGATTTGGTTGAATTCTGACCGTATCATTTCAAAGTTCTCGGAGCAGACCAAAGTTGTTAGTTGATCTGAGAGGAAGTCATGCCAAGGTCTGCCAGACAATCCGTATAGATAAAACACTGTGGGTTTTTGTGCAGATGAGAAATTATTCCTCTTCTTTTGTGTCCTGTTGTATTCGATTGCTTTGTACAGGCGATCAAGTTCACCCTTGTCCGATTTTACCCGTGCAAACTCGTCCAGTTTTGTCAACAATAGTTCAGCTGTTTCCGACGGCGATTTTGTTAACTTGTGAGAGCATCGGAGGCATTCCGAAGATCGACAAAAATTTGTATCAACTAAGTTTGATATATGGCTATCCCTTTCGTAACTGAAAAATTTGGTCAAAATTGTTGCAGTAAATAGCACAGCTACAGCTACCAGTCCTTTAAAGATAAAATTGAATACAAAGGAAGAGATTTGCCAAAGATGCTCTTCTTCGTCCGCCATGTTTGTTTTGAAAGAAGTATAGTACCAGTCTCTTCGCTGAAATCAATTGACCAACGCATTTACGCATTTGGCAAGTTAACATCACAACTCTTGCGATCTGTGGTTCCACATGTTTAAGATTTATTTCGATGGACCTTAAAATAAATGTGTGAGACCTTCCCTATTTTTTATAATCGCTCTGTAACAAAAGATTCCTAATCGCAAGTATTTATCTTGCGCTCAACTGCTCAGTTTCTCCGTTTCTTTAACGGCGAGCGATTGGAAAGGCAGATCCAACCATTGAATTGGGAGGCCACTTATTGTCATCTCAAACTATGCGGTTAAGACTCGAAGTAAGTGCTCAGAGAAATATTCTCCAGTTGCAGCTGCCATAACCATCACAAAATGTTATTACCTGTAACTCCCTAATTAGCAAAAAGCGCGCGCATTTAGGGTCATTTATTACGTCGTTAATAAGAAGCGAAATCTCCAATGATTTAGAGGTTGTCACCATGACATATTATCAACAATTTGTTTGACGGCGAGCTGAATTCGAGTTACTTTAAACCCATGGATGAAGGTCATACGTCTTTTGTGCTCCATGATATGCCAGATTCCATAATATTACAGATATTCTGTCAATTTACGATCAAAGAACGCCTTTTGTTGCGACGAGTATGTTGGAGGTGGCACCACCTTTTGAAGGACTACAGCGTGTGGAGGAGTATCGATCTTAGTGAGGACTGCTCCCTATCGAGTAAGGTCAATAAAACCATCCTGGAAGGTTGGATCACAGCCTGGGGTAAGACTATTCAGCATATGGATGTTAGCGACTGCAGGTGGCTTACAGATCTCGTTATTCAAAAAGTCGCGCAAAATTGTGCGGATCTCCGTGACTTAAACGTGGAAGGCTGCTTCCAAGTATCCGACACAGGAATGAACGCGATAGCCTCAAACTGCAAGCGCTTAAAGAAGCTAAACGTTTTTCTTAGCGGGGTGTCGGAACAAGGCTTTGAGAGATTTTTAAAGCAGTGCCCAAACTTAGAGGATGTTAAGTTGGGGAGTAGAGGAAATTGCAATCGTATGATAGTGTCTGTGTGTAGTAGTGTGAAAGATTTAAAAGCAATCTCCATTCATGATGTTATCCCGTTTGACGAGGGCGAACCAGTGGTAGATGACCTTTCGCTGTGGAGGCTATGCACTTGTTTCCCAGGGTTGACAGCCATTGATCTTACGTGGTGTTGTTTCATCACTGATGATGCTTTATTTGCACTTCCGTTTTGCTGTCCAAATCTCAAGTCTCTCACTATTCGGGAATGTCATCAAATTTCAGACCGCGGAGTTCGTGCCGTGTTCCAAATTTGCCATTTAACCTTGTCAAAAGTACACCTGGAACGTCTTTACAGCATCACAGACGTTCTTACTCTCTCACCGGAAGACCTTAAACCTTTTCCTAATCTGTCATACCTTAAACTGATCGACACATCTATTTCCGACATCGGCGTCGCGAAGATTGCCGAGAAAAGCCCGAACTTACAAACTCTCATTGTTGGAGAGCATTGTTTTAATCCATACAACATCCATGGTGGTTTTATTCCCACCATCGCAGAAACTTGTCAAAAGTTGAGACGATTCAAATTATATTCAGGAAGAATGAAGGACAATTATTTGATTGCTATTGGCGAAAATATACCTTTTATAACCGACCTCTATCTCGGCGATTGTCGTGACTGTACATCTCAAGGGTTAGAGAGGATAATTTTGCGCTGCCGCTGGTTGCAAATATTGCACATTCTAAACTGTTCCCATGTAACCAATAAGACACTGGTTCTTATCTCGCGGAACTTGACGGATCTCAGAGAATTAGAGATTCTAAATTGTAGGAGTATCACCACATTAGATGTTCTAGGACTCAAACAAAAGTTACCAAGGTGCGACGTCCGGTATTAACTGTGAGTGGATAGCACTAAACTCCAAAGATGAATGCTTCGTATTTGCCTCTTATTCATTCGAAGAAGATTTGCAAGGAATATTTTGGGTTCCATCGAAGCATTCTTTGTCACCCAAGTTAACACTCTTGTGTTGCGCGTGTGAGTGAAACAATATCCTAATTCATCCAAGAAGCGGCCCAGAAGAGTTGTACGTCGAATACAGTGTGTGGAAGAGATATCGAGAATCATGTACCCTCAGATTTTCTGAGTTAATGCATTGTCATGGTAAACTACGAACAGTTTTCTAAGAGTAAATAAGAAATGGCAAGATTTTCATCAGGGGTATGCGCCTTAAGTCTTTCTTTGTTCTAAAGATATCACTTCCCTTTATATTGGAAGCAAACGACCCAATTTGAAAGACTTCATCGAACTAAAGCTATACTTCACTTCTATAATTAAACTTTTTTGGCCGTCTCAGTCTTAGTTACCGGACCGACCTCTACTATGTGGTTTTAAGAATGGACAGCTACTCCCAAGATCTGAAGCTGACTAATTCTCCATTCGGAAGTTCAATCGCTTTCAGTGGACCTTATTCAGGCATCAAATACAAGCATGATATATTTTCAATTATAATGACTTTTATTAAATATTTGCTTCCAATTCCACAATAAAAAATATATTACAGATTTCTTTGAAATTGTCATATTTATAATTATTCTATAAATTATTATGTTAAATATACAATGTACACACGAATTTCTCTATTCAGTCAAAACGCTCTTATCTCAAAGCTAATTCAGTCATCACTCGTGGCCTATCCGCTCTTGAGATAACATATTTTCAAAGCTTTGAAGATAATAAATTGATAAAGAAAATGTACAATGTACAAGTAAAATTTTCAATTCATTCAGGTGATTCAAGACATGTCTCCAACAAGGAGTTTAAAATGAGGTCATAAATTACAAAAACAGAAAAAGATGAAAAAAGGTTCAAAGCTTTGAAAGATAAATCTGTGGCCTTTTAAAAACACGATCCACCATAGCACTGGCTTCAATAGCACAGCCCCATGAGAAAGTCACACCTGAGCCCCCATGTCCATAGTTGTGCAGAAGAGAAGGACACACAGGATCCCACTCCAGACGAACGTTACCATGACGAGCAGGACGCAGGCCTACCAACACTTCCTCTACATCATCGTCTCCATAGTTACGGAGGGGTGGATAGAACTCCTTTACTTTCTCAAACATCTTTCTGATTGGTGGATAATCAAGTGTC